CGGACCTACGCAACTGCCAAGGGTTACGAGTTGTCTGAGGGGTTGCGGCGCGATAAATCAGGCGGGGAGGGGAGGAAAGAGGCCCGCATCCTCCCCTCGGGTTCTTACATCGACCTAGGTCAGGGACCGACTCGCCGAGGGGCGACGGCGCCGCCTGGGGTGGTTAGCTCCGCCGGGAGCGCAGACTTTGGGCCGAGCCCGCGAGTTGCCCTTGTCCGCACTTGCGTGCACTCCCTCTTCAATTTTCTCCGCGCTTGTAAATCTTTACCTCCGCTCCTCCGCGCGCCCACGCGCATCGACGCCCGGCCCCTCTGTGCATTTTTCCCCTCCGTCCCGTCCCGTCGGCGGCATTTCGCGTCCGATCGGGGATGACCTTGACGCGTGCACCGCTGCACCGGGTGCGATCATTGTTGCACGCGAGCGGAGGCGGCGCTCGTCCCACTGTCACACTTTCGGCGCGGCGCTGCGCCTTCCCGCAGGTGCAGGTGCGCCATCGAGGAGCCTCGAGGGACTCCGAGGGCATCGGGGTCTCTCTCGCTCCCGCGGCCGGCGCCCTCGTCTCCTCTCTCTCGCTCTCACGGGGAACGCTCGCTCGGCCGCGAGAGCTCGAGATATCCTCCTTTCCCTCTGTCTTTCCTCCTTCGCTGGCGCTTCCTTCTCTCGGACGATCTTGTTTTCTCCCTCCTCCCTGCCCCCCCTTCCCTCTTCGACGCTGAAATCACTGCACCCTTAAGCCTGTTTCACCCCGGTCGCCCTCTTCGCCTCCCACCTTCGCGCTTAATGAGGGGCCCCTGTTGCCTCCGCGGCTGATTTTTACAAGGGCTTAACGCGACCCCTTTCTCGAGATTATCGGGAGGGCAACGCCTCCTGGAAGCGTGATTTTCCCTCGGCACGCAATAACTCGTTGCGATCGAATACTCTTCGTTCCTCCGACCTCCGAGGACGGGAAGCTCGTATCGTCGATCGTCTCGTTGGAAATTAATGGACGCGGGTCCGAATTTGAGGGGGAGAAAAAGAAGTAAAAAAGGGGGAATTCGGGTTCCCCCTCACGGCCGGTGATTGATTCGGGCATCTTCGAATCCGCGGTCTGCCGCGGGAACGAGGCTTTTTTCGAGGCCACCCTTTTTCATTCTGTAAATCGAAAAATCTTGTCAAGAAAGAGACCGACAAAAGCGCCGTGAGAATGAGAACACGTCCTCGTCGGCCCTTTTTCCTCTCCCCTTTTCGTTTTTTTTCCTTCCATCCCTCCCCGTGTCCCCGTGAATCGCGAAATTTTCTAATTACGGGAGGACCGGAAAGAGGCCGCGGGAGAGGGACGGGGGAAAAAAGCGGAAACGGGAGCCGCGATTGCGGGTATCAGCTCGGCCGGGACCGTGAGAAGAATCGCATCCTTGCATTCCTGATGCAGAATCAATTCGAATTGCAGATTTTCCGGGTGACCGCCCGCTCCCCTTTTTTCCAGCCCACCCCTCCCCGAGCCCAGGAGCATCGGGAGGACCTTCTTTTCTTTTTCGCGATGGCAACCGACAATTTTTTCAGAAATCCGTATGGACCGCGGGTGTAGGGAAAATGGGAAAATTACCGTAAAATAAATATCAGGGAAGAAACGGCGGAAGCCAGGGACCCGCGAGGTTAAAGGACGTTTCTTCCGGGACTCGTTTTGCTCCTTTTGCCAAAATAGTCGAGGAAGAGATTAGAAGAAAATAAAAGAAGGGGACGGAAGAAATCGAGGGGATTCCTTGGCGATTCTCCGCGGGGAATCTCCTCCTCGTCGTCGTCCTCGACTTAGCGAACGGGAGGAACGCGGTGTCCTCTATTGCACTATTCATGAAATCGGCTAGACGGACGACAGACGTCACCGAATGGAAATAAAGCCTTCAATTGGCTCCGTCTAGTTGGCATTGGCACGATCCTAACCTCTCCCTCTCCCGACGCGGAACGTGACTCTCCCGTTCTGGGTCCTCTCATTGCCAAGGATGAGAACCGCGGCCGAGGACCAAGGTCACGGATTTCGGCGACTTTTCGCTTTTCGACGCCCCCGGTCGTTCCTGTCCTCCCTTTAGTCCCCGATTTATCCTCGAATACTAGCCGAATTGTCCAGGAATCGAGCGACCGGTGATCAATTAATGCTTAACCCGATTCGGGATAAATCCTTAATTTTTTTCAATTCTTTTTCTCATTCTAACGAAACCTCCGTTGGAGACATTACCGACGGGGCGCAGAGAGGCCGATAAGCCGGGTCTCGCGTTATCGACGAAATCGACGGTAAGTGATCGTACGAGGGACTTTCCGGGGGAACCTGGCGATTTTTCCCTTGGAGCGCGACGCCGATCGATCGAAGAAAGTCTCAACGCCTCCGATGTTGAAGGGGGTTAGGGTCCCCCTTGTTATTATCATTACGATCGTGCTCGTTGTAATTATTTTTAAAATTGAGAGCGCAATTATTCAGGGGGAACGAATTTTAAAAACGGGGAAAGGAGCGCCCGCGGAGGAAGGCCTCGAATAAGTCGAGTTCGATAAGCGTTCGATATCCCGGGATGCAAGACGTAAATACGAGGTGCACCTTGTACCAAGTAGTTTCCTCGCCTGCGGTAGGCAATCACCTGCAACTGCGGTTCCGCGATGACCGGTATCCGCAGGTGGCGATTCCAAGCAGGTAAATCAATGCAGTTATGGTCCGTGACGAGAGCTTCCGCGGCGTTCGATGCGTACACGTGTATGCCCCTTGTAGCGAGTGCAAGTACCCTAGGTACGAGAGCATACAGGTACAGCTCGGGTGTCTCGTTAAATCGAGCCGAAGGATCGCTTGGATTCGCTCCGGAAAAAGGTCGATTAAAAAAAAAAAAAAAAAGAAGGAACGACGTCTCGCGAGACACGCAGACAATCCCTGGAGGGCGCGGGGAATTTTTTTTAACCCACCTCGGCGACGTTCGATAATTCCCAGGAAATTCCCGAAGGTGGGTCGAGGTGTGCGGGGTTTGAGTAAAAAATATCGCGATGGTAAAAGGCGAGGAGCCAGCCAGAGAAAAGAATCGACAAAATGGGCGGACAGAGGCCGCGCGCGGCTCCCGGGCAAAGTACAGGACTCGGCCAGGAGCGAGTAGCTCGCTCGTTGGGGCTAAATCATGCGTACAGAGGGTCGGCCCGAGTACTTGGCGAGCACTCGAGGCATCCTGCCTCAATGTTTTATTCATCCGACACTACAAACTGCCTTCCTTTAAGTGCACATCGTGCCACTTGCCCACGCGCCTCCACTTCTGGCTGCACCTAGCCGACCGCTTCCACTTCCACGTCCGACATCGTCCTCTTCCGAGGGCCCTTCGGGGTTAAGGTTAAGGCCGCTCGTCGAATCAAAACCAGGCGGGAGTATTCGCCCCTCGGGAGGACAAAATTATCCGCGTGGTCCGAACCGTTGAATAAAAAAAAAATATGGAAGCCGATAGAGAACGCCGAATCTCGGTGATAAAGTGGATCCGGACCCCGAAGAGAATGCGGAAAGGAGATTTTCGCGGTGGCCTCGTTTTTGGACGCGAATGCATCGACCGACTCGCTATTTGCGGAAGATAGCGAATATTTGGCGAAGCGATAAGCCGGGCGCATCTGGAGTGGAGGCAGAAGGGATCCTTCATGGTACCCCTCGCGTTCCGGATACCACCTATCGGTATCTCCGCAAAATGTAACCCTGTCCTCCTTAACGTCAAAAAACGAGGATTCCTCGTGCGCGAGGATGAATTTAAAAAATTTGCCCAGTAAAGCGTCCCGACTGGAAGCCGCGACCGAACGAGCGATCCAGTCTACGGTTTCCTCGAAAGCAGCTCGAATTATTTAAATTATTTAAATTATTTAAACTGTTCGAACGATCTAACAGGACTTCTCTCGCTATAACCGAGGCAGCCGGCTGTATAATCGAGCGGTTTGTACACCTCTTCGTGGTCGGGCACCCCACTCGGTCCCAGATATCTTGCACTAGTTGCGGTACTTCGCTCGTGGAACTAGAGGGAGAGAGATCTCTCTCGGGGAATGCATTACGCGAGAATTTGCACTCGATTGTCTTCTTGCTCGCGAGGTGGTAACTGCCGAGGCGAAGGGGCGCGCCTTACGTACACATCGAGAGGATCGTAGGAAAAGAGGTCCGAGTATACCCGAGCCTCTCCCGATGGCTTCCGCGATGCCTCCACTTTTTACCCCAGCGATCCTCGGATTTTTCGCCATTTTTCACGATTTTTCCCTCGGTCTTCCTCCACCCTCACCTTTTTCGCCTCGCCGGAAGTTCGCGTCTCTACTCCGTTCATAAACGTGTACACATTTATTTATAAATACGATCTTAAGACTAGATCCCAACGATCCAGACAAGCTTGGATTTATATTCCGGAGAGGACGCGAGGGGATTAATTTAAGAAATATTATTTTTGAGATTATGACGAGAAATGATAATTAGCGATGTCGAAGGAAAGAGGCTTATCGGGCCGAAGACGAGACGGGATCGTTTGCCGAGGAGATCCCTGAAGGATACTCGGTTAGAACCCCGGGATGCCGATCTCTCCCGGGAATGTAGGCAAAAAGCGGGAACGGCCGCTCCCGCTCGCCTTCTCCTGGCCGAATCACTTTGTTCAGGGATAACGGAACTGTCCGTTCGGATCTCTTAAAGTCCTAACGTAATGGAAACTGTGCTCGCATACCGCTCCTATTATTCCCCCGGAATGACTCGGGAGAGCAAAACGCGTCCGCGGGAAGGAAACAACGAGGACGTTTTCCGAGGCGAGGGATCGAATCTCGCGGGTGGCTATTTCTTTTTCTTTTTCTTTTGCACCTCACCTAATAAAACGAGGCGAATTTTAAATACACTTTCTCCCTTTTTCGATTCTATCCTGGTTGGAAAAAAATTTTAATAAACAAATTTTTTTTTAAAGGGTTTCCTCAAGGATCTGGAATTTTCGGACTCGCATTTCGGGAAACGGGAACCTCGTCGAGCGCGAGGGTCTTTCGGGTGGCTTCGAAGCTCGGTAAAATGCGCCTTTTAATTTACACAAACTCCTCGGAACAATTAAACGTTCGATCGTTCTAGCCCGCCCGGTGACGACATAAGTATGCAACATTGTTACAGCAGCGCGTTACACTATGTAAAATACGCGTACACGGAGTGCGAGGTCAGCTGGATCGTCCGGACCTTACCTTAATTATTTACAGGAATAACTGCCCCGATAACAAAATTGAAACCGACTCGAAGTCCCGCGCGAGAAAAATAGAGTGCACCTTTAATTTTTACGGGATAACTGTGATCGGTATGATTTTATTTTAACACCTACGGAGTAGAATTGAGTAGTTTCAATTTTGCCAATAGAGTGCCCCCTTAAGCCTAACTAGGAGTGCTACTTTCACCGATTTTGAGTCCAGCTCGAAGGCGTCGAAGGCTACGAAATATTTTCTTTTCCTTTTCCTTTTGGCATCTTTAGAAATACTCTCCTATACAGAATGCGCGATAAACATCTCGGCTCGCATTTTAGAACTGTAGTACGTTTGTTTCTTTCTCGCCCTTCTCCCTTTTGTTTTTCCCTCCCCAACTCGTTGGTCGAGCTCGACGAGTCAAAAGTAGTCATCGCATTCGGTATTCGCAGATGCTAGGAATTAATGCGGCAAAGGTCTAATTACTTTGTCGTACTCTTTCGAACTGCCGCCAGGCGTGGTCGCGGGCCTTAAGTAACGCAACGCTTAAAGGTAATGTCATATCTAATGGGCGCAATGAGATGCGAGAACGCGAGTCCACTCACAACCGAATTTGAGGACGGGAAAAAAAAAATCGCTTCACCCGAAATCAATGGGAAAGGGGGACGAAAGAGAGGAGAGGGAAAGTCTTCGACGAGAACGAATTCCGGGGAACTCGAAAGTCATTTGTATCTTTTAAATGCAACTCTGAACACCTTGGCGACCCTCTCTCCTCCCTTCCTCCCTTGACTTTTCGGTGAATTACCCTGGCAGCAATTTATCCAAGTTTTGACACGATAATCACAGCACGTGGATCACTTGATTCCTCTCTCTCTCTCTCCTTTGTCATCCCTTTTCCCTTCACATTGTAACTCGCGCTCGGAGATGACGCGTTACATTTTTAACTGCTAGCTCGCACTTCCGTGACAATGGTTTTCAATATATATATATATTACTATTTCTTGAGAATGGCAAGGTACATACGGCGACACATTGCGGTATTACTGCGTTACACGGGTGCGTCATTGTTTAGGGAATGGCTTAACATATATATATATATATTTTTTTTTAAATTCTCTATACACACGATGTGCAGCCGGGTGAACCGAAAAAGAAATATTTATATCAGATGCGCCCACGGCCGTTCAAAATAGACTTTTCATCGAGATTATCTAACGAACTTAGGGCTACGTTCGAGAACTTAAGCCGACATGAAGATTATCACATATTAAGTTACGAGTAATCACGAGGTCCCCGATTAATTAATTCTTAATTAACGCGAGTAGAAAAAGAAAGCCCCATTGAGATTGATCGCGGATTAGTCGCGCGTCTGAAAATTAAGTGAAGAGTTGGAGAAAGAAAACCAAAAAAGACAGAAAGAAAGGGAATAGAAATAAAAGACCAGCGCTATCGGCGGAGATCGAGCGGGGGAATTTAAAGAATAGGAGAAATGCACGTGGATCCTCTATTATTTTCTTAACTATGTCCGGGAAAAAAATAAAATAAAACACCTCGCATTAATTCAAGTCGACGTCCCTGGCTTCGCAAAAATTCCCCGACTCTCGCTCTTGTACACGGTAACGTTACGTATGTACAACTTTTTACAAAGCGGGCCCCGTGCAATCGCCGAATCGATTCTGGACTCGCCCGTCGATTCCCTTCGATTGCGTTTTCGATAATGACTGGAAGACTTAAAAAACTGGAATCGAAACTTTCGTCGTCGTTTGCAAAACTCGGGGCAATCGGAGCCGTTCCTTGGTCAGTGTTTAACAACGTCGTCGCAATCCGTAAAATAACTCGCTGCCGATTGTCGTCCCCGAGACTGACGTTTACAGAAACTGTGCTCTCTTTCTCTCTATATATACATATACACGGATCACGGTGATGTCTATACATTGCAATGGGTGGAGATTAATCGCTAGCATTAACCGTCCTACATAAACGTCGCTCGACGCGGATCGGTCGTCGAACAAAATCCCTAAATGAAATCGGGCGAAATAATCGCGAACGAGTCCTCTAGGCGGTTGAACCGGTAGAACGAGTAATCTGTTAAGAACGAGAAAACAATCGGCGAGAGTTATAAAAATAATCAGTCGGTTTACTTTGTCCCTTTCCCCCCGCGAAGCAAGGAATATATATATCTGTATCACGTACGTACTATCGGGAAGACCTTGATAACGAAGGAAACATAAAAATAAAAATATACGAAGAAGAAAAGGGAGATTCCTGTACTGAGATTACGGGTCATACGAGCAATCCTGTAAAAGTTAGATTTCTTTAAGTACACCGCGTTCGGTTTTTCGTTTCGCGCCTCTCTCGACTCGCACGTCCTCGGTTAAAAAAGAAAAAAAAAAAGAGACGATATACGGTAAAACAAGAAATATTGAGATTTGGCGCACATCGGTAAGAGCACGGAAACTATACATTATCCCTCGGTCCTAGACCGTTCGAGGATAGATACCCGGTCGGTCTAACTCGCGTGCGATAACACTTGTCGCGACGCTATTTGAGATGCACCGGCGAGTGCGACGAGAAGAAGGAGGGTCGTCACTTAATTAATTACTTAGACGTAACGAATACAACTTATGATCATTGACTTTCCGACACCTGAAACCCTATCTCGCTCGTCGCGCTCCCGAACGAGGGCACGCAACGCCGTGGAATGTATCTGTGGGCACGTACGCCGCATTTCCGACACTTCGAGTACTTTTCCTCGGCGCTAGACATTTTAAGGAGTAACCTGGGTGCCCCGGGATTCATCGCATCCTTAAAAAAAAAAAAGTCCTCGAAACGTCCGTCCACCTTACGAGGTACCGAGTACGCACCGGGGCGAGCAATTACCCCACCGTGTCGACGCGACCCCCACGCCTAGAGTCTATCGTACAAGACTTGTCAACGCCCGCGGTAACCACGGTCGGCCCGCTGCAGCGAGGGGGCCTCGTCATTGGACATCGGGAAAGACCGTACTCGCACCCTCGCGCGATTCGCTACGTGTCACCCGACATACACATATACATACACATATACATCTCGAGATTTTCCCCCGCAACCTTATCCTTTCCCCCTCCCGTCGACGTCCCTTTCTGGCCCGATCGTATGTCCGGCGGATTTCGATCAGCGGTCGAAAGCGTCGCAACCGGGCGGAGCCCGTTCCTCCCGACTTCTGGGGACCCCTGGACCTCGAAACCCGATGCAGCTTAGGCTCGTCCTTCCTTTCCACGAGCTCCTGGCCGACGTCTACGAGGGCGCGTCCTCGTGCGGGCCCTCCTCTTGGTCGAGCCTCGAGGAGCCGCACATCCTGCACTTGCAGCACACTATGCAGGGGGCAGCCAGGAGCAGGAGCGGCGAGGCCACTAGCAGGAGTAGCCCGAATCCCGCGAAGATGCCGATCACCTGAGTCCGATGCCAGATCACCGAGGCCCTCGAGTGGCCCAGCTTGTTTTTGCACGGTCCCTTGTCGTAGTGGCGCAGCAGAAAGTCGTCCTAAAAGTCAGAACATCGTTAGATCGACCGAACGATCACGAGTTATCGAGCTCTCGGGGGGTCCACTCACGTCCAGGGAAGCCAGACAGTACCAGCAGAAGACGTGCTTGCACCGCTTGCACATCATCTGGGCGCAGCCCTCGTCCTTCTCGATCGGGACCGAGCACATGGGGCAGCACTTGATGTAGTCGCTGTCGAAGGGGATGCCGAGGGGCAGGTCGGAGCAGGGGCCTCCTCCGTGCCAGGGTTCTCGACAGATCGAGCAGAAGTCCGTCGAGCAGGTGGGACAGTGCACGGGCCCTAGGGTCCCTCCGCTGCGCCCGTGTCCGTTCACGGAGCAGATCGTCTCGCAGCCGGCGCGCGGACACCACGCACGGCCCTTGTCCATTGACACGTCTAATAATAAATAAAAAAGGGGTTAACATTACTCCTCCAGTTCTTACGATTAATCTCGCAGGCAACGATCGAACGGACATAGGCGATCGCGCGAGTTAAGCGACACGGTGGCGGGACGTGAATCATTCGACTATCCGTAAACTAGGATTTATCGACTCGCGGTTCTCCTTGACCCTTCAAACGCGCGGCAAGAAATCGAACTTTATTGGCACGGACGAGTGCCAACAGACCTCGGTTCAGGCGGAATTTCTGATGCTTCTCCATTAGTTCCGGGGTAACCAGGGACGTGATCTCCTTCAGGGACAGGACCCCAGCATCCTCGCACTGCGCATCGGGACAGCTGATGTCGTAGGCCCCTTCCTCGATCTCGAACTCCACGTAGGATCTCATGCACTGGAATATAAAAACGACCCCTCGAGTTAGGCCCAGAACGCTCTACGAATGGATAACCAAAAGATAGGAATTAAATTCTCCGACTAATTAACGACCAGATAATCATTTGCATTCGTCTCGCGCCTCAACGCGCGATCCTGGATGCGGAGGAATCTCCCGGCATTCTTAATTCGCGTCACGGAACGTCGTGACGAAAGAGCGTTTCTTTAAAACATTTTTCGATATGTCGAACGACGCGCGTGTTTGATAACGAGTTAATCATGCGGATGTATCGGGGAAAGGACCGTCAATGGATTGTTTTAATGATGCAAGGTTAACGCCGAGAGGGAGAGAGGTGTCATTCGACCGACGCGTTAAAAGAAAAAAATTGTGAACGAAAATTTATTTCTTATTTTGCAGGGATGATAAAAATAAGAGACGAAACCGAGAGCTAGTGAGTGATTATCTCGTGGCGCGTCGATGACAACACGTGCTTATTCATAACGAAAAAAAAAAAGAAGAAGAAGAAAAAGCAGCGAACAACAGCCAAGTGACTCGGTCGATCGCAGTAAGTGTTAAATCTCTTTCTATTTTTTTTTTTTCATCTTATTTATAACCGGGGACGCGTTAAGAGTCCTAAGTGCATTGGATCATCGCGAATTAATTATACGAGGAAAACAGGGTGGGGGGGATTAAACGTTATCGTTGACATTTGACAATGACAAAAAATGGACAAATGGACTAACGATCAAGAGAAATGGGGCAATCTTTAATGACCACAGGCAACGTGTACGCGGTACGCACGTGCGGGAGCTGCAACGAGGTACGGGCGAATTGAATCGATCAGCTGATCGATTAATTCCGGCGCGATTTTTTTTTTGTCGGTCCTGATCATGTCAGCGGGAGGAGGTTCAAGAATTTTCCGAGATTTGCAGATCCAAACAGAGTGACCTAAAAGGATTTAACGAATGCGGGGGAGTCGAATGAATTAATTGATGAAATCATTCCTAGACGGTAAAGCGTCATCGGCGCCCATTAGAACCGGAGGAATATATGTTAATGACTTGAGGTCGCTCGTCGTGGTTTTTTTCACTCCCCCCTTTAAATTAATTATGTCAGAAATAAGGTCAATGGTTCTGCTTGGAGCGGCAAAAAATAAATTGGCTAAGGACGATGGCCCGATCGTTCCTCTCGTTTCTTGGCGGACAATGATCACGAAGGAAGATAAATATCACAACCCGAGGCCACCTCGTGAGAGCGCGCATGAATGGAGACAGCTCGACCTTGCTGCATCTGCTTTTTCCTCTTTCACTTTTAAGACCATTCGCGACATTTCCTCCGGCGATTTGCAACAATTATGCGAAATTATTATCCCACTTCGTTAACGTTCCTCATTGTAGGAGGATATTTTTTTTTCTCCCTCGATCCGCGTCCTCGAGGCAGAGCCGCGGTCTTGAGCCACTTGGACGACCCAACGCTCCCAAGAAAACCGCGTATTGTCGGCAAACCCGGACGAGTTATCGAAAAATGTTTCCAACAAATATTGTAGCTTCTTTAAACGCGACAACTTTGGGTGGGAAGGATTTTTTCCGTATCGTGCACCGTCAACGTCCCGGGGCGCCGCGTTGCGCGGAATACTTGATAAAGTGCCATCGGTTTCGGGCCAAATCGCCGATTTCCCTGTCGTCCTTGCGCGATAGCGAAAAAAGTCCTTAACAAAAATCGCTCCCGAGGTTGTTCCCTGCAATCTTTACTGGGGGCGTTTTTTTCGATATCGTGCACCGTTAAGGCAGGAGATTGCTCGCTCGCCGGAAAAGCGCTCGCGCTGGCTGGCGAGGGTTTTGCTTAACGCAGCGGTTCGCTCCCGACGTGTAATTCGCGGAGGATAAAACGAACGTGGGGGGGAAGTAATTGAATTATATGTAAGAACGCCTTCTCCTCCTCTCATCATTTACCCGTAATATGCGGTCTCCAACGGTACTTGAAAAAGAAAAAAAAAATAGCAACTCGTGCCACCAAGGCTATTTCCAAAGTGCTCCCCCCCAGTTGCGAGCTCGACCTCGACATTTCTCGTTGCTTTTTACGGCATTTCCATCTTTTTTCCCCGGCGATTTATCGCTTTCCTACCGGCCACTCGACCCCCCTCCGAAAATTAGGGACTCGAGGACGAAATTAAACCCGGCTTTTAATTTCCACGTTGCACCTGCATCTCTGCATATCCGCGCTCCTGCCGGGAAGAGTTCCCCAAATTTTTTTTCCCCGGCGCAATTTTCCTCGCAAACGTCCATCTCGGAAATTGATTCCAAATCCGATACGACCGCGATACGAGTGCAATTCTTAAAAATAGAAAAGAAGGCCAACCCGTTCCCGCCCCACATCCCTGGATCACCCGGCGCGGTGGTTTTTTTCGTTAGCGAGTCACTTGACAAAAATTCCTAGGAGTCGAAAAAATAAATAAATAAACAAACGAGACTAAAAATCGGAATCTCGCTGCGATCGTCCATTTCGTCAATCATGGCCAGGTACCGAACACTTGTCCACTCCGAGCCTGGCCCAGCTTCTGGTCTCCTTTTCTTCCATTTTCTTTCTCTCTCTCTCGTTCCTTTTTTCCCTTCTCTTCTCCCCGTTAACTCGTAATTCTCTCGATTCCCTTTTTATTCCCGCGGCTCCGTTGGCTTTATTTTTAGCCGCGAAGTAGGCAATCTGGCCTCTTGGCCGTGCCGTTTGCGGGGGATAAAATTACGGCCGAGAGGAAAGTAATAACCCATTAGGAGCGTTGGCCTCCTCGTTCCCCGTCGTTTAACCGTAACGAATGACTTGCTCTCCCGGCAGGAAAAAGAAGGACTCGCGCGAGCAAGGTCATCTCGAAATCATTCAAATGAGTCGGCCCGACCTTGTCTTGTATCCTCTTTAAACGCTTTGCATATCACTTCCCAGTCGAGCCGTGCCGAGGATTCGGATTCTATCCGAGACTTGGAAACCGGAAGGGAGCTCGACCCTCCGTTCCTTCTTTTTTTTCTTCTTCCTCTGCTCTACGGATATCGAGCCCCGCCGCAAAATTCTGGCACTCGATGCATTCCTGATCTCAATTTTAGACAGACTTATCGCACGTTGGAAAATTCGGGCGGGGACAAAATCTCTATTTTCGGTCCTTCTTGGTAAACGGTGGCGATCGCTTCGCCTCTCGGAAGTGATTCTAATCCGGTTCGATGACAACATCCATCGACGGGAATAACGGAGCAAGAAGTGGAGTGTTTTCTCGGCTCGATCTCGATGCATCAAGGCTGACGCCGAATGGGAAGAAAAGTTGTCGCCTTCTCCCCGAAACTCGTAAAAGATCATCTCGGCGATTGGTATTCGGTAGCACCTTCTTTTTCTTTTTTTTATTCCACACTTTTCCTTCGGTACGTCCCCGGCTACGTGGAAGAAAAGGACCTAAGAGACCGGCATCGACTCTCTCTTGCCGACAAGAGAGCATCCTCTGACGTTTGACGTCTCATAAAGAGGGCGTGACATTATTATTCCAGAGATAAAAGAGCCTGAGGCTAGAGCGGGTCTTTACATAAACATCAGCCTCTAAGGTACGCCGATTACATGATTAACTTGTACACGCGTCTTATGCCAATTTCACAACCGTCGATAATTTGTCATCGATCGACTAATTGAGTATCTCGCATCGACTTCGCGGTCGGCGCGTAACCCGCCGAGTCGAATTCGTCCGAGTGATAACGGCAAATAAGAGAAACAAAAATTCCCCCCGAATAATTCCGATTAATCGTGGCCAATTAATCGAATTCTCTCCCTCGGGTTTTTAACGCCGGCAAGTTTCCCTCCGCCGCGTTTTCACGCCGATTCTCGTACGCTGCTAATTTGCGATTCGATTGCTAATTCAATTGCCCGTCGTGTCGGTATTGATTTAGGTGTGATTGGAATTTCTACGGTGGGAAAGAATGCTAGCCGCGGTTTAATGCTTTTTTAATAATCTCCCTAGGTGTAGTTAATCACTGGTCGGATAATCGACGCTTGTCCTCGTTGCTTCCGGCAGCGAAAATTGCACGACGCGACGAAGTCTCTCGAGAATTTCGTCTTAATAATTTCGAGCGGCGATCGACGTTAATTCGTGATTTGCGATTCAACTACCGAGCGCGATTATCGGTCCGCGCTCGTCGCGTGCTCTGTACAATGTAAAGAGAGAGGGAGAAAAAAATAATCCGTCGACGAAGATTGACTTTTAATCGTCAAAACAAGAAGCGGAGGCGATCGGCTCGCTTGGGATTTCGCTTTGGAAAAAAATTCCCGGCGCGAAGATTTTTTTTCCTTCGCTTTTTCGGATGGGGTTTATAATTAAATATTTAGGGAAATATTATTTATACGCTCTTGTCGCAATCGGCCGTGCTTATTTTTGCGAATCCTTGACGATTTCTCCGATGCAACGTCTCTTCCGTTATTTCTTAAACGATGCTTGCACCGATATCCGGTTATGTTTATTTTGTAAACCGAGCGTGTTCGCGAGTACACCAATTGAATACCTCCAGTTCCCCTGGCCGGGTGGGGATAATACATATTTATTTTTTCAATATTCTCGCGACAGGAGAGGCGGATTTCTTTTGCAACTCGCGGAGGTCTTGTTCGAATAACGTTGCGTATTAAATGTCCGTAATGGCCCTTTCTCTCTGCGCCACTTTTCGGACGAGACTTAAAGCGAACGACGAAAAAATGTATCGCACTCTCCCGGGGCGATGCACAGGATCGCTCTTCTTTTATCGAATTCGCTTTACTCAACTCGCGGAATAACTTTCGTTTGCATGACACTTACCCGGAGTGTCGTTACGTCAGAAAATTGAAATTATCTGAAATATAGATGATGCACTTGCGTACGTGTCTCTTAACACCGCGGCACCGCCGTGGGAGATTACGATGGCGTAATCATATAAACAAATTTTTTTTTTCCTGCACGACTGTATGCCCCTCTTTCGAGCTGCATGCTAAAGATGCTGGATATCAATTAATTAAACGCAGTTTGTGGAATCGTTCCCTTTCGCTTTTTTTTTTTTTTTTTTTTGGATAGGCATTGCAGGTAGAAAATGTAACAGCGTAGAGGAGTAAATCTGAGTATTATTCTTGAATGAATAATTGAATGGAGTTATTCTTATCGTAATTTCTTAAGGTTATATTTAGTTTTAACGTGCGATTAGAAGTGGTCGTCGGAAGACTTACATCTTTGCAGTAGGAACAGCCACAGCTTTCGATTTTAAACGTGTCCGAAATGGACACATCGGAGAGACAGAGTTTACAGAGAAATCGTCCCGCAGACTGCTGCACCGCAGGGACGAAACTTCCAGCAGCCAGACTGTAGCGAGAACTAGAAGCTAGGGATAGTAGACTAGAGCAGCGAGAGCAAACACGACTGCGATTGACAGGTCGACCCTCGAGTGTCAACGTACTGAGTCCCACTGCGGTTTCGCATCTCCTAAGTGCACCGGGTCCCAGATTCAACCAACTGCCACCACTGCGAGCCTCCAGACTGGCACTGCTTTCCGGTCTCAGCAGGGGAGCCTCCGCTCCCTTGCTCGCTACGGTCCTCTCGGGGGGAGAAAGGTTGGTCACGCTCGGCTCCTTCCTCAATAGTGGCAACCGTATTCCAGTCAGCTTGTTCGCCTTATCCACCTTCTTCTGACCGACTCCATTCTTTGCCGGAGTACTAACGGTGGTGACCGAACTGGTTGCAGCTCCCATATCCATGGGTGTAGCTCGTCGTATGACGAGCGAACGGAGACTAGGCATCCCCTGATCGACGTGGCCTAGTCCCACCTCCAACCGGTACTACGGTACTTCTCTAGTTATCTCTTCGGCTGTTCAAAGAACTCCTTTGTAACCACGGAGCCAATGTCCTCCTCTCAAAGATTATGCACCTCCATAAATCCTGCTTTGGTTTCTATAATGTCCATATTGCTCTTCTTAACCCTCTCCTCCACATAATCGTCCACTTCAGCCTGACATCTCCGGACTTGCTTCGCTCTCCTCCGAAACTGAATTTTTCCACTTGACTCTACCAGCCCCTGCATCGTCTCGCTTCACTGCGAACACTGAGTCAATTCAAATTTCATACCCCAACACTCGATCAGGGAGTCTCTATCTCGATACATGCTCTCTCGTTACTACGATCTCCCCATGTCAAGTATCCGACACTTTCACCATGACTCGTCTCAGCCTACGATGTTTTTTCTTCCTCGATTCATCTGGCAAGACCTAGTCCATGTCCTCTATTGTACCTTCTTCCCAGAGAAGAGGTCTCAGCATTTTCAGCAATTTCTGGGCCGGATTCCTTGTAGTCTTACGGCTTAATTTTCAAACCTGTCTGCAGTTTGATCCTCGTTGGATCCGTCGTAAAGTCTGGTTTTCCGACCGCAGAACCAGAAGTTCTTCAGGCTAACCTAAACGTTGACGGACCTCAACAGTTCTCGGCTCTTGTTTTTGTTTTGACGCGACATGTTACGCCCGCTGCGGGTTCCAGTGCGGAAAGGAGACGGAGGCTCCGCGGATGGCCGTACGTCGCTAAACTTTGGGGCAGAAAGCCAAGTCGGCGGTTACCTCCCGGACGGCGGCACGCATCGCGTCGAAGTCGTCCTGTCGAGGAACAGATTTGGATCCCGGCCGATTCCCATTGACGGTGGAATCGCGAAGACACCAGTCGCTATCTCTGGGAATATCTCTTTCTGTCACGCGCGCAGGTCCTGTGCTTGCGAGTGTCCCGTGCAAATAGCGTTGACAAGACAGACAAGAACGACGCAGAAATTGACAAGCGCGACCGCGACTCCCGCGCCCTCGCGGCGGAACGGCGAACTCGATGCGTTTCGCATTACTTGCCGTTAATTATTGTACTCTGTAATTATCTAAGGAGAGTTCTTTATGAAGAAAAAAAAAATGTAATGAGACCGTACACCTAATAGTGGGGATGACTTCAAGGACAGCTCGAGCCTAACCCTCTGGTGAGCGTTCCAGTTTACTATGTATTTCAGTGGATGGAGACGTAGTCTGTAGCGCTAATGAAATATCGGCCTAAGAAGGAACTTATCCATGTTAAACGTGATACAGTTCGACAGAATACTGCTAGGTGAAAGTGGCTCTGATAGTCGCAAAACATGGGATATGAATATTCTCTACTATTATCTGTAATAAGATTCGAAGTTGTAATTTTGTAATTTAACCTGCAAGATGTCAACAAGAGTCAACTCGTGATTGCACAGTTTGATTTGTTTATACGTAAGAAAAGCACGTAGAATGGCCTTGCGAGCTGGAAATAAATGTGCGGTGCGTTATTGCCCCAGTAGGAGACGCAGTACGAATTGCAGTTTTTTCAGGTTTCCCAAACATGAGGAGCGGTACGTCCCCCCATAAATAGAATATTTAAACATCTTTTGCACGATTACTGCAAAACTCTACTGAAATTGTAGATTCATTTGAAGTTTGGAACATATTTAAGAACTTCTGTTCGTTTTACTATTTTTATGTACACTTCGGTGTTTCGGAGTAATTGTTAAAATATCTTTTTCTAGAAACGTTTCTTTTTAAAAGAAAATCATTTCTTGTCCTCAGGTGGGCAGAATGGATAAAGGCGTGCGATCGTGAAGACCTGCGAGAGAAGGGACCTGCGTATGCCAACGAAAATGCTCGGATCTGTGCGGTGCATTTCGAGGAAAGAATGTTCTTCAACTGTAAAAAGAATCGGTTGATACATTCAGCAACTCCAACACTATTTCTGAATTTCAAGGACAAACCAGACATGTAAGTTGATAAAAACGAAAAAATAAGAATTAATGTATGTATATGTATTGTAACATATATGTAGAAAAATTTAGTCTAGTTTCATTCATAATTAATCAATTATATTTCTTCATCTCCACAAACAGTAAAGAAGAGGTGAACGAGTCGATCGTGGACGACGAGCTGATGCATGCATTCATCACTCCAAAGCTGAATATAGTCTTCAGGTCATCTACGGCATATACATCTCTGGAAGAAGACGACTCCATTTCGGGGAACAGCAGTGAAATCAGTGAATTAACGGTATCGACTATTCCTGTGAACGCTCCTCATTCTTCCGAAGCCTGTGGGAAAAAGATTTTAGTTAACAGACATACGCAGACATGCAACTCACCGACAAGGAATCTGGAGTACACCTTGCAGATGGAAGTGAAAAAGTTGCAAACGCAGGTTGCCAGATTGCAGTACACCTTGAGACAGTTGCATCTGCGTAAATTAGCTCAGAAAAGAAAACTCCAGGATAATGTTAAAATAACTATAAAGCAACCGGAATGCAAACGCTTGACGAGGGTAGGGGTTTAACATAAGATCGGAAATTAAGGTTGTGGTACAATTAAGGTTTTTATTTCCTTGTTCTTATTTTTTGGAATGAATTTACTCGAATGAGCTGCGTAACAATACCGATGTATATAAACATCTTTGAGTGCATAATATAAAAGTGAAAATCCTTTTCAAATGAAATCTCGTTCGTTATATCGAACCGAACTTTGGCGTTAAGTATTTGATGCCGTTCGGGAGCCTCCACCTATTACCGGCTAAAAGACGGTAGAACTGCAAGAAGTCACTCTACAGCTTTGTTAATCCAATAATAGGGCAGATAAAGACGGCGATATTCTTTGAAAATCCACCAGGGATATATTGGACGTCCAGAATACGTCTTTGGGACATCCTCGCTCCAGAGAACTATTTATTTCTCGATGCAACAATACGTGGTCCTCCGCAGGAGCACTTCCGAGTACGTAAAGGGAAGAAGAGAAAGAAAGAGAAGAAAAGTCGAGCGATCCGACCGCAGATCTCCCGTGGACCTCCACAGGACGTCCGAAATCTGTCCATGGGATTCACGTACACTGGCGGTCATGAATGGCTTCCTCGTGGACATGGTGCAGCCTGGTGGTAGTAACGTAAACGTAACGTAAAAAACGAGCTCGAGAACTTATGTACTTGCGGTACCTGATGTATAATAAACTGTAAAATAATTAATGTAATAAAGCAACTTATTTTTTTGTAACAGGAACATAAAACAGGAATCTTCCCCTTGGTCCTTTCCTTCACCGACATATAGATTTATCCGACTCGCTTGAAACAAGATTTCGAAATACACTCAGGGATCAGGCGCGAGTAAGACGTCCAACAAGGAGGGACAGCAGGCTTAACAAAGCGCGCACGGTCCAAATGAGATTTCGCTAAACGCCCGTTAAATTCGGGGTGAGCAGATGTTCCCGAGGCAGGTCCAGAGGGATGACTTCTCAATCCGTGGGGCCCGGGGCCTCACAAATCTCCTTCGGAGAGAGTCGGCCCGGGAAATCCTTAACAATAGGCCCAACAATGCTTTTCGGGCCTGACCGTCTTCTGGACCCTGGATATAGTCGTCCGATCCTTCGTCCGGCTGTTGCTTTGTGTCCAGGGTCGATTCCGCGTTTCTGCGTTTCCTAGTTTCCGAGGCGCGTTTTGAGCCCAGATTTCTCAATTCGCCCTCGGGGTGGTTCCAGTCCAAGTCATAATTATGCCGATCGGGGTGCTTTTCGTTTTGAGGCCTCCACCTGGTGGAGTTGCGTCTCGTATCACGGCTTTCGGAAGTTAGGAAGTAGACTCGATGCTTACTCTATTCTGGGACAGACAGCTAATACATTCCCGGATAGAAATTCATGATCATCGTTACGTTAAATTTTTTTATGTAATATACATCGAAAACCCTGAAAAACTGAAAATTACTCAACCCTAGTGCGTATTCAGGAAAAACGTGCCTGGGACACGAGGTTTCTCCCGGCGCGTTTCATTGGCTCATGGGGGGCCCTACGGAAAGGGGCCCTTCAGCTCCGAGGGGTGGGGGGGCATATATATAGTTGGGGTAGGTCGGTGGAGAAGCGCAGTTACCTGCGCGTCTCTGTCGCGCTCGCTTCGAGTAAATCTCTCGTGTCAACGTTGACACTTCCTAATTTATTCCCCGCTACTGATTAACCCGCTTCCCTTCATTTATAATTAATTAAATCGCTAATAAAAACGTTGTAATGGGTGACGATCGACGGTTCTTGTGATCGATCGATCACTTCGAGGTGTATTTTCACTTCGGAATATTTCTACGGAACGATTTAGAAGATTCTCATGGCTTTCCTTCGAGTGTCGACTTTTCTGATTGTTGTCGGTGAGTAACGTTATTTAGGATTAATCGTTTTTAATTAAGGAAACTTTTATTTCAATTGGGGAAACGTCGTCGATATTCTGTATCGGCTGATTAACGAGATTTTTAAGGTATTAGAAATGCGGTACACCTATGATTTTTTCTATACGTGAATAAAATAGTGAAATTCATATTTTATTGTACATGCGTAAAACTACTGGAAGTAGGGTATTTGGGGTAAAAATTAAACGTTTATCCATCCACGGATTTTTCTCTGCGTTAAATATACGTAAACGGTTAATCGTCAGACACGAGATCGCTGCCAATGGACAATCGATTGGAGTTTCTTGAAAATTACGTGACACTTTTTTACAGCCTTCTTGTCAAGGCGCGAAAGAATCCGAAGACAGTTTCATCGTTGACTTGTCGGTCACGCGTTACTCGCGTGTCTTGCGAATCAATTGTCATTGTGTCGCTCGAAATGCATCAGAGGATACTCTCTTATTGCATGCTCGACTCTGACTTGTTACGCGATTCTCCATGTACTATTGCACTCGTTTGTATCCCTAACAATCGTGATGAAATTACCTGGAAAAAGGTGAGGGAACACCAATTTTCATAATTTATTCCCGAGATTTCTTCATTTTTGTTAAGACAGGATTCTTACAAAATTTCTGATGAAGTAGCTTGTACTTTTCACAATTGTAATGAAATTACGTGAAAAAAAATGAGGAAATAATTTACTTCAAGTTCTATTGTGGCGTTGGTGAAATAATTAAGAATTGATGTTTTGGAGGGTGGTGGACGTCGAAGATGCATAACTGCACGCATCGTCGCGTGATCGTCCAGTCTGGGGGCCTTCGATTCGGCTGGAATACCAATCGAAACAATAGCAATAAAAAGAGAGAGACCCAAGGAGAGAAGAGGCGATTGCAATCGAATGACAAGTAGCCGTGGGAATGAAAGAAACGAGAAGAAAAGGGAAGAAAGGGTGGGACATAGGTTTTTCTCTGCATTTTTCGAGGACAGAGGGAACGAAAAAAGGGAATGGCATGTCGACGTTTATTTCTCTCGGTACTTTCTGCATATATTATTCTCATTGCGCCGATTATACTTCATTAACAGAATTGACAATAATGAAGTAAATATCGATTGTATTTCCCAGCACCCGAAACAATGTTCAAAATGATCAGTTACCGAGGGAATTAAGCGATTTACTTTCGGGATTTACTGGTGTAAAAAATTATTCCAGTTTTCCTAAAGCACGAGAAAATAGATTCCAAGTCGGTTAGGATTCTGGAGGGAAAGAAACGTTCCCTCGTTCGGCTTTTTATCTTCGAACGTGACTTCTGGGTAGAGAGGGGGACACATTGAGTCGTTTCTTTTCCCATTGCTAGGATCGGGAAAAGGGGCAGAAGTTTACGAAGCTGCTTTCCCATGCCCGGAAAATCTTGGTGGAGAAGACCCCTAACCTCAACCCGAAATCCGGTCTTATCGATTACCCCGCAATTTGGAGAAACGAGGGATTAGTGAAATACACGAATGAGAGGTAGAAGAAGTAAAAAAACGTACCTGCTATTGTAGCCCAATAAGGCCCAACGAAGCCTACTGGTGTCACTATAAATAGTCAAGCTTCGGGGCCTGTCTGGATCCTGCGAGTCAACTTTGCATCCCACCCGCGTAGTCCATCGCGATTATCCCGGCTGCCAGTAGATGTCTCCCCCGATAGGGCCCTTTCCCGATCCCGGTTGGGCCCGACGGCCAACGTAGATCTGGAAAAGAGGCCGACCCTTTACCCCGTTGGGGCTAAAGACGTCCGATTGTCCTTGGGCCCTTTGGGCCCGGACCAGGCGAAAGCTAGCTGCGGGGCCCAATGAGCCTCGTGGGCCCAGTCGGGCTCCAGACCGCGGCTAGGTAGCCGGGGGTGTCCCGAAAACCCGAGATAATCCGGCCCCGGCGGATATTCATCCGTTCGAATCTGTCGGGCCCTAAATCAGAGGCAGGGCCCAGCGGGCGGGCCCGGGGCCCTAACTGCCGCCGGGGGTCCTGCCCGGCCACGGACCCCATGAGGCGCGCGACACTGGGATTCCGGATAGCTGATACACGAGGGGATTTATCGTCTCCTCTCGCGTGGCGCAAAACTCTCAAGGTGCCCCTTTGTTTTCCAGGCCGGGCACTCGCCGTCTCCTGGGGGTCCGATGGGGCCCACGAGCGCTGCGAGGATGCCGTTCGGGAGACCATCGCCGAGGACAGGGCCACCGCTGCCGACGAGACCGCCTCCAGGCTCCACTCCACTTGGCTCTCGCAAGAGTATGTGTTCCAGCCCTCTACACCTTGGGGCTTTAAGACCGAATTTTCAACCTGGGGTGGGAAAATCGGATTTTTATTTATTAACGCGTTAAGCGCGGAGACGATTTTGCAGAGCTTTCCATTCAGACGGCACAATTTTTTGCGTTGGTTAATTGGAATACGTCATTTTTCTAGATGGGGCCTCGGGCCCAATTTTTGACACAGATGCACCTCGGTACGCGAACGATTTATTTCGAGCCCTTTCCCAACATGAGGCCCATCTTAAAGCACCCCCGATGCCGTGATATACCTCGCGTGTAGAATGGGGCCTGATTTTTTTTTGGGTCCGGGCCCTATTAGTTGCGAGTGCCTGTCATATGTTCCAGCAGGCCCCCGTGGGAAGGAGGCTCGCGTGGATTTGTTTTGGGCATTAGGCTCGGCTTCGAGTTAATTTCTGGAATCGGGGTATTCTTTTTTTTTTCATCCGGTGGATTTTCGGGGCCTCAGGCCCAAATTAAAATTAATCCTCGGTGCCCTGCCTTCCATCTGGCTCTTCAGTAACGCACTCTTTCGAATCATTTTCCATATCTCTACATATTTATCAGAGATCATTTTTCACTAGATTTAATTTAAATCGTTATCTAGTTGATTTTTCTTTTTGATTCATCAATCTTCCATTTTATGCAGATATTAAATTTGGGATTCGATTAAAGATAATGAAATGAAAAATGAGCGATTGAATTGTTTTGTTTGAATGATATCTGTCAGAGATATTTGATAGGTTTTTGATAGACGTCGTGCTCTATTGTACCGTGGACGTTGTCAGTTAGTCTAGGGATATCTAGGGATATTCGATCATGGTTGTAACGGTTCGGCAGGATTTTCGGCATTGTTTCCGAGCGATTGTTCCTCGGCCGGGGGTCCCTTTGTTGCGTCAATCCAGTTCCGATCGTGTCGCTCGATCAAAGACTGTCATAAATCTCATTCGATCCCTGTAGATAGAGTCCCATTTCTGAAAGAGGGTCTTTTCACCTCCAACTGAAGACCCCGAAGAGAGTTGCCCAACGCGTGCTTGAAATAAATTTAAACAGTTATTATTTCATTCAAATAAACGAATAAATTTTCATAATTCAGAACAAATTTTGCGTCCAATTTATTCGAGTCAAGTAATTATTCTTTGAATTAAAAAAATATTTCTTTATCTCCGAAACTAGCTGAGATTAAATACCACTGCTTAAAAGTTGACCAAAATTGAAATTTTTGGTTTCTTTACATAATTATTTTAGGCCTTATTTCCAATTTATTATCTTGGTTGATTTTCTGGATTTGTCCTTTTTGATGTGGTCTCGGTACTTTGGGACAAAGTGGACATTCAGAGTGGACATTGTCGGTTGGTCGAGAATGTCGATTATTGGAATAACGGTTCGCCGGGGTTTCGGACATTGTTTGCGGTCCATTGTCACGAAAATCGGGGCCTCTTTGTTGCGCAAATCGCGTCATGAAATTGATCGAAGACTCTCGCAAATCCTCTTTATGGTCCATGGATGGTCCTAGAGCGTAGAAGAGGGTCCTTTGATCGACCCTATTGAATTATTTCGGATTTGGTCGCCATTGTGTCCTCGAAAATCTACGTACGTTTCAATACGGATAATATAGCAGAGATCTGCAACCGGTAACGTCAGCCGAACTAGGAATTCAATTACCACTCCTGGTTATCGGAAAAGAGAATCTAGGGTCCCTTTATGGCGCAAATCCAGTTCCGATCGTGTCATAAAGCACATCGAACTCTCGTAAATCCCCTCCTACCTTTATTGGATGGTCCTAGAACTAGAAGAGGGTCTTTTGACAGTTCCCATTTTACCGTCCACTATTCGTGTCCCTGACATTTCGGTTCACGTGGCCATTTCCATTCGCAATTCTACTGTCCGATCGCATTGTACTATCGACTAAGGTGTTTTAAGTGCATCTTTACGGTTATTGGTTCATTTTAGAGCTGGAAACAGGTCCTTCGAAGGATCCTTTTAACCTTTTCGGAATTTCTGTCCTCGAAATTTTGGCACGCGTGACGCTTTTCGGAACATCCTGCCAAGATGGCGGCGCTTGGGAGAAACCGAGGACAATTCGGTTATTTACGAGAGGGGACATTTCTCTGGGTAGACGGTCGCTTGGATCGGTTTTTGCTCCGGCCTTTTTTCTACGAAATTTTCAGATCCTTCGGTCAGGCTGAAGAATTTCGAGGGACTGCGTCCACTTGAAACTTTCCGACCTCTTTGAAGTATGGCGCAGCTTCGGATTTCTAGGTGGAATAAGGAGGATAATGATATCTTACGCTTATGTCGTTTCAAAATCTAAAGGGCCGACAGATAAAAGTAATCTTCCATCGCGAACTAACAAAACCTTTTTATCTTCTTGCTCAAGAGGTCCCATCTTTGGGTTCATCTTCTAATTGGCACCGAGGTCCCTTCAAGAAGCATTTTCTCCCGGAATTCGGTCCTCACTTCATTTACACTTATCGGGGAAGTGTCCCCGGGTCGGTTGTTTGCTTTCTTCCCAACCTGATCCCTGTTTCGGAAAAGCTTTCCCAGATTTTCTCTGCTGAAAGACGAGGAAGTCCCTCGACGCGGTCACTAATCTTCATCCTGAAGAAATGTCTGCTCTTTCTCATTTTCCTAAGAATTCGTCTTCCCTGAAACCATCGAAAGTGCATTCTCTTTCGAAATTGGAGAACTTTGTCGGTCTGTACAAAGATAGTCTCTCGGTCGCCTAAAATATTCATTAATTACCCAGTTTGGAGAAAAGCTTCATAAACGCTTGGCCCCGATTTCGGTCACCGAAAGCCCCAACAAATTTAAGTGTGTAACAATTGTTTATCATTTGCAGGTGCGAGGTTCGAGCTGGGCCGGAATACGTGATCCGGAAGTACACGTTTTATCAAAATGGGACTTTTTTGCTTCATCGCCATCACTATGCCGAAGAGTCGTGCAGCGTCGCGACGCATACTCTAACTGCCCGAGGTGCACTTCGATTGTTGCAACCATCGTTAACAATAAGTGGCGCAACAGAAGCCAGATACCAGCTACATACAGTTCATATAATTCCACTCAACCGACAGGTGAACATTTTTCATTAATTTTCAGAATCGCTCGAGTATTAAACGTTCATATTACAAATGAAAATTAGCGACGCGTACTTGCATGGAGTACCACAATATTCAAAGCAGGGTAAAACGAATTTCGGGTTCCCTGGAAGTTTGTACTTATTTTTTCTCCAATCTCTCAGTGTTTTCCCGGTAGATCGCCGGTGTTTTTTCAGATATTCGCTTTTCCCCGGTTTTCCAAAAAGCGGTTTGTTTGCGCAGGTGGCCTACAAATTCGGGCACCGCGTGAACGCGTCGTGCAGCCCGCAGCCAAGATGGCGGCCGTACGTCGCCCAGCTGATTTACGATCTTCCACTTCGGCGCTTCTCGGGCCCGTTTTGGGAGGGCCCGAGGTACAATTCTCTCCAGGGCCATCCCTATTCTCGGAATCACCGTGGCTTGGACTGTCTGGAGCCTCTGGGGGTCGATTTCGAGGAGCTTAGGCTCCTGAGGGTCCAAAGAAAGCCACCCATTTCGAAGGCCTTCGGCCTCGGCGTCATCGGCAGGCCCAGAGTCGAACTTCTTCTGGGCAGTCTTCCTCCCAATGTCCATTCTAGAAGGACCCACAGGCCCAGCTCTCTTCAGCCCACCTCGCTTCTTCGAATTGACAATGTAATTTTGCGACATTGATATTTTCCTTCCCACTTTTAAGTGCATAAAGAGGAAACGTGCATAAAGTAGCACGTTTCCTGTTTTAAATCTATTGCATACAACGCTTGGTCCGTGAAGTTGTTTATTTTGACTTTTGAGAATTAAAAATATTGTTTGTTTAATGCAGATCAATGGATGTCCGGTGTGCAGTACGATTGCAAGAGGAACAGAGACAAGTCCACCGCTTCTTCATGAAGCAGCTGCACTTCCTGCACTTCTTGGAGGTTCCTGGTTGAGCTCCAGCTGCGAAAGTTTCGAAGGTGGCTTTTGGATGAGAAGACAACTTCAAATTTATTCTGGGGATAAGCTGTGGACAGGTCGATGGGATTATTACGAGGATCCGAAGTGCACTTCCTTTCTATATGCAATTTCCGCAGCTGGAAGTTACGTCCAAAGAGCTGGAAGACAAAGACGTCATCCACTTCAGTACAACTTCGATGAACCAACTGTTGTTAGGGATTTCGACCCAGGGATCATGTCTTTGTTGTTGCCAACTGATGGCGAATTCTTCAAGGAATCCTTCAGGGAAAGGAGAAGTATTGATCGAGAGAAATGGAGGAGCAAAGAACTTCACGATTATCAGAACTTTAAGAAGATTTTGGGCATTCGAGATGTTGACGATGGAGATCGAAGTTTGGAAGGGATTATTGGTGGCATGAAGTTGGAAGCGAGGAAAAATATGAAATTAGGACTGAAAGATGAACTTGAAGACAAAGTTGATTTTCGAATCAGTGAAAATGAAAAATTTGAGGAAATGGACACCGAAGAATTTCCAAGAATGAAGAAAGAGCTTGCCGAATGGATGACTCCTGAGCTTGCCAAGAAGATATTCGACATGTATGGTCCGAAGAAAGTCAGGACGGAAGAAATGTTGCCAACCCTTGAAGAGATCCGAGAAGCGATAGGAAAATCCGATGAATTATCGGAGATGCGACAGAAAATCGATGACGAAGAAATGACGGAACTTCAGAATCACATCTTAAGAGACAGCAAACTGTTAGCTTCGAAAATGACATCGACTTCTTCATCAACGATTCCTTTAGAAGGAACGACCTGGGAATCCTCTCAAATAACAGAAGTTTGGAATGGAAGAGATGAAGGAAATGACTTCTCCACTTCTACAATTCTGCCCCAAGAAACCACGGAATCCTTGTTACCAATTCCCGATGAGCAAGTCGGTGATAATCTAGATAATATGAAAGACAAAAAGTTCGGTTTAATTTCCGAAGCACCAGAGTCCACGACCATCCCCGAAAAAGAAGTCAATCCATCGGAACAAAATCAATCGTCACTTCCTTTAACTACTCGTCAACCAACTCCGGTGGAGCCTTCATCAGTAATCAGTATCTCCAAAAAAGACAACACAGAGAACGAGGAGAACAAAGTCAGGTTCGTCCTCGAAGCGAGGTCTTCATCGGTGAAGATGTCGCAGACCAAACGAAGGAACATCCTCCCGGAAAAAACAGAGGGTCAAATTGATGAGAATTTAGAAGTAGGAAAAGCGAGAAGAAGTTTGGACGAGGACTCTTATCGTCACCTCCTCCAGAACGCACAACCTTCCATGGTGGAGTCTTTCGCCGCAATGTTAAGGGGGAACCAGCGATACGAGCAAACGACCAAAAGACCGTTGGTCCCGCCAATGCCAAGTGGAACCACGGAGTTGGACCTGCACGTTGCTGAGAGTCTTCTGATTCCTGGCGATCCTGCCATGGCACAGCGTTGTGGAAGTCAGGGCGAGGTCCTAACTTCGTGGCCTAGAAATTGTGTGAGACACGCGATTGAAGCTCCGTCAACTCTGGGACTGAGAGCCAGAATTGGGGTCAACTGGGTTGGGCATTACATCTTGATGTTGGGCCCTAGGGATGACAATCTTTGGCAGGCGCCTTTGAGACAGTGTGGACCAACTTTGTCGTATAATCCTAGACTTAGAGCGCATCTTAGGAGGATGGTGGGACTTAAGTTTGGTCTGGTCTCCACTTCGGGAGCTGGTGAGTCCTTCAGTTGGTTGATCGTCTTGCAAGTTGTGGTGTGCTGGTTGTGTTGGCTGGCCCGATGACGACCAACTGCGAAATATGGGATAAACGAGTGATGGGAGTTTTCTTTGTCAACTCAGGAAGTAACATATCTAGGTTTTTCAATAAAACTATTAGGAAAACAATCGTGTTAGGAAACTGCGATCCTGACGTCATGAAGTATGAATTGTGCTGCACATGCCATCCAGGCTCCTTCGATTCTAGGATCGATGGCTAGGATTGATATCTGGGTTAGGCATTACATCGATTATTATTGTAAATATGTAAGTAATGTTAATACAGTTTAGGCAAGTATGTACGTAATAGAAATAGGATTAGGATTATTATTAAATTTTTACACGCGTAAAAGATCGACATGTAATCAAATTTATTTCTGAAGGACGAACACCGACCAGTGATTATTTAAAAATTAACGTGGCTGCGATTTGCAGCACAAATTAGTTAAGCTTGTATATAAATAAATATGTAAAGGAAAATAAGATTTAGTGACTTTCTTCGAGTCACCGTTTAGATTATTGTTAGGTCTAAGGTTGCCACGGCTATGGGACGAGAACCCCAGTGAATTTGATTTTTAATTACCATTGTTAGTTACAGGAATTATTCTGTAAATGTAGCATCTGTTTATATGTAAAATATGTGGATATGTATTATTACAGTAGATATAATGGAAAAAAAGCGGAATGTAAATAAACGGGAAACCAGAATAACCGCTGAAGAAAGAAATGTTATTCCATCACGTTGAATTTCAATTTAATCGTATAATTAAATTTCTACTTACAATTTTAACTCTTGTAGAGCTTTATCATCGCAATTTAACCGATGATGATAATACTCCTTGTTATGAATAAATATAGATTTGCAGAGAGATTCGCTCGTCGAACGGTCCCGGCAGGAGACGGTCGGATTTGTTCTGGTGGCGTGTAACTGCGTAAAAATAGAAGGAAATATAGTCCCGAGAATACTTTCTTCGTATCTTTGCTCCATGCGCTTGCGACTCTTATAAATATACGGTCTGCACTTCTGGGACATTCTTCGCGCCGCCAATTTTCTCCAGTCCGGATCGAGCAGCTGGAGTTCGATCTGCTCATTGCCGGAAGAAAGAAAATAGTTTTTCGATAACGACGACCGCCATTTTCCATTTTTGGTAAGTCAACGTCTAATATATAACGTATTGAGCATATCACCCTATACAAGTTAATACCTAAAACATAGCACATTCATCATCCAAATATTCGGATGCCATATTTAGAATTTGATTTTTATTCTCCGAACAGAAAACGATTCGGAATACTTCCAGAACACAAACGATTAGTGTTCCCGTTTTACTCGTTGGATTTTATTTTATAAGAGTTTTCCGGTGAATCAAATCTACACGGTCAATCAATCGAACGACACGTCCGTGCGGAAGTTCAGCTTCCGGATATCCGGATATCCGGTGAAGGAGGATATCAGTTCCTGGGGACCCACTTGGGGGACCGTCGACCGCCCACTGCCTCCAGGTATCGATTAGTCCGCGCATGCGCGGAGCCTCGACGCAGGAGCGCTTGGGCGGTTCCACGAGTCGTCGGGGAAGCTCGGTCCAGTTCGGACGGGATTCGGTCACGTTCGGGAGGGTCCGAGGGTGGTCGAGGGTGCACGTGGGATGGCAGCCTTCGACTCAGCCGGGATCAACCGGGCACCCAGCGGAGGTCGCGCGATCAACAAGTACGGGACGTGTCCAGGACCTCTTGGGCGATCGGCAGTGCTCCAATTTCTGGTAAGATTTGATGCGAGTGAAGGAGTCATTTTCATATGCATTGGCGATTTCATTTATCGATTGCGCAAACAATTTTCTACGAGTACGAAAAGCGTTTGGGACGTGTTTAGGACTAGTCAGGGACCGAGCTGTCGAACGAAGTGAAGTCCGAAGAAAATTGCAGGTCTTAGTACCACACTCCCAGAAATAACAGCTCGAAGTAGGCAAGAAACGATTAAGCATGTACCGCGGAGGTTTGAAGTCTTAACGGGGACTTTAAAAAGCCTGAAAATCACACGTTTTAGCACCAGACTTCTCGAAATAAACGAATATTCACCCCGGAGGTCCGAAGTCGTAACAGCGACCTTAAATCCGCGTAGCGCACGCCGAGGAGTCGTAAAAAGCAGAGACTCGGTGGCCAACTTCACCCAGGGAAAGTTAACTATAATACAACTCTCATAAGTACCGAGATCGGTCAGGCGTGAAGGCAGTCAAGGATCGCGGGGAACATTAGACGGTACTTGCGCTAAAAGTACTCACCTAACTTCACAGTAACGAGGAAATTAATTACGCGAGCTCTAATGAGGAGCAAATTATTTGTTCGCGTGAAGAGATTCTCCTTGAAACAGCTTAATTACATTTAATTGTAAACTTGAAGTACTCGAAAAAGAGAAAGAACTTACCAGCATTGTGAGTTACGAATTAATCAAATGGACTGTCATTAGTGGAGTGAATAGTTCATATTGACGGTTTTCATATTGACATTTTTTATCGAAGATTAACAATTTTATTCTTTTGAATATTAATGACATTATCTCGCATTCGATGTACTGATAGTTCATTAGCAACGATATATTGACAGTTCATTACCAACGAATAGTTTCATACTATACTTACAACTACATTGCTTTCATTTATTTATAAAAGGTAAAATACTTTTTTTTTTGTTAAAGATCCCCATTTGGATCCGGGGACCGCGCTAAATCATCGAACAGCTGATTTTGACAGCTCACTGGCAGTGACTGTGAGTAGCTTTAACTTATATCTTTGGTTAAATATTTCCATCCAGTATAACGTATTACATTATCAAATATTATTGCCTATGCCTTTTCTTGTTATAGAAAAAATGCAATGAAGAAATTTTCTGTTTCAGGTGATCGTGAACAAGCAAAGGCAATTATCTTGAATAATAATGAATCCTCATGAGATGAGGAGAAAACGGAAAAAGTACTCGAAATTTTCCGACTCGTTGCTAAATTAGACTTTCGTCCCCGCGAATTTCTTTGACTGGAAAATTAGTTAATAAGTGGACAATCAAATTTTGCTATGAAATCATTTCCGAGAGAAATTAGTTGACGAATCCATTCTTGCCTAGTCTCTCATGACTAATGTTCATTTCGTAAATATATTTGATATTACCTTTTCATATAAAAATTAGTTAATTAGCGGGCAACTAAATTTCGTCGCAAGATTCTTTTTGCACAGACTTAATCTTGGAACAAATTTGCGAAGAATTTAGTCGCGATGGAACATTCGACCTCTAATGACGGCCTGAATGCAGAATTAATTAGTAAGTCAACATGACCTCGGTACTGCAAAAGACTTTGTTGGCCTTGACACTCGTCTCGTGTCTAGCTTTGGTCGCCATTTTGACTAACAAAAAGTTGGCCTTCGAGGCGCGGAGAAATGCTCTCTTTCTTGAGATGATCGCCAATATTAGTAATGGATTAGACAAGCTCGATAATGGATTGGACGGAATCGCCGTGCAGACGGAAGTAACAAAGGGAAGATTGCGACAATTGGCCGCTTTGCATCGGGAAAATCTGATAGTTTGTGCGCTTCTTCGGGAAAAACGACAGAAAAAAATGGCGGCGAAGGAGAAGAAATGAAGATAATTCACGGAAGGAGAGACGATAATGAAAGTGCAGATAATCCAAGAATGATAATAAGATACCGAGTTGCTCAGTGCCACCGAGGAATGTTCTATACTACTAATTGGTGCTAATTTTCTCTCTAAGCCATCAGAAGAATTATTTTCTTCATTAAGCAAGTGAGATTCGAATTAGTATTAATGACTGATACTAATTACGAATAACAGACACTTTTATTACTAATTAAAAAGTTAACATAAGTTAAATTAAGGGGAAGATGGCGGAATAAGGTGCCAAAAATAGAAGAGCTATCGACGTGTAATTACTAATTATAATAGTTAACTATTATTAGTGTCAACAATTGTGTTCCGCATGAAAATGGCCAATGAAGAAGTGAACGGAGAAAGAAAGGGAAATTGAAGAGGACGAAGTTACAATTAATATATAAATATAGATATACATATATATTTTTTTAAATTCGTCGTTTAAAGGACAAGTTGAAGAGAGTCTGTACTCTTTGGTAATGAGACTATCATGGTTTTATAGAGTTTCGTGTACAGTTAGTACACGAAAAAGTGAATTAAATGAGACTTATAAAAATCGGGACGATAAGGACAGGAAGAAAATTGCAAAAGGAAGATGTGATATCGATGAGATTTACGGTGACAACTGTCGAGGGAATTCTAAACTTCGTTTTTTCTAAATGTTCGTTAGATTAGGGAAAGACTTATAATATAAAATAATTTTTAAATACTGGAGAAGCGAGTCGGAGTCTAAACAGAAAAATTCTAAAAAACATCACGAGAGCGAAAATGTGACATTTCAAGGGTAGAAAATTAAACGAGATGAAAAATATGTTCTTGAAATTCAATTACAAAATCAAGCGATGAGATAAAAAATGTGTCGAGTTCTTTTTTTGCACACGAAAATTGATTTGTATAAAATCTTACGACAATCACGTTATCGAACGATTTCGATGAATGTGGGACGATAAAAATAAGAAAATAAAAATGGAAAAGTATTTTCAACTATTACTAGTCATTAGTTTAGCGGTTTATAAAATTGATGTATGTATGACAATTTTTACACGTAGGCAGTTTTAAATTTTTGGGGAAAGAGGTAAACGAAGAAGCGACAGGTTGTTCATGATAAGGGTCCAATTATTCATCGTATTAATTTTAGTAATTATATCCAAAAACGGCGATTTAAATGTCCTCTCTGGGCCGTCCATAGCATCGTTTATTAGCATAATTTAATGCAAACAGGAATTAGAATTTTTCCGGGCACAACTATATTGCAAATATTTATACCATACAGGGTGTATAATTAATTCAACAAAACAATGTTTACTTCTGTTCTGGGTTTCAAATTATTAATTAATGATTGCCAATTTGAAAGACTTACTTAACGAATTGCATAAAGTATATAAATATTAATGGACTGGGTATAATTAGGTAAATTGTTCACCCTGTACTCTACAAATGTAGTCGTAAGAGTAGCGCAAAGAAGAAATGAATATCAGTGTACATATTTTAGATAAATTAGGGTATCGGGTATTATTATAAATTATAACTGTGTTCATAATAAAACTGCACCGAAGCCTTGTCGCGAGAGCCTTTTATTATACGGCATCGCGTTTCAAAAGGAGAAATTTTTATTATTGCGAATGTTTATGGCAATAAATAAATGAAGACCGATTTCCGCCTTGACATTGCGGTGTCTAGAAAGTCGCAGAAAATAGTCGACATGATTTTGCGAGAGGAAAGCCGGCCTGCAAAGATCCAAAGCCATAATTAGTGTCGTCCAGAGAAGGGAGAAAGTCGGGAGATGGAGAGCCGGTCGAGATTAATGCAAGACGAACTTTTCGCAAGAAGGAAGCTGCGAAGGAGTCGGCATTTTTCTCTTTCCTTTTCTTTCTCCCCTGTTCCTTTTCCACATAACTTATTTCAGCTATTCCAGCTGCGGATGTTTCACAGGTGCGGATCGTCGGCAATTACGTACGCCGGTTTGAGGCAGTCCACCGATGACGTGCCATTTCTTACTTGTGTGGTCTAAGTGATTATTAATCAAGGTCAAAGGCAATCAGCTGTTATCGCGTTGGCGAGAATGGCTGTCAGTGGGTACTGGAGAGACCAGTCGAGCGAAGTCGCTCGAGAAGAGTAGACGTATGGATTGAAATTATCGTTCCTGTGATCGTTTATCGTTGAAAATAAAAGAAATAAGAATTCGTTAGTTTATACAAACGGGGTCGAAATTCAGTTTCTCGGAGTCGTTGCAACAAAACAAAATTCTTCTCGTTCATTTCAAAACCCGTGAGGTGAAGAGTTATCTTTTCAGTGATTCTGCAAATGTAAAATTTCGCAATAATTTACGGCGAGAGCGATAAAGTGATAAAATGGCTGAAACGAAGGGTAAGTAGTTCCATGTTTGCATTTTTTTGCGTAAATGAGGTCTAATTAAGTGATTTTAATTCGCGTGAACATGTGTTGCAATTTCTTTAACGAGGGGAAAAATTATCTTATCTGGCTCTGCATTTTATGTAACTTAATTTCAAGATGGCCGAAACAATGAGTAACATTTAGCTGGGTGAAATTTCTCATTTCGCTCGAAATTAATCCTATGTAAATAGTAATGTATACAATTGGTTTCTAAATTGTTATTCATTTTCTAATTACAGAATGCGTTTCCTGCGGTCCTGGATACAGAAGTCCAAAAGTGGCGATGTTGGAAGGCCCAAGAGAAAAAATTATGTACGTCGTATGTATACATACGGATCCAAAAAAAGCTGATGTCCTTTCAACAGTCGATGTTGATCCTGAAAGTCCCACTTATTGCCAGGCGAGTTACTTAACTATTTATATTTAAATAAATATAGAAGTTCCTCTGGCAATTGATGTAAAGATGTATTAATATAGATATGTTGATAATATTCTTCCAGATTATCCACAAACTGAGGATGCGAGAGATCGGAGACGAGCTACATCATTGCGGATGGAACATTTGCAGCAGCTGTCATGAGTCAAAAAAGAAAAGAGACACTCTGGTCTTGCCTTGTCTTATGTCAGACAGGATATATTTAGTTGACGTATCGAACGAGAGAGAGCCAGCCATTAAAAAGGCAAATTTTACTTAACCGCAATTTTAAATTAATTCTTATTTTTATGGTAAACATGGTGAAGGTTGTAGATGATTTTAAGGTGAAGTGAAACTTCATCATTAATATTGTTGATAATTTTGAAGGTGATAGAGCCAGAGGAGATGCACAAACATGGTTTAGCGACTCCGCATACAACTCATTGCGCTCCCACGGGAGAAATAATTATTTCTACCATGGGAAATCCGAACGGCGATGCAATGGGAAATTTCTTGCGAATCGATACCGAGACTTCCAAAGTTTTGGGAAGTTGGACGACAGGTGAGAAGAGAGCGAAATTTGGGTACGATTTTTGGTATCAGCCTTATCACGACGTCCTGGTTGCTTCGGAATGGGGTGTTCCCCGAGTTTTTAAAAAAGGCTACGCCACGACAGATGGTCCTGATCCTGGTTAGTATACAATTAAATTAACAATTAATATATTAAGAAACATAAAAAAAAATTAATCTAGTTTAGTTCCATAGTTTATTCCCTGCTTTATGCTGCAATGTAGTCATTGTTGTTCTTTTAGCTGTTTATGGAAGGAGTCTGAATTTTTATTCTTGGAATGAACGAAAGCTTGTGCAAGTTCTGGATCTCGGGTACGACGGAATAGCTCCTTTAGAAATCAGATTCCTTCACGAGCCCACTTCGAGTGAAGGATTCGTCGGATGTGCAGTCAATGCAAACGTCTTTAGATTTTTCAAAAATGAAAATGGAAAATGGGTCGCCGAGAAAGTCATCGACGTCCCTCATAAGAAAGTCGAAGGGTGGATTGCACCTTACATGGGAGGTACGTAATTTAGAAATTAAACTTTTCACCTTCCCTGCAATTACTCACCAAGCACCCTATGTGACATATTACACGTATGTTGGGTAACCGTGTTTGGTAGGTTAATATTAATTTTTGTTTTGTTTTCAGGAATGATAACGGACATTTTATTAAGCCTTGACGATAAGTACTTGTACTTTTCGAACTGGCTTCACGGAGACGTCAGGCAGTACGACATTTCGGATCCGAAAAATCCGAAATTAACCGGTCAAATTTTCCTCGGAGGCTCCATTTTGTCCAACTCGAATGTCAAAGTGATCGAAGACAAGGAATTGTCAAAACAACCCGATCCGATTTATGTCAAAGGACGAAGACTTTTGGGTTCTCCACAAATGTTGCAGTTGAGTCTCGACGGTCGAAGACTTTACGTCACTACCTCGATTTTCAAACCCTGGGATAAACAATTTTATCCCGAACACTTCAAGTGAGTTACTCTCATTCTTCGCGCACTTTTAAAAAAGTGTCAAATGAAAGAAGATTTTTTGTGCACATTTAACAATGATTTGTTTAAGGCGAGGCTCAACAATGGTTAAACTTGACGTTGACATTGACAATGGAGGCATGAAGTTGGATGAAAATTTCTTGGTTGACTTCGGAGCTGATAAGGATGACATTTTATTGGCTCATGAAATGAGGTATTTATTGATTACTAATATAAATTAAGTAAAGCGAGTTACCAGTGACAACAAGTATACATAATTATGTAATTAATTAATATTCATTATTATACCCAGATATCCTGGAGGAGATTGCACTTCCGACATTTGGCTTCCGGAAAAATAAACACTAATTTTCCCGAAAAATGTTTAGCAACACGTTTTTCCTTAACTCTAATACCAAGAGGTGAACAACCTGATAATTTCTTATACAGTTGATAATAAATAATGCTTATTCAATTTTTCTTAATATTCATCATTCTATCGTTATCCTATTTTTCGTCATCAGCATCATAACACATTGTTCAACTTACTGAAAAAATTGTCAATGAAATCGGAGAAACCGTTTTTTAAGCAGAATTTATTCCGGAACGAGTGGAGCGCGGAACCGCGGTCGTCAATCTCTCTAACATAAGTCTATTAGGGGTATCTCGGATATAATAATGCGATCAATTGGCTTTGTCTCCCGGTAACAATGTCCCGGGAATGTCTAATAATAGCCCCTGACAAATGGCAACCGGTATTGATTCGAAGCCACGGAGTCGACGTGAGGATAGGCGCCGCACTCTTCTTCGAGATCCGAGGCGCTAATTCATCCTCCTTTCCCTTCGCTCGCGCAATAATGTCTGCATTGCGCGTAATCGCCATCTTGGATTTACGAAAAAAGTTACTTCAGTCTTATTTAAAGTACCAAGCTTTGAGGCCTGGGTAACGGTATCTTAATTGCGATGATCCATGAACATTGCCCATTACAGACACAGGGACAGATCCCCTCGACGATCGCCCTTGTTGCCTGCCCATTTATTCCCCCTTATCGGGCCCAGAAATCTAATCGGTCATTATCTCCCCCTGCTTTCCATACATCGCTCTGCTTCACTTGTACCACGAACAATTGCCGGAAGTGAGTGAAAGTTACGGATTATTATCCACTTATCCCTGGCGCCTTTCCGGGCTCGGTTGGTAAGCATATCTTGAAACTTCCTGTGTTTTGGAGTTTGTCAATTATTTGTTTTAATTATTCGCGTATTCCCGTGGAGAAAAAAATATTTAGGAATCTGGCAGCGTCATATGACCTCCGACCATGCATCCATGCAATTATGTGGTTCAAGGCGGAAAATGGAAATCGACTACTCTGGAGTCAGTCGAATGCAACGCGTCGCTCGTGCGGAAGGAATGTCCATGCAGTTCTGTTCCTCCCCTGCGGAACCGGAAAGGAGCACAACGAGCGATCTTCCGGACGTAACCTAACCTATAATGTCGGTCCGAGGCATGAACCGAAGCGAAAGTACGATGTTTTGAGTTTATGTAACCTCTAAAAAATTACTGTATCGGGAATAAGATGCCGAAGTTGCATTTCGGATGCAATCTAATCTACAATATCAGTACCGAATTTCCCGCTTGAATGAATTTTTTGCGCGTGGAATTTTCATTCGAAATATTTTTAATACGTTTATATTGTATTCGGCAGATGATAATTGTTTAAAAGATACTTATGTAAAAATGAAAGGAATAAAAGAATTTTGCCCAGTACGAGTGTATGAATTTTCTGATTCCTTTTAACGGTTACCACGAAATGATGGGATGACAACGTGTCAACGGAAGGGGTCGCTTTTTTTCGGAGTTCCATATGTACCGGAACACGTGTACCGCTGTTTTGCAGCTGTTGCCAGCATCTCTTCGCGATGCAGCCTGTTGCAAGTCACGCGGAGAAGCTCGACGTGCACCTGCAGTTGCAAAACGCGTCGGCGAAATCGCATGCAGGCCGCATTAGAATATTCCGCAAAATCGCGATCGCGGCCACGGTTGAATTTCTTCTCGCGCGTGCGCAATATGGCGCGGAATTACTTATCGAACTTGCCATCGTTTTTCCGCAAAGGAAGCAACTCGTTTTAGGAGTGCAAAAGGAAGCTTTTCTCTAATGCGTTTTTCTCAACTGGTGGGACGTTTACGACCCGCAACGCACTGCAGGGTTCGAAAATGCACGTTGAGCGACTCGGCTGCATTTTATCCTAATCTCGAAAAAAGCTGAGAGACTACCATAACATGTCGGTAAGCTGGCCAGGAAAAAGTGGGATTCGAAGGGGCGTAAGTGGACGGCTTAGCTGCGGCCGTTCCGCGCGTCCCAGTTCCGCCGTTCCATTTCCGGATGTATGTACACAAAGTCTCGTCCCGAATCCGCAGTTCCGGAGCGGCGAATGTGCGCACTCGGTAGCCGAGTGGATAATTGCGGGTGATTAGTTCTTTTTCCGCGTGCATCCCACGAGGGGCATAAATTACGCACGGAGGTAATAGAACGCCCTCCACCGCCCATGAATAAACATGGATGATACTTTACATCACTTCGCTCTATTTACCCGGGAATTGGCAATGTTGCGTAACCCTTAAATGCGGTGAGAATTCATTTTTGAAAATAATTCATTACCTTGAATAAGTGTCCGTAAGTTCTCATAAGTTCTTCTAAATTTTCTTCAATTTGCGTAGAATTTAATCATCGATTATATTTCCCGGGTAATATAACGCACTAAAAACTCTCCCACAAACACCCACACGCTCCAGAATGCGTCCCCCTTCCCCTCGTAGTTCGGTCCATTTCCGAGCTTGTCCAAACTCCGTTCCGAATTGGCCGGTGCGCAGCTGGCTTGGCAACACCGCGGCCACCGCTGATTGGCCGGCGCGCCGTCGGGTGACGCCGCCTGGCGGGCGCCGCGCGCAGCAGCCGGCGGCTCCGCGGCCAGTCGCAGCGCGGCGCCCGGTCAGTGCTCGCCGGTTTCCCGTTGCGCGAAGGTACGTTTTCGGTTGGTGCGTCGCAGGGTGCGGGAGGTGTCCAGTGGTGCGCCAGGTACGGAAGGGAGCGTTTCGGGAGAGCAGCGCCGTCCGGCGATGTGAAGTCGGCTGCCAAACGGACATCCAGGAGCGGCGGGCGGACTCGCGGATCGTCCTCTACTCTCGGATGCGTGCACGAGCAGAGATGGTAAGCCGATTGTCCCGTACTCTGCCGGCTCGATCATAATTGCGTATCAAGTGCCGGCGCGTTGCGCAACGAGAGAAACTCCGGCGCGTCTGATGTTCGTCGCGATCGCCGCCGTGGTTTGTTCGACGTCGATTGAAGAGGAAAAGTATCGAGAAGAGATTCCGGGCGATGCGAAACCGTGCTGTTAAATGGCAAATAAATAAATGTAAGGTAAATGGAAGTGAACGAATCTTTGTTGTGATACCTTATCCGGGAATTTTAATTATGTATTGAGAATCGCGAAAGAATTCTATATACAGTAGACTCTCGTATAACGCGAATTGCTATAACGCGCGAAATAACAAAATACATGCGCGTTACGCGAGAAAAATTTCCGTACAGCACGATTTCCTATAACGTGAATTCATGTAGCGAATAACGTATTAACCGCATTGTAAAGTGATTCGTAGTAATTCGTAAACGGTTTCACTTCCCTTATACCATCGGCCTCTTTTCTTTGTATCAAAACTGCCGTAGAAAATTCAATTATCATTATTGTTTGTGAAAATATGTGTATCGCGAAGAGCAATTCATAGACAAGAATTCTTATCTACGAAGCGTAGTGCCCGCTTCGTTAATTATCTCCTTGATTTAATTATAAATATTTCCAATCTATTCTAATTTATATTTGGAGATCCCTTCTCACGCATGCGCGCATCCGTTAAATCTCAAGTATAACCTGAAATGACGCGAATTACGTGGCCGAAGTTCCCGTTACAAGTAATTCCCGGTCTCGATGTGCTTCGGTTACGCAGTTTTCTCGTCTATGAAGGCTCGGTTACACTTTCAGTTGTTTTTTTCCCCTCCCTCCCTAGTTCCTCTTTTTCTTGCTCTTTATCAGGAGCAAGTTTCGTAATCGTTACGCGCTCGCCCGAGTTTGTTTCTCGCCTTTCGAAACAATTACGGGATGGCCGGGGCTTATTGTCGTCAAGTGCTCCTCACACCTGCGACAACACTCGCGGCATGTATCGTAGCTTATAAACAAACGAATGTGTCGGAATGTCTAACGAGATACCAGACATTCCCGAGCGTCGAGATAAAGGAAAATCGAATTATTTTATTATCACTTAGAATTATTTCCCGAAGGTTTTCTTGTATATCGAGTCTTTGAATACCTTTTAAGGTGAAGTTAAACCCCCCTCGAATTAGACAATTGTTGCGCGGCATTTGTTACTCTTTTTTTTTTTTTTTACGGAGCACTATCAGCGCCGTTATCATTCGAATGACTCAACGCAAGCCTTAGCAGCAGGTTGATAGAGTCAACAATCCTTATCAGTGGGCGTAATATTTGTCAAGAGGGACCGTCTCGGTACACATCGCCATTAATCATGACCTGATAAATCAATTTGTTTATGAAAAAGAATTCTTTCTCTCGGTGTAAGCAATTTGTTGGGACTATGTCGAGGTTAGGATTACTCTCGTTCCGCAATATTGGACGCTATCTGGTGCAGTCGAACGACTCGTCGATCGGGGTTTCCGGTTTTCATTTATTCCAGCGAGGCTTGATTAAAACTCCAATTGGAGTGCCGACCATGGGAGGCGAGGCGGGTCACGTGACGCGGGAATTTAGGTTAGGATCGAATAGTAGATAATCGTTGATTGGCCGTTTTAATGGCGAGCCGAAGTGCGTCGGTGTCGCTAGTGCGGAGCGAATTTTGCCGGGCCTTGAAACGGTCTCTTTGTTGCGACTTATCAACGCAGTGGCCTTTTTTCGTTGAGTTTCGACCTTCGGGATTATCGAACCGTGCCGGGGGATTGAATATCTCTGTACTAGGGGGATGATTAATCGCGGGGATGACGCGTCGAGTCGGGACAAAGTTTTGAATTTAGGTTGGAATCGCGTGACCGACCGACGGAGGCCGCCATGTTGGAATTCGGCGTCCCCCGCGTTCGCCATATTGGATCGCAGAGCAGATGATTGATTCGCGTGGCTCGTCCTCGGTAATTAAATTATATCTCTATTTTTAGAATTTATTTGGCACATCTGAAATATACGTCTATTTATATTGACCGTGAATTAACGCTTCTATCCCGTAAACTCCGGTCGATCACAATTTTTGTATACGATTCGAAGACCGCAAAGTTTAAAATCGCTCCGGTTAACCCCGTCGCCAAAAATTCCACACCCTAAACAGGCACTTGACCCGTTAAATTTTCTTTTTTTTTTTTCTTCATTGCCGACCCGATTCTCGCGTAGAAGCCTCGCACGGGCTGGGATCGTTCCATTTGGTCCCGGTCCAATTCGGCCATTGATTACTTGGGCAAACCGGCGAGAGGGGACGTCGCTTTTTCTCCCGGGAAGAACCGGGCCTTAATTGGTCGCGGGTTACGCAGTTGTCCAGAGGGTCTCTCTCGCGGGGGCGATTGTTGCGGGACGAGCCTCGACTTGGGTGGGCGGCGATCGACTTCGCCTTCGAATCCCCCGGCGGTTTTCGTTTCGCTGAAATTACGTCAATTCCGTGATCTAATTAATGTCGCTGGATGATATGGCGGCATTCTCGGGCCGCCACTTTAGTCGAGGCGAGGTCTTACCCTTGAATCGATCGACGCGCTCGGGAAATGGGTCGGGGGTTCGATTTTCTTGAGCGGACGGTCAGCTGAACCAGCTGGGTGGATCGTTTAGACGGATTCGCGGATAAGTTCGAAACTTCTTTGTCGTCCTTAGTTTCGTTACGCAGGACGTACCAACAAGAAGCGATCGCGAGTAGGATACGTCCCTTACGAAACAATTCGTAAACTGGTCCAAAACTGAAATTCCCCATTTTTGAATGTTTGGAAGAATCTTTTTCACCGACTTCGATAAAAATCTCTCGAACGTGTTTCTCCTTACCTTAATGTAACAAAGCGTGGAAAAGATTTCGTCGAGAGGAATCTCGAGTGGCCGGCATCGAGAGGAGCTCTCCGGACCTGTTCGGGTCGGTTCGAACGGGTTCGCCCGCTGGAAACTCTAAAGATAGACGTCTCAGACAGCAGAGAGGAGAGATACGAAGGGAGGTTTGAGAGTCGTAAATGCGTCTACGTACAGTCCGAACAATGTTAAGAGTCGAGACTGCTAAATAGCACGTATATATTACAACCTACGACCTTTTTAATCATTTGTTTTTAACTCCTTCGACGCTATGGATGAAAATACGTTGAAAGAAAAATATCGTAAGATGGTATCGAGGCAATTTGCATACGAGATTCTTCCAGGCCAGATTTTCGAAAGAAAAAAAAAATAATAATAAAAGAGAGAAGGTGCTAGTAATTTATCAATTCGCATCAAGATTTATTTACTTTCATTCCCCGAAATGATTTCCTCGGGAATATTCATGGGCATGCAAATGCGGGGAATTATTTACGATGCCGTCGCGAGGGAATTTTTGCAAAAGGCGGGATTTTACGGAAACGATTAAATTTCACACAAAGAGGCCTTGACGGAGACTCGGGGAAGAGACAACGACTCGTTAGAACGACGAATCGTCGCGTTTAAAGACGACTTTATGCATTTACGGGGCGAAGGAGAGACAGAGAGGGAAATATTTTGGCGGACAGTGCGGCATTGTTCGCGGTATGAACGGCGCTCTCTCATCGGGAACGGTGGAGGAAGAGAGAGAGATGCTTAATGCGAATATTCAGCGAGGAGGAGAGAGAGAGAAAAAGCCACGGACATTTATCCTCGTTGACGCGCATCATCGCATCCTCCACCGACCCGGGGCTCTTCTCCTGCATTCTCTCTCTTGCTTCTCTTTCCCTTTCTTCTTCCTTTTTTCATCTTGATTATTCGCAAGTGCATACACGTGCGCGCCGAGCTCGTAAACTCTGTCCTCTTCTTTTTTTTTCTTCCTCCTTTTCCGTTTGAACGTACCTCTCTTTTCAACGGGGATCAGCACCATCTCTGCGTGGCTCCTGGAAGCTCGTCGCGGTTTGCAAATCCATTTTCACCGGGATATTTGAAAAAGAGAGAAGCAGTCGCCGCGTTGTGTCCTCAGAAACGGCGTCTCTCGGTCAGCCACTTCGCGAGCGTCGTTAACATTTGCGTAAGTTCATAAATTATTGTTTTTCTCCTTCGTGGAGAACAAGGAAAAAAAGAAAGAGCCCGCGAGGGGGGAAAAACAAGCAGATCGTGTGCAGAAATATTGCGCGGTAAATTTATAAACGAGCGTGCGGCAAAAACTGGTATCCCCGATGATAAACGGGCGTGGAACCCCCGCGTCTCCCGGCGGCCATTTTGAAGTTGCGCGCGCATCGAGAGGCAGCATCGAGGTTAGGTTGCACGTTGCCTCATCGTGGAATGCTTTCAGAAACCTCTCTTTAACCGTATCGTTAATTATCGAAATTCCGGGCTAATAATACATTTTAGCCCTCTTTCGTCGAGTCGGATATTTATCACTGTTATCAATATGGTTGATACGTATAAGTTGTTCTCGAGCCGTTCTCTCTTTTTTTTTTGTTTGCGATTTTTCATTAAAAGACAGGTGAAATATTGTCCGTGTACTTTGCGAGTGGCAAAAATGGGCGTCCTCGATGATAAATCGGCGTGACGCCGGCCCACGGGTTTGAGGTTATGTTGCCCGACCGCAGCCGCCGGGGGCAGAAAAGTGGGTGAATATCGAGCCTGGGATCGAGAGAGTTTATAATTCAGAAAAGAAGAAAATGGACGAGTCGACCGGATAAAATCGAGTGCTCTGGGTCATGGCGCGTGCGCGCGTGCGCGTGTATAACCTCTTTGCGTCGCTTCTGTCGCGCCTTGGCCGTGATAGCTGATAATTACAGGACGGAGACGCAGTATTGCACGTTAGGTCGTAGTTTTTAGGTCAGGCGTAATAAGAAAATTGGCTTTTCAGTAAATTCTCCCCTTAAGGCTGTGGACAATTAGGAAAGGATCGTTTAAATCCGTTTTTTTTTTTATTTTTTTTTAACGCGTGCTTGTACACACTGCTACTTCGAGATGGCGGCGGACTGCACACGCCGGATGTTAATGAAACGATCGTAAAACTAGGCGCAGAGAAAGGGAAATAACGAAGCGAGCGGACAAATCGGGTACTCTGGGTCATGGCACGTGCGCGCATAACCTCTTTGCTCATTTTCTATCGCGTCTTCGTCGGCTGTGAGTCTCGGGAAGAAATTCTTAAAAGTACACAGTATAATATTGCATATTGGAAATACACGCGTAAAATGGTAGTTTTTCGGGTGTGTTCTAAAAAAAATCGGCTTTTAGTCGAGTCGAGCTTGTCCAAGGTCGCGGCGCGCACATAACCTCTTTAAGTCGGTTTTATCGCAACCTTAGGGGCCGTAATGGCCGACATCGGACACCCTCCACCTGCGGAACTTAGAATAAACTTGGCCGTCCTTGCTCGGTCGCATAACCTCGCGGGGGGGCGCTCTCAGCCGCGTGCCAAGTTCTCATAACCTCGAAAACTGTTCTGCCGTTGCGTCACGGTCTGCTCGGGGAATTCGGGCCGCATAAAGTCACACGTCGCGGTGTTCGTTTACGAGAGGGGGTCGCAGGTCGTCGCGTAATCCTGCATAATTGCGTTAGAGCTAGTTTGTTAGCGATTAAACGGTACGCGTGTACCGGCCGAGCCACCTGATACTCCCGGTGAAAATAAAAGGCTAGATGGGGTTTAGTTGACCGGTAATAATAATTATAACGATAATAATACTGGAGGTATCAGTGATAAAGAAATATCGTATACGGTATTACCGATAAGAAAATGATTGGCGGCTTTTGAGGCGCGCCGCTTAACCTAAAGGAACAACGGAGAGTAAAGGTATTTCTACGTTCTTCCGCCCTTCTATGCATTCTCATCTCTTTGGAGAAACGATAACTACAACGGGACTGGCACTCCCGTTATACGCATAAATGTTTTTGGCATAATCTAAACGTGCGACGGAAAACAACGTAATTCCTCGTGCTGCCGCATTTCTAAGAGCGTTAATCTCTTTGGTGAAACGACACCGACAACGGTACCATTGTCGGATCCGTTTAGCCGTCCGCGGAGAACGTTGCACTCTTCCGCCACTGGAAGTGCGCGGTGCCGAAACGTCTCGGAAACGGCGCCATCTTGGATCCGAGAAAGAGCGGCTCATGACAGGAGGTGCGCTCCCGCTGCGCGAACAGCAGGTAACCGTTTGCCCACTCTGGACCGCTACGGCCGAAGCTGTGCGCGAGAAAGAGAGGGGACGATGTCGCCGCCGGGAGAGCGAGAGAGACCGAGCGATGTCGTCACGCCCGCCGAGAGAACCGATAGACAGAGACGTTGAGATACGGCTCCGGGGAGAGGAACGGGAACGGCGATGACCCACTGCGGCCGGTCTCTGAACTACTCTCACGTGACCACGCGATTCTCTACAGGTGTATCTCCTCGCGTGGCACCGCGCTCTTCTTCTTTTTTTTTTTTTTTCAAACGCTCGCAAAGAAGGCGCCTCTCGAAGTGTCTATTTATCCCCGGAATTTCAGCGCGCTTTTTTATTCCCTCCTCGGGTTTTCCAAGTTCTTTGGTGCACGCGATAATGGGGCTACATTTGTTCGGACTCGCGCCTCGTTCGTTTCCGTCACTCCGGAATTTTCGCTCGTGAAGTAGGAGAATCTCATCTAAGCACGTGCGCCGCGGCACAACGCCTTAATATCTCCCTACCCCGGTCGGACATAATATATCCTCCGTGGAGAACAACACCTGTGCGCGTTCCTTTCTCTGTCGGACATGACCTCGGATAACAGCGCATCACCTGCGAGAAATTCCTACGGGAGGTTTTAACGGGGAACGCTTTACTTACGGAGGTCGAGGCGAAACGCGAAATGCCTTTTTCGTTCCCAGTGCGTGGCTCTTATGAAATAGGGTCGGACAATTATTTGTAACGGCACTGTTTGTTATCGAGATTTTATATATATATATATAGAATGACCCTTTCATATCACCTTAATCCACGTACCATGTGATCGGTGTCAGGGCAATGAGACCAGACTAAGCGGCGCCATTACGTGAATTGACGGTCTTACGGTAAATCGAAAATGGAATAACGAACGTCGGTGCTCCACTCTTGTGGAATAAATATTAATAACCGTGCACTCGCGTTATCGCCGCCAGTCGCCGGGAACGGAAAGAAATCGTCATCGATGACCGCGGATGGAGGAAGGCGAGATGCTTCCTTTTTCGCGACGCCTCGGTAACTCCGGCCTCGGGGATATCCGGGAATGTCGAAAGAATGGGACGCGCCTTTAAAATAAAACCGACTTGACTTTTCGCCGTCTACTTCACGGTCGGGTCTTCCATTAATTTTCCATTTTTTTCCCCGGTGCTAATTAAACTTGATAAACGGGCGATTCGACTCGCTTCGCGGCGGATTTTACTGACGGAGCGAGGAGGCCTTAAGGAACCGAACTCCGAGATGAAACGTCTTAATTTTAAGGTGATATGAACGTCAAATTATTTATACAACTTTTCTCCAAATTGGGTGCATCGATTTCCATCCTGTATATTCAAGTAAATTTGACCAAAATATATATTTTGTTAAATTAATACCCAAGGGTGTATATTTGGCGCGAGACCCTACCTAGTTCCCTGATTGTTTTTCTGCGGGGGTGAAAATAAACGGACGATTCCGTGGTATGGGAAGAAACGATAGCCTAGGAATGAAAAATAAAGCTGGCTTAAATGGAGGGGTTTTAAAGGATGTTTGTTGTTTGACGTTTCAGTCGTGCCGGTAGAGTCCTCCCTTACCGACCTCGGGCAGGGCCTTTGGCGGGCCCCAAAGATGGCGGCCTAGATGGGCGCCGGCCGGGCCTGGCAGACAGGACGGGCTGAGGAATGGGTGCCGGGATGGGGAGGAGCGGGACGAGCGGTGGAGGGCTGCTCGAGGCTCTTCCTACGGGAACCCCGCTGCACGTGGCCATGTTGGGACTCGACAGCGCCGGAAAGACCACCGCCCTCTACAGGCTCAAGTTCGACCAGTACCTCAACACCGTCCCCACCATCGGGTTCAACTGCGAGAGGATTCGGGGCGGCATTGGCAAGGCCAAAGGTCGGTTGGTAGCGAACCCCCAATTGTTGAAAGCCATGAATAGAATCGGTCTTGGTCTTGCATCTTTTTCAAGACCATGATCGAAACTATAGTATGGGAGACCAAGACCAAGACCACGACCACGATAGGTTTGGTCTCGGTCTTTCATTTGCGCATCCCGATCAGGAGTTAGACAAAGGAAATGCAATCGGCAGCAGAGAACGATAGAACGGTCGGTGTCTATGCAAATGGCGCCTTTAAGTGAAATAAATTGCCGAGGGTTTCTCTCTCGTCTTGACGTCGATTTGGGACAATGGACCCTCTTTTTAACCCCTTGGAGGTTAAGTGGCTCGAAGAGAAGCAAACGACGAGACTCGGTCTTGTCTTATCACCGACGAGAGGCCCGATAAAGCCCCTCGTCCGTTGAGTGACCACGAACAAACTCCACGTGGATAGTTTGGTCGACGCCTCGCGTTATCGCTCCCTGGAGACGATTCTAAGTTTCCTCCTAGAAAATTACTCTCCAACCTTAATTAATTGAGGAGCCGTGAAAGTGGCGGAGAGGTCTCGCGTGGTGCTATTTAAACCGGGATGGATTTTCTTCCTACCTACGATTGTATTTAAATCTTGGACATTTTCTCTGCTTGCAGGCGTGAATTTCTTGGTGTGGGACGTGGGCGGGCAGGAGAAGCTTCGCCCCCTTTGGAAGTCGTACACGAGGTGCACGGACGGCATCATCTTCGTCGTGGACTCCTGCGACGCCGAGAGACTGGAAGAGGCCAAAATGGAGCTCACCAGGACTGCCAGGAGTCCCGACAACGCGGGGGTGCCGATCCTTATCCTGGCGAACAAGCAGGACCTCCCCGGTAAGTTCTTTTTTTAAGGTGATATAAAAAAGCAACGTGTCCTCCACTTCTTCTTGCCAAAATTCTTCCCTGTGTCGTTATTTTACAAAATCACAGCCACGGTTGTTGTCGGTTACCAAAGTTATCCTCGAATTCGAAATTTTATCCAAAAACGAGAAAAGCGACCTATCTCCTCTCCCTGCTTCTCGCGAACTTCTTCTTTCCACATTCATCTTAAAAGTCGAGGAAAACTCGGGAGAAGAGAAATTTCGTTACTTCCTGAAAGTTTCCTCTCGAACCGAGGATCCGTCTTAAAACGCTAGAGGGGACATATTTTCCCCTGGAACTTGCAGAACTCCTTCCAAGATCTGTTTCACTCGATCCAGAAGATGCAATTATGCGACTCCCTTTGAGCAGTTGAGCAAAGAAGTTCCCAGGAAGGAGCTGCCGGGTTTGAACATCGGAAGGAATCCTCGTTTCCTCGATATCGATCGATTGATTTATCCAACCCTTTCGTCATCTTCAATTACACCCGGAAAGTGCACTCCGAATGTCTCCCGCAGAGGTTCCAAAAACCCATCATGGATGCAATAGGCCACGAAGGTCTTTGCTTTAAAGGAGACGCCCTTTGAGGGAGAGTCTTTTTCAGAAAGACCCACTCCGCCTTCTCATTTCCGAAAAGGCACCGAGACTTACGCTTCAAAAGGAAATTCTAACGAGGCCTTGAAAAAGTCTCCGCCTGGTTTTAGAAGATGGATTTGGTCCTTTTCTTTGAGTTTACGGAAGACCTAAATTTATCCTTCTGATGACTTTTATGAAAAATTGATCCTGGACTCCAACTCTCATAATTTGTAAAATTGCCTTCATTGTGGGATTGCTTCCTCTATCCAGGACCCTCAGGTTTCCCTCTTTGTCCTCTCTTTAACCCTTAACAAAAGATATACAATTTTAAGATGGTACGAAAGGAGCTGAGAAATTTAATCTCGGTCGATGAATTAAAATTCATCTGTACCCTTTTTGGGATCCATTCCGTGTGGTTCCAGGTGCCAAGGAAGTCGGGGAGCTGGAGAAACACCTGGGGGTGTTGGAATTGTCGGGAATGCCCGGTAGTTCCTGCATCAGGGTCCAACCTGCGTGTGCCATCACCGGCGAGGGCCTCCACGAGGGCCTGGACACGCTTTACCAGCTGATCCTGAAACGCCGGAAGCTGGCCAAGCTGAACAGGAAACGGGCCAGGTAGGCCCGGGCCTCAGAGGACTGCACATGCGTCTTCTGATACTGTTCACAATTGTCATCGCCCTCGGCGAGCACGCCATCCTCGAAGTCCCTGGATGGTGACCTGGTCCAGATCCTGGATGAGCCTTGAAACCGTGCCCGGGATCTCCGGAACCCCCAGGACCCGCCTGGAAGCGTCCTCCAGATCCTGGAGGGCCGTGGAAATTGAAAACGCAGCGAAATCGTCCTGGGATTACTCAAACTAGAATGGAGGTGATCTGGAAGTAACGTCCGTAAGTGAGAACTTGTTAAAGTGGAGCTACACGTGGTTATGGTGCTCGTTTGGAGCCTACTTTTTGGGATCCTGGGTGTAGGGATATGGACTGGATCCCCCCGGATAGGAACCGGAAAGAGTTCGCTCGGGAAAGGTTTGAGTTCAGACATATTGATGATACCCTAAGCGAAGTCACTAACTTTGACTTCCCGTGAAATCCCATGCAATCGCACCCAGGATTGCAGCAAATTGCAGTGTCTAGACACTTAGCCCATTCTAAGAAACTGAAATGGCGACGTGTACCGATACGGAGGCGATTGAGATAATTGAAACGATCGGTCAGAACGGAACTCGAGTCCTCTTTCTGAGAGTCTGGGGAGAAAACCGGACCGAATAGTCAGAGTCGGAGGAAGCTCAGGTGCGAAGAACGATGCCAAGATTTAGCCTAGGGATGGCGTTAATGCCTTTGCGTTTGCAGTCGGTAAATGAACGTCGAGATCCATAATGAGGCCATTTGCATATGTCCGACGTCTTCTGACTTTGATCTCTTTTAAATCGAGGCTTAAACAAAGACCCAAAGAGGTCAGTGTTACTCCTGCAGTTTCTTCGGATGTCTGGCAGCCTTGTAGAAGTGAAAGATCATCAACTAATCATCCTAGCCGTTGATATATCTCCGACATTGTGATAATCCTGGTGGCTGCCGCGAAAGTTGATGGCTTGTCTTACGAGTTAGCCTCGTGAAACGGAGTTCGGATATTGTGGCCTATCTGTTGGTTCAAGAAGTAGAACTTGCGCAGAACTAGGAGAAACTTGATCCGGGATGAGTTCCATAGTTCTAAGGAGAGTTTTGTCTTCAAGGGGATACAGGCCATTAGAGCCTTAATGGAACCTATCACGATATCGGTCCATTGCATCGTATAGCTTTTGCGCCGGGCTTGGAACGGCGCATTGAACTTTTTTAGGCCCGTCAAAAGTTAGGGACGAAACTGTTGACCAAGACCATCTAAAACTTAGGTCTAAATCCATCGACTTCTTAGAGCTCCGGCAACTTTCCCAGTTGATAATAACTCGTAGAGCTGGCACTATCGATCCAATCACTGACTCGATGAGTCCATCTTCTTCGTCTCCTGTTGGGGAAAGGAACGCATTGACTGAACCGGAATTGAACGTCTAGGAATATTAGGTAATTGGCACTAGAAAGTCTGAACGTCTCCTGATGAGCCTTTCACAAGGGCCCAATGACTGATGCTCGTACAGAAGGAAAGATGACGACAGATACCGTTGGTATTCGATTTGGGATCCTAATTTAGAGAATCCAAAGCTCATATCGAAGAGACCTGTGCCCGAAGTCTGACATAATTAAATTAGGGTGTTGTCGGGCTTGTTGCTCGCGGACTGGATATTGTCCGTCGTTGGAGTTTCTTGCATGTTTTTGATGACCGGAGCTGGTGAAAGGGTTAAGTAGCCGCGAGTTCTCGTTTTGTAAAAGCAGAGCTCCGGGAAACGAAGCAGACTCCGACACGCAGTCCCAGGAGACCCGATCCTCGGCTCCCCTGGCCAAGTATCCAACTGTATCGATGACCGATCGGAAGGAAACCCGAAACCGGAAGGGCGGTTTTTTTACGACCACAACTTGTGGGCTGGGTATCGTTTCTGCTTCCCGATCCTCTGGCCAGGGACAGGAAGTTGTCAGAGAATAGATTTGGCGCCCTGCGGGGTAGAGGGTGGAGTTCATTCCGATTTTTAAGAGAACTTGGAAAGGATATGTTGGATAACCGATTAAAAAGAAGGTGGTGGGATTAATTGTTTCCCGGTAAATCGCACGCTAGGAACAGGTTGAAGTTGAAGAAACGAACGTTTTGCGCGAAGAGAACGAAGATACATATCGGCAAATCATGGGTGCTAGATTTCGGAGAGACTTGGTTAACTTCATTCGCGTTAAGAGTATAAATTGTTGTGTTTGACGGATTTTGACATTATCTAAATTTTTAACGTTTTGTTTGACGAATTGGACCTTGGCAACAAATCAAGCGTGATTAAGAATTATCACGATGTCGTATGCAAATTGAATTTGCCGCTTGATTGCTTGGAAGGAGAAAAACTTATATTGAATTTAATTTATTGTTAATTTGAGGCGAAAAATGAAAAGGTGAAATTTCACCAAAAAAGCGAAGACGCTCTACAATAGAAAGAACAAACTACGAGAGAGAAGAAACAACGAATCTGTAAATGAGACCGTCGTTTTCAGTTCCGGCCAAGAGTAACTATTGCACCAATCCGGATTGATCGGGCAGAAGTATCTAGGGACTTTGAAGAAACGAAGTTTCCCGCTAAAGTTTCGACTTCACGAATAAGCTCGTCCGAATTCCGGAGATTTCGAGGAGAGACAACATTTTCCGCACCGACGGGAACGTTGGCGAGGTCTGGGGACACCTAGGGACATTCCTCTGGGATCGAGTGAGTCTCTACTTCAGCGATCCAAGAGAAAGTTCCCACCGCAATGTTGGCGAAACTGGACGGAACAGTTTCGATTTGTCAGCGGAGTTACCCGGTAACTTTAAAGGTCGCCAACTTCGCAATCCCGCAAGAAAGTAACCAGACCGCTAGGGGAATTCCTCGGAAGAGTGCCGAACAAGTGCCTGGGGAATTTTCTCGATGATGCCCCGAAGCCTCGATTTCCAACCCTTTCGATGCTTCTAGGGAATTAAAAGTCCCCCCCAAGAACAAGCCGTAAAAATTCTCCATAAATTTTGGCAGCAGGGTAATTCTCACCCAATGCCAGAAATGCCCCAGATTTTGACGGACCTCAACGAGAACCACAGTTTGGGGACTTCCGTGGATGAAATTTTTCTACGAATGTTGGCAGCAGTGCGGCCATCGAGGGTACAAAATTGGCGGGACATTTTAATCGAAGTCACCGCCGATTCGATTTTTTCTACGAAGTTTGATTAGGTGTGACACTTCGTGTGACGCGAAACTTCAGATGCTTTCGGCAAAGTCGAAAGTAAAAGAGAGAAAAAAAAAACGCCCGCGAAGGTGTTCCTTTCGTTTCTTTTTCTACGAACGTTGGTATTAGGGTGCGAAATTTGGACGCGAACGTGGAGAGGAGAGAGTGCAGTGGCTAGGGAAATTTTACCAAGTGCTAGGGGAATACGGGGACATTTTTCTCGCGTCCAAGATCTTATTCGGCCAGGGTCCAATGATTAGTGAAATCGGCCCATCGGAGTGTCCGATTCGTTGCCGACGCTCCCGCCAGGCGGCGCGCGGCCTTTCTGCTAAGCCCACGAAATTCGAACTGTAAAAACGAGTGACGATGCTAGTCTACCTGAGAATCTTCAAAGACTCTAAAGAAGTAACTAGGCTTAAGAGTGTGTATATAGGGACGCGCGTCGCGGCGTATAAAAATGTCTAGATGATGGCTCGACCCCTTTTTTCAATAAAAACGAAAAGGACTCGGAAAACCAATAGTAATTCAACGACCACTAATAATGTTACTACTGTGCTGCCAAAATCACTCAGATCAAAATTCTTCATTCTCAACGTTTATCTTCTTCAAAGAATTAAGCAAATTGTAACCTGTTTCATACATAACATTTACCGATGTTGCAGTTTCTCGCTATTTTTCAAACCAATGTATATTTCAAGATGAATATTTTTTTTTTTTTAACTATTCTGGGAAAATTGGCAGCATTGGTTTTCTGATTCGCAGAATGTCGAAAGGATTAGCGAGCCTCTGTAAGATTAATAGCTATTGAATATGGTTGTTGTTTTTATATCGACTGTCGTTCGAAATTCTATTGTAAACTGTAATTGCCCTTGTTGTGTTTTATTGTCTTTCGATATTTTATCTCGCGCTTCGATCAATAGATAACCTATTTATGTATACACGCAGTATGTATAAGGAAAGATGGCGAAGAAGATGGCGGCGATAATAACCGATTGTACTCTTTCAATGACGATCGTCTCGATGACCCCAATCACGGGAACAACAAATTAAACAACAAACGGAATACTTATGTTCTAAATTCGTAAAGATTCAACGTTATCATTAATTCCAATTTTTCATTAGACAAGAATATTTTGGTAATTAATTACTTAGTTATTTCGATCTTCCTCATAAGATGATCTTGAATTTCTATCTGGGATGTTATCGAGCTTTTTTGCGATTTTTGTGATTGGGGCTCGTCGGGTGACGTCACGTAGTTTGTCACTTCTTGTCAGTGTATCCTCTCCGTTGTCGGAACGAAAAACCACTAGATATGGTGAAAGATTACCAGAAATAATAGCCGAAGGCATCGACTGATCGACTCTGATTTCGTTTTTCATTTCCGGGCAGCGGCTCATCAGGAATTTTCCAATAAAATTGCCGATTCCGTTAAGTTTTCATCGAGTGTTTCCCTGTTTTCTCGTTGGCCTATTGCGGAGCCGTTCACCTGCTTTCCCCTGGATCCATTCCGTCTTTCCGTTGGAGCGTCGAATTTTATTGGTTAGAGCCGTGCAGAAAATTTTCACATCCATAAGGATCCATCGACAAGACTACATTATTTATTTTCGTTACATTGAGTTCAATATTTGCGTCACCATAGGAAAGTATTAAGACTGGATACATTTGCAAACATTTTTGCTGTTGGTGCAGAATGAGCAAAAATTTATCAGCTTTTTAAGCTACACTTATTTCACATAAAATTGTTTGCAGTCGTAACTTTGTAATTTAAAAATCATAAAGGGTACGAGAGCGTCGACCGGAAGACAACGTTATTAAGAGGAACGTTGATAAGCCGGGTTATTATTTCGCAGGTGGTAATTATTGCGGTGATTAGTCCGTAAAGTCATTACTCTCCCATTCACTTGCACCTTGACACACGGCGCGCATATTAAGCGATTTCCCTGTGCAGAATACATCCGCAAAACCAGCCAACGAGACAATAAACAATTCGAGTCACGTCCTGGGATCGTCTCGCCGTTAAATTTATGCCCGTGGAATTATTATTGAAAATCCCCGACAACAATGTACCTCGTGCATCGGTGTTTGACGTTTCCTCTAGTGAATCCTTCCTGCTTCTTTCATTCATACATTTGCGACTTCATTGATACCCAAAGCTCATGGTATAAATAATTAAATCGCAATAAATGTGCAATTTACTTTTGGGATCGATAGACGAACGAGAACATTATTTGTTATCACTCAATTTTTTTATTGGGACTACTAAAACTAAAACAATCGTGAGAAAATTCACTGCACCAGTTTTCTATTTATTTTAGTCAGGATTTGTCTATATTTATTAGGGTGTCAAATTTCAAGGGGCATACGAAATCGATCAATCGTCGATGTTCCCATGTTCCCATGGTCTCGGTGGCCATATGTTCCAGCTGACTTTCTGGTGGAACCTGGAACTTGGAACATATGGTCCATTCACTCTTCTTCGATCCCACGGTCTAATAGCCATTTATTATCGAATTTCCTTCTTCCCCAAAACATAAAAAAGAGCAATTAATTTGGTACTATTTAGCATGTATCTAAACTTCTCATGATCATCCAAGTCATGTTTTGTTCATCACGAAACGTCAGGAAAACCGTGAAAATTTAACAAAATCTCAGAAATCAATCCGCCGATTGCTTTTCGCCATCGCGCTCGATTTTTTTTCACCGGCTCTAAACAAAGCGAAGAGAAAAAGTGTTTATGAAAAGAAAGTCCGTGTTTACACAGGCCCTGGGATGGATTTAGCAGGGGTTGATCGGCCGGCGTTTTGTCTGGGGTGGAGGAGACAAAGGGACCCTGCAATTGGAGTGCACTCCGGGGGAGATGCATCGCGCAAGACGTCACCGGGTACAGGGACCGTGAGTGCGAGAGAGACCGAGCGATAGGCAGCCGCGCGAGCGCGAGAGAGACACGACGATGCCATTCACCGTCTCGGCACTATTCAAGAGGGGGATGAACATTTCTGAACATTTCGGAGAAAGGGAGAAAGGGCCACTGAATTTTCAATCGGGCCTCGTGTTTACCGCTGATAATTAGTCTGCCCTGGAAAAACAGGCCTGGTGTAGCTTATGTTAAGTTGGGACCGCGAAATTATCCGGAAATGAATACCCAGGCTCTTTGAGGTTAGGTTCCGGTTTGGAAAATGTAGCATCTCAAATTTTATGTATATTCGGTTCATTTTCAATTTTCGTATTAACGGAGCACTTATCAACGTGACATTTCTTATGAATATTAATTGCAGAGGTCGCCAAGTTCATTTTCCGTACGAGCTGCATTATAAGCCCTGAGTTTCATATTTCATCCTTCGAGGTAATTAACCTTAAGCAGCCTGATCCGTATTTACAATTGCGGGGTCATTACAATTAGAAGCGTAATTCGACATTCCTCGGCGTACGTAATGTAATTACAGTCCCGGGGACGTAATGCGGTACCTCGCAGAAGTAATCTCGTGTTCCCGGGTGGACCGTAATGTTCTCCGGGATGCTGACCGGCATTTCTTCGGGGAATTAATGAAACATTTATCCCACGGGGTATCCCGAGATTAAAACGTTTTCCCGATTCCTCGTTTAGGAAGAAAAATTATTATATGTGCGCGTCTCGAAAACGCGGCGGCCATGTTGGATTTTTGGCATCCAGCCATCGCCTCGATCAGAACACTTTGAGACGTAATTATTCACAATTACGTTATCACCTCTATCACATTTTGGCTGTGAGGGTCATTGGCATAAGTCTTCGCAGCTTTGGGGTAAGGGTAGGTGATTAATTCGATTCGTTCAGGTCTAAATGTATTTAGCGAGAGGAAGAGACGGGCTGGAAAGTCGCGAGATTTGGCAACGCCGAGAGCTGATAGCGAGCATCAAGGGACCGGATTGGTTCTTTTCTTTGGACGGTCTTCTTCTTTTGGACTGCCCGATCCGGCCTGCAACTGGTTCGGGGAGATGGATCTACTGGAAATCGGGGATCATTCTATGCTAATTTCTACCGGTCCAGGTTATAGCGCCAAAAATGGTAACCGAACTGACCGGCCCGTCCATCTTCCTTGGGGCAAAGAGACCTCGTAGCCATAGTGATTTAATTAGTTTCCGGGGAACCCAACGAACCGAAAGTCCCTAGGGCGATGCACGCAACCTGATACCGGCCGGCCGAAGTTCGCGTCCCTTTTCGAAACTTAAGGCGCTTACAGGATCAATAGAAACCGATTCCGCAGCCCCGTAGGTGGCTTCGCCGCAACATAACTTGCACCGACAAATGCAAAAGAGACATGCATTCGCACGTTCGACTTTTCATTTCTCCTCCGTATTTCACCATTTTAGAACAGCTCAATCTGTCGTGCAAAAGACTATTCAATTAATGATAGTTAATGCGTTAATTATAATTGCAGGGTGATCAATGATAAGAAATGTCGAACTCATGATTTTTTAAAAATGGATTTACATTCAAGTTAGCGATTCGTCAAGTGGGAAATTTACGTTATGATGGCCTGAAATGACCCGAAAAGGAGCCGAAAGGGGCCGAAATGGAGGGAGAGGGGGACGACCGTAGACAATGAGGTACCCGATGATGACCAACCAGTCAATGACCTCCTGCTACTTATTCCTATTTATGCTCGCTTTGTGGCGACCGATAAGAACCCTCCGTAATCCCCGCACGTAAACCTTACGCTCTACTCCACCGTGACAAACGTACACAATGTGTTGTCATCGATTCCCTCTTTCTCTCTGCACCCCATCAGGTAACATTACGTCCCCGTTCCCCTAGAAATCAACGTTGAATATTTTACAACCCCGAGAAAAATATCGATCGAACCTAAGAAATATTTCCTCGAACAGTAGCAATATTTTCTCTTTTATACACCGTTCGTAGAAAGAAAAATTCTGACGCCTGAAAAATGAAGGTGTGCATATCGTTCCCACCAGCGATGCCCTACGTCAGCAACCCCACATCCGTTCAGCCCCTGGTTGCTTTTCTATCCCCGAATCCTAAGCCCCAAAAGTAGCGTAGGGGTATCAGAGGTGCGTAGGTGTCCGGAGAAGCCCCCTCGCAGCTCGCCTTCCTATTCGGCTCATTCCGGAGTGGGTCCCTCGGGTTGAATGGCAAACTACCCGAGGCACGAGAGGGTTCGGTGCATTCCCAGGGAAAATATGTCCGGGGTAAAAGGTTGGGGGAGGTTCGAGTCTCGCAGAAGAGTCGGGGATGCTGAAGAGTCCTAGCCAGACGGCCTGGACCAGGAGTAGTCTGGTATCGAGCCTCCCGTTGCCATGGGGATAATCTCGAGGGATGGCCGGCTCCCCGCCTCTTCTCTCTGGACCACAACCTGCCGGTTCCTGTCTTATCGACCCTTGCCTCCCCGACTCGAGTTGGTAACGAGAAGGTTTGCGTCGGTAATGTAGAACGCCACGGGGCGGAAGTGGGACGACTCTGGCTGGAGAATGGCTCGGTATCCGATGGTTTGATTAGGTGAAGAGCGTTTAGGCGTGTCGGAGAGGATTTAGGAGACGGATTGCAGAGGGTCCTTCTTGCTCCGATGAATTTCATTTCCGACTGGATATATATATATATAGATTTGGGCGAGGATACATTGATTCCGACTGAGGAATAATTAACTCCAGTCTTCGAATCTAACGTCAGGGACGGCTTGTTCTTTGTTTCATTTCTTGGGATCTCTGGACATTAATCTCCGCGACGCAAGTAAAACTTCTCGTTATTCCTCCTCATCCCTCGTCCTCCATAATCGGCGCGTCTTCTTCTTCTTTTTCCGGCTCTTCGGGGAGAAGACCGGCCTCGACCTCGCGCCTCTTTCGACTGAACGACAAATCGAAGTCGTCCGGAAACCGCGACCTAAACGCATTGTGGTCGTCCTGGGGACAGTAGTTCGTGAAGTAGGTTAAGTACTGCAGCTCCTCCGTGGTCGGAGGTGGCGGAGGTGGGATCGGTTTCACCTTCTTCTTAATCGGACTCGAACGGAACACTCTTTGACGGGTCTTCTCCTTCGGCGGCTCCATTATGCGCTTCAGGGCCGTCAGAAGTCGGTTCATCAGCTCGAACTGCAACGAATGAATTAGATGTTTCAGTTGCTGGCGAGGTCGAGATTTATTCATCTTTGCGATTAAATGGAAGAAATTGAAGTCGGAATGGTCCCACCTTCTTCGCTGCGTTCTCCGCCTCCTTCATGGCTTTCATCTCCTGCTTGAATCCTTCCTGCTCGCAGACCTCGACTACTTCCGGTGGCAAATTGTCCAGCAGCATGTTCAGCTCTTCGTGCGTCTTTTCAATGGCCTTCATCATGGAGAAGCTGTCCAGATTGGCGTCATTCGGCGCCACGCAGTTTTCGTAGGTGTCCTCGACGAAGACTCGCAAATGTAAAACTGGCTCCGAGCAGACCAGCTCTCGAAAAACGCCTTCGAAAGTTAAACAACGATGTCGAATCAGTAATTAAATGGCCAATCGAAAGTAGGATAACGATCTTGAATTAATAATCGGGACGAAATAAAAATAAGACAATTTACTTTTTATCAAGACGTAGACATTTTAGTTACTAAGGCATCTATGTCGTACCTTGAAGAAGGTAATTGGCGTATTTTTCGAGATTGGCCGCCCTCTCTTCCTTCTGCTGAATCGCAGCCTAGAAACGAAGAGAATGTAGTGGTTTTTGTAATTAATGGTTGTTGATTTTGAGCCTAATATGATAAAGCACGATCAAGAGTTCCTTCGACTATTACTTCGAGATCGTCGATCGCCTCGACGATTTCGCTAATTTCTTGTTGAATTTGGGCTTTCGCTTCGGTTATGGTGGCTTCCATCTCGGCCATGGGTGCTGCAAGAGACTCGAGATGAGTCAACGCGTTCAGATTTTGAAGCTCCATGGCTCTGAAGACGTGGATCAGGTCGTTGGGATCGTTGAAATACATTTCAGGGGGACCAATGGTTGCGACATCTTGTTGGAACATTTCTAAAAAGAGCCGAAAAAAATTTCAAACTGTTAGTCAATCTGTATATGTATCTGAGAAGTGAAATCGTTGAGGAAAGTATTCTCGATTGCGAATTTTTGGCGAACTGGGAGAAATATCGGGACACCTATCAGGGAGTCCAGGGACGCCACTTCTTCTGCCATTCGATATCGGTCGAAGAGGTCTTCGGTTTTTGCGGACACCATGTCTAGCCCGGACTCGGAGAGCTGGATCTGGTCGTGTTGCAGCCTCCAGGAAAGCGGGGACACCTGATAAAGGAACTTTTGGCACATCATCACCATCCTCCATGCCTCCTCCCAATAGTAGACCTCCAGCCTGACTTGGCCGTACTCCTTCAGCAGCTGATTCCTCCTGCAAAAAATCACTCATCGTAGAAATGAAATTATCCGGTAATTTCTTTCGATTTATTTATACCTGGAGGTGATGTCCGCAGTTTTTCTAGCCTCTTCTTCGGCTCTGCTGAGAACTTCCATGCTCCTCTCGTGGTCCTTCGACAGGAACTCCTCGAAGCCGTTCACGTATCGGCGATATTTCCTCTGAAAAAAAAAAATTGATATTCCAAGACTTGGTATCATGATAATGTACCTTCACCCGAATCCTTGTTTTTCGATGTGAAATTTCTTCAACCACGATACAATAGTTTCAATCTTCTCTCGGAAAATATATCTACCGTGAGGAAAATCAGATGAAAATCGATCCTGCGAATTTCCAGGATACCGCGAACATTCACGAACTTCTAATCTTACGTTTTGATACATGTGCATAGATGATAGATGTAGATTTCGACATTAGCAACCTTGACTTTGTCTAGTCTTCTCTGTTCCTCCTCGAATTGTTGGTCGATCCTGATGCACTCATCTCTTTCCTGGCCGGCCAAAAGCCGAGTCCTGAGGACATCTCTCGTATCTTCGACGTATTGTCTTTTCGAAAATTTTTGCCCGACAACTCGACCTCGCAATTCCGTAAAATATTGCGGATCCACGTCAGTCATTGCGATGATTTTGCTATCCGTCGAGCCATCCAACTGCACAAAATCACGATTTTGACGTCTAATTTGGAAATCGTTTAAAAAGTGATTTTATCGGAAACATTTGTGATATTGTAAATAGTTGTACCGATTTAATGTATAATTGTTATTCAAATCCATAAGGTAGTGAGAAGCAAATCCTACCCGAAGTCTTTGCAAAAGATCCTTCGACTGTTTCGTCTTGTAACTGTGGCCGGTCATGTAATTTGCTTTTCTTTTTTCTTCCGCATCTTGTCGGTTCCATGCTTTCCAACATTGCGCGTATGCAAATAAGTGCGGATCGGGAGGAAGCTTGAATGGAGAACGTTCTTCGATGACATTTCTCGCTTTTCCTAAATGTTGGTGGCCGCTGGTAAAGTAATATCGAGACCTGTTTGCAACAAACACGATTCTGTTATTGTCCTTCTCTTTTTAAATTAAATTCTAACTATCACCTTGAAACATTTCGAGTGTGAAATATGATGTCCGTATAAGATGGCGGCAAGATGGCGTCCTTCTCTTTCGGCACAGGTGGACGAATTTTCCGATCGATTTGCCGCACTCTGGAGAAACTCGCAGGAGGTGTCGCATCGCTCATTTTCCTCTCCAGTGAAAAGCCTTCCTGAGACGTTCAATTAAGAAGTCGTAATGGGAAAAGAGGGAAGCAAGAAACAATCAATACGTGCTCGTAGATTTATTTCCCGAAGAAAATATTGACGAGGTATTGAAAGTTTAATTAATTAGGAATTAATTGCCTGTCCGTTACTGACCATTTTGGTCTCACCAAGGCTGTATAATTTGTTATTTTAACAATTCGGTACGCCAATGGGGAACGACAGATAGGTTCGAAAAGTAAAACCGATCGAGCAGCTTTCTCTAGATTTCTCGGAAGCTGTTTTACTTTTTATTTTCAAATGCGCGCGTGTCGCGAAATTGGGGTCACATGTAGACATGTCAAAGTGATTTTACAGGACGAGTTCTCTTGAAAAATCAAACATCTCGAGTGGAAAGAGCCTACCGATGGAGTACTTCTCCGAATATTAATTGTCAGCAATTCAAACGGTCTTTTTATTTTTATTTTTTCACTCCATTCAATAATTTCCATTTCGAAATAGCCCAGTCAAATGTTTGAAAGAAGCTCATTAAAGATAGGTACTCTTCGCTTTTCGGGATTTCTTTGTTCAATTAGGAATATGAGAAAGTTTATCCCTCTCGGCGAGAGAAACTAGGGAAGTTTTGGGGGACTATTTCCGCTGCAGTGTCACCCCTGCTTACACGAGACAATTTTGGACCAAGGGGGACAGATTTAGTCCGGAGTTTCCCCGTTAGTAATGCGAATCACGGACTTCCCAGTTTTCTTCTTTTTTATTTTTTTTTCTCTTCCACCTCTCCTATGCTTCTTCCGGAAGGATTGATATACAGCTCCCCCTTTCCTCCCCCGCTCTATAAATATTACTATTACACCCGGTTGGCGTTGCCGGGATTTATTTCACTAATTTTTGGTTTCCTTAAAAAGTTCAGCACTTCTGAAGTACGTGGGCTTTATTATTATTATACTTACTAAATTGAATTTCAACTCCTCGAATTTATCATTGGCGAGATCTTGTTTTGCCGAGACTTTGACGAAATAAAGAGAACAAAATTTATATGTGGCGGGCGAATCGGAGGCCGGCATAATAAAGTAATTCCTGGAAAATGAATGGATATTTGATAAGCCGTGATGCTTTTGTTACCGGACACCCGTTATGTGATATTGCTATCCCATATCCCGAGATGATAAAGGCTGACGCCATTAAAATGGTAATGTTAAACCTCTAAGAGAGGCAACATTTATCGCCTCGTTCGGCCTGCTTAGTATCTCGATCACGTCTCTTCAGTGTCCGTAAAAAAAAAAAATATAATAATGTCGAGAAAGTTTCCTTTTGGATGAGGAAAAATGTGCGACCGACACTTTAGTGATAAGAAGAGCGCTTTCGTGATAAGCCGCACACTGAGAGCACTGATACAAATTGACCCCCGTTTTGCATATGATTTTTCTAAAGAAGAGATTGACTGGTATTAATAGAGGAGTCATCGTGACGTAATTCGATTATAAAATTAGTCAAATTGCATCCAATTACTCGTCATTCAATTTAGAGAGAGGTTCTTGTTAAGGTACATTAAGAGTCTTAAACTTTTCCTCGCCCACGTCGAATCGGCAGGAAGTCGCAAAATGCGGATGTTAATACTCGTCCATAATTGATTTAAACAAATTGCACAGATTTGCCGTTTACGAGGAGCCACGCCTTCGGAACTTCTGCTTTGCATAATTGCTCCTGGCGGTTTTACAGTTTATAAAATATGATTAACGTCGCGCTCCGATGTTGAAAAGATTTCTGAGTTTCGTACATTTTTATTACGCTAAGACCGAAAGTGCAAGATTTATATGTAAATCGGGTAGTAGGGTGGAGGATGTAAAACCAGAGTCACGGTATATCCTATTTTTAACCTAAACGCAAAAAGGCAACTGCCAGAAGTGAGAATGGCTGTTAAAGATGCAGGCTTCGGTTCACTCACCCTCAATGAATAATCCTCAAAGGAGCTCTCTTTCTATTCTCGTTAAAAAGGCCCCTAAATGAGTCAATTAAGCCTATGGAGAATTTCCCGTCCTCCTAGATTTTCGCCTTTAACTTTGACGGCTGATTTTAACACGTGCTCGGGGAAGGAAAAAAGAACGTCGCAAATCCTTTCATGAGACTTAGCGTATACGTCATGAATAAAAAAAAAGTGAAATTTTATCAACTAAATTATTTTAACAGTTTATTCACTCCGAGGAACGCCGATTTTTAAGGGAAATTAGAAATGCGTGGTATTTGATTTACCTATTTTTTTTTTTTTTTTTTAAAGCGTTTTCGAAAACACTCGACTCCTATGGAAGCACTCCTCTGCCATCCGGGGAATAATCTGAATAATGTCCAACGGAATGTATTTTCGACCGACATAGGTTTGCTATGCAACGAATTGTTTGACATGCGCCGAACTCATGACCTCGTCAAACAAATCGAACTAGTTTGCCGGTGGTTGATCAAACTCAAAATCTGACTTTCCTGAACCCCCCTCAATTTGGCAGAATGCCGTCCATTGCATCTCGTTTAATGCAGTTCCATTGCACCGGAAAAGGATCTGCAATGGATTTAGGGAGCCGGAAAGAGGAATTCCCGCATTTTTGCAACCAGACAGAGATATGCAAACATAGACAAAATCCGCTGAATCTGCGCCGGATATACTGGATATTCGTAGGTCGGTCCGTATTTGCATAATCTGATGCACTTTTGTATGCACGGGGGCGTACACTCTGCATTTCCATACAACGCGAAGCAGATTGTGGCCGAGCCCTTCTTTACCGACTCCGATATGTTTCGGGAACGGAATTGCGGAATTAAAAATACAACTTTAAATTTTTTGGGATTTCGGGAGTGACATTGTCACCAGAGGGTCGACGTCTCGCAGACGTTGCAGTTCGCTTCATCAGGGCAGACCCTAATGGGATGTGCCAATTATTCATCCTCTGCTCTTGATTTCTCCAAGTCGGCCTGTATTTTACATAACGGCGCATAATTATGCACATCCATGATTATGTAAAATGCAAAAGCAATTTTACATGCACGTACGCTCATTTCCATCTGGCCCGGATTTATGGGGACTCGTGGTTACTTCGCGTCCTGCTTTACCAACATTTACAAGAATCTGCATTTCGTTCGAAAAAAAATATTTTATTTTTTTCAATAATGGGAAAATATTTCCATAACTATTTTTTTTTTCTTTTATGAAATGTTAAGATTTAAGATTTCGATCGGTAACCATGAAGTCTCTTCCTTATCTTTCACCGATAAAACCATTCGATGATAACGGGAGAAAATAATTCAAGTCACAAATTTAATTTATTTAGTAAAACTGAAGTTTTGAGGAGGAGACTTCATATCGAGAAGACTCCTTTTTTTTATGCGATTTATTTTGCGTTCCTGTATACCTAAGTTATTATCTACACGTGGTAATGTAAAAGCTGTAGACTAAAGTAAGTTTAATCAGCAGATACTTATCGCAAGGCTTACTTCACTAATTAAACACCTTACCCGATGAAAAAAGGGAAAATGGTCTGAAATTCATAGAAAGCTGATTAGGCTTACGTCACTAATTAAAAACTTTCCTCGACAAAAAACATGGGAAAGGCAGGAAAATGTCTGAAATCCATGGTAAGCTTATTAGGCTAACTTCAGTAGTTTAAGCCCTTAGTTTATTAAAAAAAAAAAAAGGGAAAATACGGGAAAATGTCTGAAATTCGGTTTGTGTACATTGGAGGGAAACGGCCCGGTTCCGTTTCACCTGTCTCCCTTTCGTTCCACATCCGAGCCCGAGAACGCGGTGGAGGCGCACAATGGCGTTCCCTATGCTCTCGTAGAAAGGTACCAAGATGGCGGCCTCCATTCTCAGCTCGACTTTTCTCGCGTCCATCCCGGGGAAGCCTTTTCGCCCCGAGAGCCACTTTCATTGTTCCTCGATCCGTCGAGCGCGAAGGTTCGAGCCGGGAATCGAAACGCCCACGCGAACCGAAATCGGAGCGACCTAACCTCACTTTCTTCCGAAGCGGTCCAACCTAACCTGCGCGACCCAAGCTGGATCATTTCCGTCCTCGAGATTCGACATTTCTCGTCCTTTCGACGAAACTCAACAAGTGCAGTTTCACTTTTTCTCAATTTCGGAAGAAAATCGAGAGCGAGGGAGATACTCCGAAAGGAGCGCCAATCGACGGGGGTGAGTTCTCTTACAATTACCGATACAATAATTCATGATCACGAAAATGAAAATCGATTTACAAACCATGTGCTGCATGAAATGATTGCAATGCATGTACGCATGTTGCAGAATAAATTTGAAGAAAAGTTTGCGGTAAATTTGTCATAAATGGTGGTAGCGAATTAAAATTCATTGGCACTTCGAAGAAGCATTGCGCGTCAGTAATTATCAAGCGGTAACAACAATTAAAAGGATATCCTCTTGCGATTAATGGTGGAAACCATTTGTCGCAACGCACTGGCGTAATCGCTACGGAAAAGTGTCAACAATCTGATAAATTGAGGATCATATCTGATACGAGCACCGCGACTTTGCGAGTTTCTCCGGTTTTCCAATCTCACGAACTTACCCCATTGTTGCCAGAGCCATTGTTCGGGTTGCGAAGATGCGCAGTCTTAATTAATTACGGCCCGGAATAATTATCGAATAAATCTTCCGGTACTCCATTAATCGCGGTTTATCCATTCACTCGTTAATTCATTGATCAAGCAACAATGGCTTTTCAATGAATATCTAAAATCACGACATGAAGAAATCATAGCTTTAATTGTTACTTAACTACTTTTACTTCACCTCTTCGTTTATACGAGCAAGTAGAAATGGAAAGACCTACCCATCGAGGATGAAATAAACCTTGTTACGTACAATTGAATGGGCAATAGAAAAAAAAAAAAAAAAAGGGAAGGCAACCGAAGTCTCATTAACGAGTCTCGTTACGCGCAATATCGTTTTACATAAACAATGCAGAATGAGAGGAGATTGTACATGCCGGATTTCGAAGGAGCTCCGTCCTATCCTCTGTATGCTAATTTTAGGCATTCATCTCGATTCTCCCATCGTTTCACCTTCCTTTTCCCTCTTACTCGCACTTTGCTCATTTTCCCTCCTTCGCCCTTCCCCGTTTCTTTACTTCTCCCTCCTGATTTTCGCTTGGCCGATTCCCCCTTTCGGCATCGATCTTGCAATTCTTTCCGAGATCTCGTCCGGAAGAGCCTCGTCACGGCATCGATCCCTCGAAGTGTCGATTGCCAAATTTCCTGCAAACGGTGATTAACTACTTGCGCGTAATTCTACGTTAAAAATGCAACCGGAACGAGTCCGACGCAGAGATTCTAGATAAATATAAACTCTTACGCGAAAAATGTCTTCCGGATGCGCTTGGCGAGACTCGCGACCGAATTACACGCCTCTAATTGCAGGAATAAAGTTAGATCGCGTAGAGGGGAAGAAATGGGAGACGATGAATCTCTAACGAGGACTCCAAGCGGCATTAAAATTGTCACCGGGCGTTTTCTTAAGCTTTTCTCATTTTTTTTTCTTCTCGAGCGGTCGGCATTATGCGAACGAGTCCGCCTTCCAAATTATGCTTCCTAGTTTCCCTGGCGGAGTGTGTCGCCGAGAAAGAGGAAGACGCGTTCATGCTCTGTTTAAGCCTGCGCGAATCGACCGAGTTTCTACAGGATACGGATATTTTAAGATGACACGAAAGGCTTCTGAGAAATTTAATCCGGATTGATGAATTAAAATTTATCCGTATCCTTTAATACCAACGATTTGACTTCTCAGATATATATATATATATAGGATAATTCTTTCACATCCCCTTAATGGGAATATATTTTTCCTAGCCAATCCGGATAGAAGAAAATGGCGATTCGGATGCTGATGATCTTGATTTTGACATCCTCCACGAGACTAATTCACGCCCATACCGGAGGCTGGGAAAAGTGTGGGGGAAGATTGGAACGAGCCCTGGAAGCCTTGCATAGAGAGTCCACCAGGAGAAATAGACTGGAAGAAGAGGAAGGCATCGCTTATCAGCACGAGTTGCGATCAGCTCCCTTGGATATGACCGTATCGCACGTTGCCGTCAAGGTATATTGTCCGTGACATTTAACTTTGCCGATGGACGTCGAGATTTCTCAAAAGCCACTTTCCAGAATCCCTTTAAACGCTGCCCGCGTTTTCCGACAATCAAAACACCTTTTTTCTTTTTTATTATAAATGTAGACGTAACAAGTTGTCACACTTACGAAGAAACGTCGCGTCCAATTTAATCGATTTCCTTTCAAACGAATTATTTCTCGAGTGAACAAAATAGAGACATTCTCTCTGTCGAAATTCTCCCTTTTTCAGCTCCCTCAGGATTTAACGGTGCGAGGAGGACCCTGGGCCCAAGTCGAGAGATGCGTTTACGAGCCGGAAAATAATTCCCTGCAGACGAGGTTGATCTTCAACGACCTTTCCGTTTCCGGATTGGTGTCCATGCTACCGAGGGACTTTCATGTACCGATGCCTGCGGAGTCCTGCAGGATGACCTTGAGACTTCGAAGAGCTGGAATGGAGTTCTACACCAGTCCGATTGCTCGTGGAAAAGGCCAGATGCGAATTCGAACGGAATCCAGCTTTCTGGAGCCTAGGTTCGTCTCCATTTACGCCTATGGATGTCGTCCAACGCGTCTGGATAAACAAATCAAGAGGCAAGACAAGTGGCCGCCACATCACCCTCTCAGTCTACAACAGGACATCGGATTGGACGTAAGAGTTGTTTCGGTTGGCATAATCACTTCTGAAGAAATTACAGAAATTGAGAAAATTAGGAATTTCGTTCCCTCCTGACTTCGCTTTGTTTAAAATCTCCTAACCCCTTAGAGCAGTTTCCTTCACTTGTTTAAATGAAATAGGTAGCGTTGTTTAGAATATTATTTTCTAAAACGTGGTGTTCGATGACGGTGTTACAGCTTGGAGAGATTCCGGTGCCTTTGGGAGATCCTTACGACCCACCTGAGCCTCGTGAGCTGGCAGCTGCTTCGAAGGAAGAAGACCTGGCAGTTGCGAATGAAAATCGTCACTCTCGAGCACTGCTCACTCCGGAGGCTAAATTAGGCATCTGGAGAAAAAGTACATGGATCACTAAGATTCGTCGAAGAAGATCCACCAAGTCAGAGTTGCCTCGAAACCTCATCGTACGCCTTATAGAAAGTCGTTCCCCAGTGGACGATGGTATTAAAACAAAAAGGAGTTCCACCTCTTCGAGCAAGCCTTTCGATACAGTCGATGAAACTGGATCCAATGAAGATCCCTTCGGTGTATCGAAGCTTCTGAAATTATGGAACCGTAATGAAAGATCAACGGAAGACATCACTCCAAGAGACTTCGCAGCAGCTTTGGCTAGGAAGTCTTCGAAACACATGGTCGATGTATTAAACTCTACCATAACCTTACATAACGTGTCGAGGACTCAGGATGGCATCAAAGACCTTACTGAAAACTCTTCATCGAAAAATAACTTCAAGAGAGAGACTACCACCACTCCGTTGATTGAATATCCAAGGGAAGGAAGAAACCTTCCGATCAAGGAAGACGCGGTACCACTGCATTTGGATTTGGACTCCCACTCGAGGGATTGGCAACTCGGAGAGGAAATTGCTAGGGAAATGGAGGACGTATTCCTCAGGGGAGCCAGCCAAGCTCTAACCAGGTACATCGAAAGACAACTTCATCCTGCGATCAAAGAGACACTCATGCTGTCGATGGGTTATACTATTAGCTACGGATAGACATTACTGACGGTAAACTGAAATCCCCCTCAAATCAGTCAATTCGAATACGAAACTTTTTTTAAGGGTATTGAATAAAACCGTCAGAGATTTTGACACATGACTCGTGAACACCTAGGAATTATTCTGACCCTTTCAAAATTTGGATTTTTGACAAACATATTATCGTAATTAACTTACTGTGTATAATAATTTAATGAATATCTTAAATTATACAATCCTATTTTCATCGTAGGGGTATTTTCTTGTTCTCTGTTACTAAACAATGTAGTTACGTTTTAAGGTGTATCGTTGAAATAAGCCAGATATTTATTTTAGTCAATAATTAGCCTAAAGTAATAGAGGTATACAAAGGAATTACTTCTTAACTCTGGTTTGTAATACTCTGACTTAGAAATTCCATTTTTAACGACCGCATTATACATATACATATATTTCTGNATGATAAATATTTTTTTCTTTTAAATAATTTAGTTGTGAAAGGTAGTGAATGGTATCTAATGATTTTAACATGAGCTCTTAATGTACTGAGGGGTCACCTATAAATTCCATTTTTAACGACCGCATTATACATATACATATATTTCTGTACAAATAAGTATTAAAAATATTAATCTCCTAGATTGTATTATCACAAGGAAATAATATTTTCAATTAACATGACTTGAATAGACCAGAATGAATTCTGAAGCATACCTCGGAGGAACATTTTGAATATTATGCTGCAATTAATATTCACGAAACACGATGTCTTTGTATCAGTAGAACTGTTTGTTCGTAAACTGTGAAATGTAAAGCAGTTGTTGCAGCAGCTTTTAGCTGGCTCGGAACAAGCCCCTTGAAAAGTCCTTTAATGCCTTCATCCTTCACTGTTACAACGAGACAGTCAACCATACCTTTACAGCGGAAGAACTTTCCAAACCCAACTCTACCTTCCTCGAAACCCTGAATCTGCATTCGTTTTCGAGCAAGGTCGAATGGATAAACTGCAGTTTTAGCTACTAAACCTGCTGCACTGCCTGCAAACATAGACTTTGTCATACTCGACGAACTGTCACTGGAGTAAAACTTGCACAGGTCCGTGAAGATATTATAGAACAGAAATTGTATGCCAGTGTGTGGTGCAATTTGGAGCAAAGTTGGCCATAGTCCTTGAAAAAATGCCCTAGGTGATTCAGTCTTCATGATAGTACTGGAAAAAAAGGAAACAATATATACATCTTCGCGTCGCACAGTTATATATTAGTCTCTCAATTCTGCAATTACACTTACCCAAATGAATCAACAATTCCCTTGTAAACCAGACGATTCGTTGATTGTGCAACCAGTCTTGTTCGTACGGTGTCAAAAGGGTACGAAAGAACGGTGCCGACACAGCCAGCAAAAGCTCCTCCCATAAACTGTGTCGGACGTTTTAAACTTTCTGGTATCTGAAGATTTTCAGAGAATTTGGTGAACCTGTGGTACGCATAAAACTGAAACAAAATAGGGGTGATTTTTCAAATCTAGCGTTATAACAAGAGAAGTACAATTGTATGATATCGAAGAGGCTAATTGAAATCATTATAAGTAAATTACTTTTAGCTATACCTGGCCTGTGCCATAGATGATCGATAGCAATTGAGCAGGTACGTGCCCTTTCCATAATGCCAATACTCCTTCATCTTTCACAATTGAGTTTGTTGCCTGTAGCATCGAATGGTACTTACTCACATCGTGAGCAGCAATCGGTTCCACTTGTAGCTACGGTAAAGTGACATTATGAAACATCCGCGTCCTATAAAGTGCAATTGTAATTAAAAGAACAACTGTTCCTTTTTTAACATTTGTTAAACAAGAATACATTTAATAACCTAACCTGAAACCTGATCTTGATGACATCAAGGGGTTGACAGGTAAATCTTGTGACAAAGCCGCTGACAGCACCTGCGATGGCATGATCGGAATCGGCTTTTTCCGAAATTCCCATTCTTTCTGTTATCAATTATCGAGTCTATTGCGTATTTAAAGGTTATGATCAATGTTATACTACTCTTTATGCGTCTCACAAATCCATTCTTCACGTTAACGTTACTTCAATGTCACATTATATATTGAAACTCACACGTTGAGATATTTACAAGGTCGAAAAGAGATGAGTTGGGAGATTGCTCACGGGCAGGGTCGTACGATTTCGTCCTGTGCTGCTCCACGGTGAAGGAGCGGACGGCTAACGCACTTGCCACCTGTTACCCCTCAGCGGCGGAGCAACACATTTCTGAAGAGGGCTTGCGATGGCAGATACAGGGGATTACAGGGCTAATTAAAGTCGTCCTCCCCTCCGGTACCCTTCTTCGTGGAGAGCATCTTAAAAGTCTCATCGAAAATTCTGCAACATTAACGAAGAAGACATCGACAACGCAAGAACGAGAGAAGAGCTGGCGACAAGACTGGACAATTTGTTAATATTCTTTTAAACGAGCTCGAGAACTTATGTACTGTATTAAACTGTAAAATAATAAATGCAATAAAGCAAATTATTAAACCATAACAATGAGTATGTTTAATTAGACGAGCTTGTCTATCGAACCCTTTAATTGCCTATTCCTGATCCTTGGGACGACGTGAGAAAATTTTTCCGTGCCACCTCCTCGGTTATCCTATGTTCCCGTTACAAATCGGGAATTTCAACCCCTAAAATTTATGCCCGGGAGAAGACCGTGCCACCTCTTTGGTTATCCTATGTTCCTGTTACAAATCGCCAGCGATGGATCAGGATCATAGGACAACCAAGGAGGTGGCATGGAGTTCTCCCGGGCATAAATTTTAGGGGTTGAAATTCCCGATTTGTAACAGGAACATAGGATAACCGAGAAGGTGGCACGGTGTCTCTCCCGGGCATAAATTTTAGGAGTTGAAATTTTCGATTTCTAACAGGATCATAGGACATCCGAGGAGGTGGCACGGAAAAATTTTCTCACGTCGTCCCAAGGATCAGGAATAGGCAATTAAAGGGTTCGCTAGACAAGCTCGTCTAATTAAACATACTCATCGTTATGGTTTAATAAGTTGCTTTATTACATTCATTATTTTACAATTTATTATAATACACAAGTTCACAAGTTTAAAAGAATACTAACAAATTGTTCAGTCTTGTCGTCCGCTGCTTCGTATCTTCTGTAGAGGAAGATCCGCTAGCCAGATCTGAATACCGATGTCGTAGTATTAGCATAGTATGTCGAGGAGCAATTTCTGCCCTCCATAATTGTACAGTGCAAGTATATTACCGGTGGTATTTTTTCGGAGCTGATCCGGTTGGTATGCCAGGGATCAGTTCAGTGGAATCTCTTCTCTCGAATGCGCCGACTAGCAACAAGTGCCATCTTTATTATACGGAACAATCCATAAAGTTATTCGTTATTCATGATAATTCGGTATTTAAATCGCAGAAATTAAATTAATCCACAATCTAATTGTTTCGTAGAATTTAATTATAAAAAAATGTCTTGCTCCATTGTACGGTTTTTATCTCTGCGATTGTTTATATTATGCTGTTTAATTGTAAGTGAAATATTTCCCTCGACGTGGGCTTTGCCCACAACTGAGATTAAATTCTCAGTACCGAGTGTTGTTCGTCCCATCGTACCTGATGTGGGTAATTATAATTTATTATGCTCAATTAATTATGATAAATATTTTTTTCTTTTAAATAATTTAGTTGTGAAAGGTAGTGAATGGTATCTAATGATTTTAACATGAGCTCTTAATGTACTGAGGGGTCAACCAACACATTGTATAAAACCAAAGAAAAAAGTCGTATGACAAAATGTTGAAGATTAATTGTTTATAATTTTAGTAAAAATACGACTGGAAGACTTGAGGCTTCTTGAAGAAACTTCGCAAGACCCTGAAGTACGTCCAGGATTGTTCCAAGGAGACATAGCGATGTCTAATGAGGTTTTCTTGAAACGTTATCTATTTCTTAATAATTATTACTATATAAATGATATTACAATATTCACTATTTAATTTTGCTGAACAATGGTGTAATGGTATAATTGTCAGACCGAAGTCAGGATGAAATTTCTAAATAAAATCACATTGTAAATTTCCTTCCTATTTATGGAATGGTTTATAAATCATCCTGTATAATTGTAATTATTAATGAAAGAGACATTTATATTTTCAGTACTTCAGTTATTGGCGAGTTGGACTTCGATGGGACGTTTTTCCGGAAAAACTTTGGGCGAACAAAACCATTCCTTACGTTATCAGTCCTCTTTATGGTATAAACAATTAGATAACATGAATTCTATTCCATAACAATATTATTGTACATAAGAGAATCACTGTAAAAATCAATGGCATGATAGAAACATTATTTTTTCAGCAATTTACACCATTACTCTTGTTAAACTAGAATTTTTTAACTAACGGATACAAGTTTTGTTGTATCCCTAATTAAGGATTTCATTGTTTCAGACACGGCCGATTACGTTACAATATACAAAGCGATTACTTACTTAAATTACATGACCTGTATTAAATTCGTTCCATGGAATGGCATAGTTAAGGACTTTTTGTTAATATGGCCAATTTCACACCCTGCAGGGTGAGTACTTAAACAAATAGACAAAAATCAGCGATAAGACTTTTATAATATTTGTATAGCACTAGCTCCACGTCTTTTCGTAATACTTTCTATATACCATAATTTCCAGATGTTGGTCCTTTGTTGGAAAATTCGGAGGCGTGCAGATATTGTCATTGCAGCCTCCTGATAAGAATGGACCGAATTGTTTGGGCACAGAAGGAAAAGCAATCCACGAATTAATGCACGCTTTAGGAATCTTCCACGAGCAAAGCCGAGCAGATCGCGACGATTTCGTCCAAATCCATCTGGAGAATGTTATTCCCCGTAAAAATTTTTAATACTCCTTTCTTACATTTTTACACATAATTAATACTTTGTATTTCCTACTTTGCAGAATTTCGCACCAATTTTGACAAGCAGTCGCGAGAGAACACGACTTACAGCTATGAGTACGACTACAATAGCATTATGCATTACGGGCAGTTTTATTTTAGTACAAAACCTGGAAAACCAACAATAACGCCAATTATGAAGGGCGCTAGATTAGGCCAACGAGAAGCCATGACTAAAAGAGATTGTCTTAAAGTTAACGAACTGTATGGATGTTTTCGAAAACCTGCCCAAGCTCGGAGATACCAAAACATCTGCAGATTATTAGGCATTTAGCTATACAATTAACAATTTGCACTTGTATCATTCTACACCATGCTTAGGATATTGACAGTAATTGTCGTTACCCACCAAACACTGTCACATTTAAATAAAAAAAAACATTTTAAATGAAAAGCAAAAAATTATTTCGATGAAGCCTTTGGTCCTTAGAAATCTATTTCTATTTCTTTGCGCTTTCTTCTTACGATTAGTTAAGTAACTATTTTGTACCGATGCCTCTTAAAGAAAGAAAGAAATTATTACTCATTTGGAGAAGTCTTATTTTCAGATCTTTCGGTCGTTTCAGATTCGGAGATTGCTTTTGAATCTTCTTCTCGATGTCCAATTTCTTGGGATTCTATTCGAGGAAACGTCGTTTCCGAAAACGGCCAGATATCGTCGTCGTCATAAAATGTCGGATTTCGATAGTTTTCTATTAAAAGTTGTAAACTATCTCCCCAGCGACTGTTTAAAATAAAGTCGACGACGGCTTTTTCGGGTAACAAAGGATGGCCTTCATAAAGGGATTCCAATTTCTCCATAAAACGGATCTGAAAAGATAAACAAATTAGAAACGAAGCGCAATATGTATATTATGTCATAATTATAAGTTACATATATATTTTCTAGGTAATAATTCGAAGTAAATAGAAAACGTGAGACTTACGTGATTGGTCACACTAGTCATCCTCAACTCGTGATAAAATTTGTATAAATTAACGATAGTCTCCTCGTAGGTCCTGGCAATGTTATCAAAGGTATCGGGTACCTGTCTTATCAGAGGCGCAGGTACAGGTGGTAACGAAGGTACATATCGAGTGACCCTTCTGGCATACCACCTGGCAAAAAATCGATTCCTCACCTGCAATGATATGCAAAGCGGGTGGATAAACATTTAATTTTTACACCTATTACCAAAAAATCTATTACACCTATTACATAAAAATCTCTAATTACATTAAGAAACTCGTAGTGTCGAATGACGAACGACGCGCGGGATTGTGTTAAATAAATACTATAGCTAACAAAATGTGTCTACTTTCTGTATAAAAAAAAAAAAAAGAATTAATAGTTCTTATATCCTAAGCATGGCATAAATATTCACCTCGACTTGAACGGGGAAGCACCTGGAGGCCCCGAAGACATCAGGATGAGAGTCAAGGAACTTGGAGCAGACCCTGAAGACTTCAGCTTCGGAGGACTCGACGAGGTGGAGGACGTATCCAGGATACACCAACAGAAGACCCGATACCGAGTCTGGGAAAACTTCCTTGGCAAAGTTGACGAACACCTTGAGGATGTCCTCTTCGTGCGACGGAACGATCCTCGCCAGGTAGATCAGCCTGCAGACGTCGTAGCGCTTGTTTAATCGCATAAAGTCCAACATGCTTTTCCTTTTAGGCTCTACCATGACCGGTTGGCGGTGGAGGATACTTTGCACTGGCTCGAGTTGGGGCAAATCGAAGTCATTGTTGGGCTATGGGCAGGAATCGAAACTCATTGTTAGGCTATACAGGGGAAACAGTTCGAGGACGTCGTCACGGATACCGTGACCTACTCAAGCTTCGACCGAAGGTCTCGTGAACGCACACGAAAAGATAGTTTAAGATATACGTATGTTAAATATATATGGAATATCCATACATCTACAGGAAATTTATATCATGTATTGTGATCCCACCTATGTCAACCTTGTGATCCCTATCTTGAAAATATTCGGATATGAGACACTTCGAGTTCTCCCTGAAGCCTTCCTCGTTCGAAAGGGTGCAGAGAGGCTGTTTAGTAATCTTTCTTTAATAATCTTAGTGATACATTAATAATACTTGTCGGGACGCTTTCGGGCGCCTTACTGGCACGTTTGAATAATTTAAATAAATAAATTAGTGGGGACTTTTCGGCGTCAAGGTTCCTTAATGTGTCCCTTGAAGAGAGCTATTGGCGAGGCTGGCGTCTTTCCTTTTCTTCTGCTAAGAATGCCGAAGACGAATGGACGATCAATGCGAATTTCCGAACGAACGGTCATACTTCTCGCCATCATGACCACCGCTGAAACAGACGTGATACTTCATTTAATATCGATTGCACGTTATTCTTTTTTTTTTACCGTTAACTAAAAAATTTTATGGTCGTTCTACTTATGACATTTAGGGAAATCACGTTCCAAAATTCAGTTTTAAGGACAGATAAAGGGCTCTGATGCTGATTTGGAATGTTAATATTTCATGGGACACCCTTTGGTTCCGACATCCTTGAAAATAGAAAAATATGATTTATTCATTGTATCATTGAATCGAATGTATGCGGATGGACAGATATGTATTGCTCCTACATTTTTTATTAGGCTAATGTAAATATCTGGAATTACCACTGTAAATGGGCGCATCGCATTGTCAATCACGGATCGATGACGCGTGAAAATGTCATCACGATACCGTTGTGTCGTATAATCGCCAGAAATGGGCGATTAACGTTAAACGAACCATTGGGATCATCCATTCGGAAGTCCAGTTCGAATTCTGAAACATTAATAGAATTTTTCAATCTCCAATTCCCAGTTATTTGGTTTTCCTTTAACCCCTTCGATTCGATTCTTGAGAAGAGTCCATGCATAGATTTGTTAATTTATTGTGGAGAGAAGTTAAAATCGAAGCATTTCGAGAGCCAATGTACAGTTTAATTACAATGTACAGGATTAGTATGTCATTATTAACAAATTCACGTCGAAAATGATCGACATCAGAGGTAGTATGTTGTTAACAAAAATATACCGGTGGCCATTAAAATTGCTACACCAGGAATAAAAAATAAGGAATTAATCGCATGTATTTATTATTTATTACTCTGTCATATTGAACAGTTTTACAAAATTTGGTGTAGTAATTCCCGCTATTTTTAAATGTTGCGATTTTTATGGCCTCCAATATGATGTAGTAAAAAGAATGATTAATATTAAACGTCAACGATTTTCCCGGCGAAGAAGGAGACATCTTTGTTCTTGATAGCGAAGTAAGAAGGTCTGTCAACGTTGAAGTGAATTTTTGGTACCATCGGCATTGGACCTCGGAGGAACATATAAACACCTAAAATAAAGAATAAACAATGTTTTCATGATATGAAAAATAAAATAGCAGGTACCAATAACGCGGGATGATATATTATGCTTTGCGTCAAATAATTAACGAAAGATTTCTTTGGTTCGATGAAATTCTTTTCTCAGCGTGGAGGGTATTCAAAAGCCTCTCCATACTATTTATGATAATTCCATGGATTTATTTTAAGTACAATACATTGCATAACAAGCTGCTCCGTGTGCGCAAACATAAACTGCGCTGTATTGCTCCAATATTGAAATGTGAACATTTTGGAACATTTTCCTTCATTAATATCATGCACATAGAATAAACTTGATTTACATATCAAATAGATTAAGCATGCCTATGTTTATAACAAATTAATATTCCGGTACGCGGTCGTTCATTTTGATTTGCGGAATTTATTTGCGAAGCTCGATGGGACCGAAAGATGTTAAGATGTTCCACGGGAACAAAGAGTTCCATTTATTGAAGGTTGTGTATTGAGAATGAAAATTATTTTTCAACGTTGTTTATAAACTGGATTATTAACTTCCCCAACAAAGATGACGAGCTTCTTCTTGTGCTTGATGACGAAACCAAATGGTCTGTCGACTTTCAAGAGAAATATCTTGCTTTTCATTTCTGGACCACGCACCAACAAGTTAACACCTAAAATTAAGAATTCACATTCCATAGTGATAGTGATGGATAATTAAATAATCGCACGTAATGATTGTTGCTGAAGTTAAACGCAGTGTGTGACAAATGTGTATCCAAGGTTCGCCATTGAATCCAGAGAAGAAAATCATTTTTGCTTCATTTATGGACCACCAACAAATTAATACCTAAAATTAAGAAATTGCTGGTAACACCCCGACAACAATAAAAAAAGAAACCATTCCTGATGTACTGCCAATCATTTTATTTCCTTTGACATCAATGCCTCGATTTAACAAATTTGATAACATCCCGATAAACGAAATAAAAAGAAAAACACGCAATATCTGATTACTGCCAATTACATATCTAATACCTTAATTTTGAATTCCGACAACCTGACCGGAAATTATCAGGCTCGTCCTTCTTAATTTAAATTTCAAGCTCCCCACACCCAATTATAGTCCGGCTCTTCGATTCCAACTTTGACTTCGACTGCGGGTTCGATTTTGACTTCGGTTTCGAATTCGGGCGCGTTGACTTGAGAATATGTCAGCACAATACCCTTGTATTGTATTATCGACACGAATGGGTGATTTCCGAAAAAGTTGTACCTATGGCTACCAATTCGGAAGTCCACCAACAGTCCTGAAACATTCGCAGAATTTCGTTTGGCCAGCCAAGCTTTGGACGAGGAAAAAAAATAAGCGAAAAAGTTGAGAAAATTGTTGGTCCTTTCCAAGAGCTAGTGATCGTTGAAAGATATTAATTTCACGGGAGCCAAGAAAGCCAATTTTTTTTCGATCGGTGCAGAGATAAATGTTTTGCCAAAATAAATCATGAGTATCTTAACAAAAAAAATGCTATCACACGCACACTCAAAAAACAAGCAGAAAATTCGTCGCGGTTGTTCTGAATATGTGTATAAATTATAATAATAATTGCGGTTTACATGCAGCTTGAAAAACCCGATTAAAAACGCACACACACGCTGAAAAATCATGCACGAAAAAAATTAATGGCAAATAAATAGTTTTCAAGAGGTTCAAACGAGAAGGGAATGGAGTGGATGAAGTGAATTTGTAGAATTTCCTTTTTACCTTTTCGCTTTTTAGAGACCATTGATGTGGCCGGAGAACAGCGTGGTTGGCGTCGCCTCGGTCACTTTTTTAACGATTTCGTAGTGGAACGGACGATCGACATGGAAGGTCTCAGGAATCGATATGGATAGCACTTCGATTACGATTCCTGGGTACAGACGATGCATAAGAAGAAGAGTGACGCGACTTCCCCTAGCATTCAAATCTCCCGCCGATTGAACGCGGCCATTTTGGTCTCTCGTAAACCTTCTTACTCTTCTATGCTACTTTCACATCACAATTCAATTTTGGTTAACTAAACAATTTACTTAAATAAAGAATAAATACTTCGCGAAATTTCTGGTCTGAAAATTTCTGCAAGCGTAGAGAACATGCTGAAATGTTGCAGATGTCTATAAATGAGATTTGCATAAATTCGAGACCGAATGGTAAATTGTTGCAAGCTCAATTTCTTGTAAAAATGAATTTTGTTTCCGGTAGATGCAAAATACTATTTACATGATGTGAACTTTAGCAATTTCCCATTCAGTCGCGGTTATTAATAATTAGTTAAGTAAGGAAGGTTGCAAAGAGACGATCGTCGCGAGGCATGTATTAATTAATTGACAATGTTTTAAACAAATGCGACCATAACCACCGGGATTAAGAATGGCAACGTCTGTGTACCAATTACGTGTCCTTGTAAAAAAATAACATGAAACATTTTCGCAAATGTTAGACAAATGTTGTCAGCATGTTTAACAGGCATTCCGAGGCCCACTACGATTGTTTGGGCTCCTAATTAATTTGTTTCTAATTTATTTGAATGATAAGTCAACTGTGGAATTAAAAATCATAAAACGGTTACTCACTAGAATTAAACAGCAGTTTATACACTAAGTAATACGATTAATCATTTTTTTAAATTAAATAAATGTTTATCTTACGGATTCTCAACTCGCGCGAAAGTTAATACAATATTTTTATATTGCAAAACCGACAGGAAGGGCTGGGTTGCAATAAAAAATTCCTTCGTACGGAACTCCAACTCTTCGGCTGAAAAATTGTTCAAATTTGAATTTCTTCCGACACCAATGAAAAGAAAATCTCTAAAATCACACAATTCACCCACTCATTTACCAGAGAAAATTTCACACGCCATATTGTATTGTCAAACAAAACACACACTGTAACTGATATACCACTGATTTGAAAATTAAACAATTTACGTATACCAAAACTTAAACAAATTAAAATACTAATTTTCCACCAACGACATTTTTTGTAGGTCTTTCCTTTTTCCGAAGGAGGATAGTGGAAGGGTCTGCAAAAAGGGCGAAACAAATGTAAAAACTAAGCTGACTTTATTTCCGATAAGAGACAACATTATCGTTACGGAAATATTAATCATAATCGTTTCCCAGTACTGACAGAAATCCTTGAAAAATTGCGATGCCACCGTACTGTACAGCGTACATGAAGGGCCTGTTTGCATTGAAGATCACTTGTCCTATACGAAGTAATGATCGTCGTCCACTTAGTCCTACCGATCAATATTTAATACCAATTAAAAGAAATTACTTAGGGACAGTTGTCAGAGAGATAAAAATCGAGTTAAGAATTGATTATCGGGAATAAAAGTAAGTACAAGAAGTGACGTACGACAAATTGAATAAAGATTTACGTAAAAGATGTAATTAAGCAGTGAAAGCGAACAACCACGGAAATTCTGGACTATCTCATCTTTCATCCCATTTAAACCTAAGTCTAACTAATCCCACGCTTCATTACGTTATAAAAAGCGGTGATATCTTTCTAACATCCCTTTTCATTAATTAATTCTTGAAATAAAACTCGCAAACAAATCGAGAAGAACTCGTATAAGCTATTTTTTATTCAACCTTCGTAGGTTTACAAAATACCGACGTAGCGTCTCACACATTGAATTGATTTATTACAATACTTCGGATAAGGTTGAAGTTAACATTAATGGAGGATTCTGGCCTGGAAGAAGACAAATTCTTGGTAACTGACGAATGCCAGGAATGGATGGTCGGCGCGGAATTGACGGGGCTTCGGCGGAGACCAGGCAAGAGAAAGAGGGATCACATCGATACCTGTCGCACACAAGGAATCGACAATTCCACAGATCAATTTAAATTGTTCCATTGAGAAAGCAATAATTTACACATATGAAAGCCAACTACCACTCACTCCCTGACCAGTGTCAACATTTTTCACTCATTGTTGCGATCAGCTGACGAGTAGATGAAAATTCCTCACACTTATGACAATTTCTTATCACTTTTTCACTTATCTTTTTTCTCTCTCTCTCACAACACACGTTATTAAAAGGCTAATTTTAATTGCCCGTGACAATCCTCTTGCATGACTTATAATAATCCGGCGATTTTATAGTTTTTCCGATTGTTAGCGAAACGTAAAAAAAAAAATCTTTAAATTCGCATTACATCCCTTAAAAATAATCGGGACTGCAAAGCGATCAAAGTCGGTCTCGGTTATCGTAATGATTCGTCCAATTTAACGACAACGTTTAATAAAACTCGTTTTTGAACGAGGACGAAACGCTTGTGATAATAAAAATTATTATTAAACATGGGATCCCATCATGTCATAAGTAGATAGGAAAGCTGCGCGTGATAAGACGATAGAATTCTTCAAGAATTTCGGTATAAACCGAAAAAGGAATGCTGAAACGATGAAATTCGTGAAATCCACGGAATAGAAAAAATATATGAATGATGAATTCCTTCGCCGGTGATTTTTCATTGTAAAAAGTTTTTAATTCTCTTCGCTTTGTTGCAATGCCGTAACCCATTTACAATAAATCCACAGAAGCGAACAATATATAATTTTTCCAGGGTTAATAAGGGGAAAATAAAACACCAGAAATTATTATAAAAAACGCCTAAAAAAAGCCGCCAAAGAAAGTTACGTCGCAAAATCACTGCCACCATAGAATGCGAAGAAAAAAAAAAACCAAGATAGTCTCAGAAGCCCAAAAACCTCCCCAAAAAAAATCAGAAATTTCCACACCATGCGAGAGTATAGTAAATAATAAACGGATTAAACTGAATAAAAAAAAAAAACAGTAAAAAAGAGCAAATTGCATGTCGAACGGAATTAATTCCACAGTGTTTCATTTAGAAAATCTAGAACGCGACGTGGTACCCTCTCCCCTTGAAAATCGTCCTGCGTTACTGTTCCTTATGTAAAATGTTTCACTCTAAAACGAAGAAAATCAAGGCATGCAACAATCTACTCACCCGTAGCTGCGGCAGCTTCGCTGCCTTCTTCGTTCACCTCGATGAAAGCTTTCTGGATGACTTTCGCGACTTGGAGAGGAACGTCAGAGATTCCCGAGAAATTGGCGTTGTATGAGAACATGTCCGCGAATCCAAGCTGAAAAAATACGCAAATCATTTCAGATCACTTAGCACGCATTTACCCAGAAGGAAAAACAAAGCGGAAAACGTTACATGATTTTACACAATGTTTTTTAGGAATTCTTCAACATGAATCTCATCCACAGAAATACACTCTGAGATATTTTTTTTAAGGGCGTGCTATGGTAAAGTGAGAATACCTTTTTCAGGGCCGGTTCCAGCTCCAACGTCGATTCGATCTTGAACTTCGGTAAGAAGAGCTCCACGTCTCTCTCGTATCCCAAATCATTAAGGCGGCGAAGGTCGAAGTTCTTCAACTTCTTCTCGAGCTCTGGCAAACCGTCGAGTTTGTCGGGAAGAATGATGATCATGCTCAACTCCTCGTTCTGAAATATTATACGAATTCTCAATGATCAGTTTCCTTATCTTCATTTAAAAAATCCAAATACTCGGAAGTCCTGGTACACTGGTGAACATTAAGGTGAAGTGAAACACGTGGAGAAATTTCATTTGAGGGTTTCACTTCACCTTAAATGCGCATAAGACTTAATTTAACGCTAAAAGTGAAGTATGAATACGAGCCTAGGAGTATATAATACCTTGTAAGGCAACTCGACGAATTTAGCATTCAGCTCGTCGATTTCACCGTACTTAATGGACGCGGACATGTACATCGTCGGTACATTCTTCTTGGTCACCCCGTTTACGTAGAAAGGCCTATCGTGAGTGTCGCTGGGGTTGAATTTGGTCTTCCAGTTGCCTTTGAAGTACAGGGCGTTGACTAGCACCAGAGCAGAATCGCTGGAGAGGCTATCTGTAAAAAAAAGGAGAAATATTTTGCCCATCTCACTCGACTCAAAAACGACTACTTACAATTATTTCTAACTTAAAGTGATACGAAAGGGTCATTTGTATATATAAAACGTCAAAATATATATAAAACTTTTCTCCAAGCTGGATGCACCAAATAGTTGTAAACTTCAACATGTGATTATGGAGGCCCTAACAAAGAACGTGGTGGTCCACCTACCCGGAGGAATGAGGTTCTGGATGCGGTTGTTCGTCTGCTGGGCGCACCAGGAGTTGATGGTGTTGGCAGCTTCAACATTTTTTGAAAAGTCAACCAGGTCGACAGCTGACCGGAAAGAGGTGGTAGTTAGGGCCTGGTAACTCGACTTCAATGGGAATCTCTTGTCGACGAAGACTTTGTTCGCCAGGCGCAATTCGACGCCCTTTACGTTCTGCAAGACAAGCAAATCATTTTAGATTAACGGAAAGACAGACACACAGCGTCTTGGACAAACTCGGTAGAGTTTCAGGCCAAATGTATAAAAGAGCATGCGTAAAATTGAAACAGATGAAATGAATTTGAACCCACGTTCAGGACGTCCACGAGGTTCTGGAACCCGGATTTGGCGACTTCGTCGTTGCTGGGAAGATGAAGACCGGCTCTCATCTGCGCAGCGGTATTACCACCAGCGCCATAGGCGGCCATTGCCAAGACTACCGAGGCGCTTAGTGGAGAACATATTAAATTCTTGCCCTCCTGTTCTTTGGCGACGACCTAAAAACGAGGTGTACATCCAAATGTGAGACTCCCTGACAGTATTTATAGGATGTGATAGTCATTTCGAAGACGAATAATTACCTCGTAGAAATTTTTCGAGAATTCGCCCGAAGCACGCGTCACAGCCTGGAGAGAAGAGTCTTTGTCCGCCATGATGTCTTTCACGTTGCCGAAGAGGGCGAGAAGGCCAATTATAAGAACTGAAATGAGAAGTATATAATAATATAATATACAAGAGAAATCCATATTTATTTAAGGCGATGCCTTGGAAAACTTGGGGAGCGAAATCGCGTTGCACTTTTGCCGAGTTGCAACTGCATCCAAGGTTAGGCACAGGTTTATGCAGGTGTTTTATTACATCTGCTAGGTATCGATCGAAAGCGAGGTGCCAGAAGCAACACGCATGATTATTAAGCGAAAGATAAGTGACGGTGGAAAATAAGAAATTAAATTGAAAGAGATGTTTTTTTAGAGATGTTTTTCCTGATCACGGGGAACCCCGAGGAGGCAAATATCCATAAATAAGCGCAATCGAAGAGCCGATCGCAAGACATACGCGATGTACGTCTCGAGTGTACATAGGCGGGTATTTCCGAAGCAATTGCCGCCCACGAGTGCGCATTAATTCGAAAAGGAAAACCGGTGAATCACAAGGAAGCGAATACAGATACGAATCGACGGATAATACGGAAAGAAAGGAGAAACTGCCGCTAATTGCTTCCTGGGATAAAAAATTGATTTGTCTTTGATCCGTTTTTTGTCCAAACATCCGAATTCGCAAGTGCTAATCGATCTTCCGAAAATCATTCTGTCATCGCTCGAGTCAATAATCGGCTTACGTCAGGCGTCTATTAACACACGTGTGTTTATCCTTGCGAATTTTTGTTAACATTTCCGCGTTAGCTTAGACTGTTCGGGAAGGCGAATAATATTTGCCGTAGCAATTGTAAATATCGCAAAAATTGTCATTAAATCACATAATTTCTATGCATTATTCTACTTTTCACATGATATAAGATTATTTGTTGTAACTTTTGAACCTGTTATTAGTCGGGATACTTTTTAATAAAATAATTTACGTGAACGTCTCTCGAAAAATCAATATTTCCTCTTTTCGACGTTGACGCACGGCGATTGAAATCGGCCTTGATCGACCGCGTGATTTTTTTTCCTCGGCTCGGAGATAACGACATTCGATATTAGTTTTATCGAGCGAGTTGTTCGATAAATCTATGGAGCCACCGAGCTCGTTCTCTGGTGATAAAGCTCGGATTTATGACAGAAGTGTTTCTTTATCGAATTCGGTTTAGCACGCCGGGTTGGTCACGAATGCCGACCGCGTATTGACGGGCACGACCGAATGAATTCGCCCACGCCTTATCAATAATTCTTTATTGGCACTTGCGAGACGAGATTAAAAATCGATAGACAGTCGCTTGAGAGAAGTAGAAAAAAAAATGCGATGCATTCCAAGTGCGAGCGACAATTTTGTTAAGGAAACTGCAAGTGTAGGTAACTCGTAGTAATTCCGAACAGGTTCGAAACAATATGCTAAAAATCGAGTCACGTAAGATCGGAACCTTGGGGGCCATTTTGAAATCCTTGTCCGAGGTCATCGTCGATTTGCGGCAACGCGGAGACCAACCGGAGACATTTCGCCATATATATTTTTTTCTTCCTCGAAGAATTATGCAATATTTCGAAAACCCAAGGCAGCCTTGAACGCGATGTGCGGATTTATGCTCGTCGCTATTTTCGTTTTCATTAAATTTTTTTTTTTTGTTAATAGAGAATTTACACAGAAAATTGCGAAAGGATGCGACTTTCCCATTGTTAGTAATCGGTAAAAGCTTTGAGAGTAGAGAGGAAAATTAAAAGATAACAAAAATCTTGTCTGACTTGAAAGTTGATCATATCCCTGTAACATCTCATTACGACCGATTGTAAATTCCAAAATGGAATTTTTTCGTATAAAGGCAACATCTTCGGAAATTATTCGAGTGACCAATTCAACTGTTCCAGTTTTGCATCGATGTCTACAAGCATCGGTCCGAAGACCTGTAAACTTGTACCGCAACGTCAAAGTATTACTACACGACCTCGTTTCCAGATTCCACCTGTCCTGCCAGTTCCTCGGACCTTTCTACGGTTCTAATCATCTTAAGGTGAAGTGAAACCCCCTCAAATAAGTCGACTCGTGGTAACCGATTCCAATTTTTGCAGTTACGTCAAAATTACAGACGAAAGAAAAAGTTCCGAAACACGATTCGCTAGTTTTTATGGAATTATTCCTAGAAAATCGATTGTTTAACCGAAAGTATGAATTCTACGGTGAGAAGTAAAAGTAACGAGACAGTTACTCACGGGAAATCATCGTGGCGGATGTGCGTCGATCTGGCCCCGTCGACGTCCGGACGTAAACTGACGGCCAGTCGGCTCGCGGTAGAAGTTGAAGTCGCGGGCCGCGGCAATCGGAGACAATCGGGAGCAATCGGAAGCAATCGGGGGCAATCGTGACCAATCGCGACACTGGACGGGAGCGAACGACCGCGACGCGGAAATCGACACATGTGGACAAGTATGTACACAACTGTGCATACTCTGTGTCCGCCGTGTGCCACGTGTTTCATTAAAGGGGTTTCCAACTCACTTTTTGTGCCTGATGAGGGTATCGACATTGCGCCTTCTAAATGTTCTTTCAGGTTAGCCCGAAAGAACTGAAGGGGATCACGCGAAAAAAAGCAAGATGGCGTCTCGCGTCACGTCTATGAGAAAATTTTTTAAACAAAAGCAATAATAAATAATCATCATTCAGATAATTGCATGAACTAATTTCAGAGAATAGTAAAAAAACTACCTTTCTGATAACCTCAACTGATAAAACCACATTATCAGATTATTTACTGTAAGTGGTCGGCAAGAAAAATTCCATATTGGACGATTTGCGGCAACGAGAGATACGCAATTTATCGACCTAATTTTTTCAAGGTTTTTAATACATGGTGTAAAATATTTATCCTGTACATATTGTCGTAATTAATTTTTCCGTCGGAAATAATAGAAAGCAATCATAATCAATGTAACAACCCATCTAAGAAAAATTCTCCGAAATGATTATCGTTAGAATTATTTATCATTTACGTATTTTTCACGAACTGGTTTATTAATATTTCATTCATAAGGGAAGATCGTGACATTTTTGTTTCCGGATCAGGCGCAATAAAAATTCGATAACAAATGCCGAAATCAATTTACTGATAACAGACGACAGTGACTAATATCCATTTGTGATGAAACATGATAAAAAGTCGAGTCAGGGAATACAAACGGACTTTAATAATATGCCGAAAAATGTCTATGAATTAATGAATTACCTCATTACGTGTATTTCTAGGTAATAAATTAGCAATACGTGTACTTCTACGCGGATTATTACCTTCCTGAACATGGCGAAACTGACAATTTAATTCATTTTCTGTTAGATTTGTAAACAATATAACATTTGATAACGTATTTTGCAATCAGTATGAAAGTAGCAGATAGGATCAAATAATTTTTCTTTAACTGATCAATGACGAAATGTGATAAAAAGTCGCTACTGAGAATGCAAATGACCTCTGATAACGTTACAATGGCACTTTAAGTCATTCGATGATGAGAATGGCAAATAAGTGATCGAATGATTATATAGTAATATTTCGTAACCTCATTGCGTTTTCTCAAATTGATACCAAGAAAAATCAGCAAACAAACGTTGGAGCGTCGTCATCGAGTATGGATTTTCCGTGTTATTTATAGCGTTATGAGAATGCATTATCGGTGTCGTCGAAACTACTAATCGCCGTGATTACGATTACATGCTCCGCGTAATGAATGGCTGATCTCAGAATGGACAGAAGAAGGGGAAAAAAAAAATGAGAAAAAGTTGACGAGAGATCGAAGCAGGGTCACGGTCGCCTTTGCGATTTCTTCTGGCACGAAGCTGTGTAAATGTAAATGCGTAAATGTTAGCATGCATGAACTAACGCAAGCAAGTGTGTACAGAGGTGTGAAAACATTTACACAAAAGTCGCAAAATATGTACACGTGATATGTTCGAAAATATGTACGTCGTAAGATATGTGGTCCCTGTGAGCGCCATCGAAGGTTTTGCAATTGAATTTTTAGATTAGGTCTGGGTGATCCGGTGGTATCATTGAGAATAGTTATCAATGGAAGAATTATTAATAGAGCTGAGAATTCAATGGGATCCTGAATAACACAGAAAGTAACCGATTGTCTCGGTTTGGGTAAATTCCAGTATTTTTTAATCTCGCATCACTCCAGGCTACGAGTTTCTCAAAAATGTATCTGGCTCGATACTCGACCGAGTTCCTTGATTTTTTCAAAGCGAGTTCTTATTGATTTTTTAACAGCGATAAGGATTTCGAGGAGATGAAAGTGCGGACGGAGTAAATAAAATTGGGAATAACGCGCCGAATTGAAATCACGGATTAAAAAAAAATTATCGATAAGTAAAAAAATAAAAGGACTAACCAGCTATCGATGGGCGAGTTTTTAGGGGCGGGACGAACAGCTGATCGCCACTCTGCTTTTCTACGTTTCCACGTCGATACACCGACGGATGGCGTCACGAAATGCCGCCGACAAGGAGTAAAACCTTCGAGATATCTTCCCGAAGACCACGCCCAACGAGATATGCCGGACTTCTAAACAATCGGTGAGTGTCCGATTACCAAACTCAATAACGATTTTTTATATATTGTAGGAGTAGCCGAGAGAAGAAATGCCGTTCGATTTTCAACCTAGCAGCGGCCATTGCGTGGCGCTTCTAAATACAAAGTTGAGTCATCGATGTGGTGAGGAAACCGGCACACCGGAAAACGAGAAGGCCGAGGATTTTTTTAGCTAGAGTTAAACAAGCAATGGAATGTAATCCGTGACAGTCTGGATTATTATTTCGCCTCTAAACATGACTTTGATTTATCCCCATTGTCAGAGATCATCTACGAGACATCTTAAAAAATCTGACGCTTGACATATTTAATAAAGATTACAAAAAATATTTAGAAATTATTCTATGCTACTAGGGTATGTTTTATCTTTTGCAGTACATAAATGTATTATGGTAGGTAGTAAACATTACCTTTTCTACGCTTTTTCTAAGTGGCTTTCTCTAACGTTTCCATACCGATCGCAGCACTTTCGTTCGGCAAAACTTTTCTGGCAACTATCGCATCCACAAGATGGCTCTCTAGGAACTTCCGGGTAACATTTAGGTGGACAAACAGGTGCCTTCGATTCAGGTTTATCTTCGCAACAACAAGGAGCGCAAGGATTCTAAGAGATCATAAAATCAGAGATCCATTAAAACGAGACGAAAAATTTTGAATAGCTGATAAAATTTGCAATTCCCTCATATGAAATATTAACTTTCTCCCTCTCCTCAGCACGGCTTATAATGCACGTGTAAAATAATTATATGAAATAAAGACTGTTTATGTATTTATGTGGATTAGAGGAAATAGTTATAACTATTCCAGCATACCTGCATCTTTATGTAGCAACAAGTTGGAGGAACATATTCATCTGGACAAACTTGTGCTCTGCCGATGAAAGGTTCCGGTTCTGGACAAGAAGATGGCGGACATTCGAAAAACCGCGGACTCTCGTCTCCCTCTGCACCAATTCTCTGTTCGTTCCGTTCGTTTTGAGAATCCTGGGACTCCCTTCTTCCTTCTCCTTCGTTCTGAGAATCCCTACGTCCTTCCTGCTCTATTCGAATTTCCCGCTGCGCCTCCTCTTTGACTTTATTTCCATCTCCAATGGCCTTTTCTCCTGTATCGGATTTCTTCTTCGAAGGACACTTCTTCCTGACTTCCTGCACTGATAATTCCGGACTCGCTGAAACTAAATGAGGAATAACTCATATCGGGAGTTTAATTGAATTAAAGAAACTTAATTAAAAAATGAAAGGTTATTAAAGAGTTTTAATGTAATTAAAGATCCCAAGAAGATTGCTCCGAAGTAACTAACCGTATTTGAAAACTCGCGCTAAAAATCCGCTCTGGCCACTGTCCATCGAAGTCTACTATTTTTCTTCCGAAGGTCCTAAATTAACGTTTTTCTAATAAAAATTGTACACTTCCAATTTGGATCATAACGGCCGAAACAGTAGATAAGCGTGAAGTGGCGATTTAAGAACTGAAAAAGAGAAAACAAAATGGCTGCTTTCTCGAGCCGTGAAATCAGGCCTTACCATGTGTACCATGAATGCGATCCTCCCTCGCTCCGCCAGATGGCACCATCAGGGTCCTTCCTCGGTCGACCCACTGCAGGACTCGGCGACGGTCGCGAGAGCCACGGCCGAGAAAGTCGTTCGAAATGTGGGTTCTCGCGCTTGTAGAAAAGTGAGAGGGTTCGGGGCAGAGCGCAGTGGCTCGTGTCGGTGAAAACAGCTCATTTGGAGCGCGTGGGAGTGAAGGTGGCTTCACGGTGCGTGCCCAGTTCCGAATAATCCAGACAAATGACAGTGGTCGTCACCCGAGGGTTGGGATCTCGCTGCGGGGAGATGTCGACGGCTTGACGCCACTCCGTACGAACCTAACCTTAAACCACGCCAAGAAACGCTCCTATCGGGCTTTGATGCTCTACAACCCCCAGGCCGGAGCGTTCCGGATCATCGAGAGGTTCTCTCGACAATAAGGTACCGACCTGTCCCAACTTAACCTAACCTAACCCCCGACGGCATCAGTGTTGCCAACTTCGCTTCTGTTTATTCCAGGCGGTCAAATTAAAATAATAGTGCAAATCGCGTAGTATTGTTCTAAAAATGCATAGTATACATGAGTAAAGTAATAGTACAAGTATTATAATAATAGTACGGTTGGCGACACTGGACGGTACTCTCTAACCTCTGCGGCCAGTTTAGACTTAACCTGGCCTAACCTCTCACGTGACGCGCGACCGATGGTCATCGGTAACCTTGTTACACGGCAGGTAAGTCAGTGGCCTCAACCGGTGCGGTTTAACGGAATGGCTCTCGCTCTCGACAGCGACGGCACGTGCCCTTCTCTATCGGCCGCACCAACTCGCGTGCTGATTAGCTGGCCCCGTGACGCCATCTTGGATATTTACGGAATCGTCGGAAATGTCCTCCCGCTGTCTCCGCGAACTCGCGCATCCGTGGCGGCGCACACGCGCGTTCGACCTGACGACACGCGTGGATGTGTAGGCGTGCACGTGTGCGTTTACGTTAGTCACCGCTCGGTGGGATGTTTTTAGCATAAATGCGTAAAAGCCGTGTAAAATATCCGAGTAATCGCTATAACGCGGCCGAGGAGTAGGTAGGAATAATTTGTCACAAGTATTTGACGTTTATTGGTTACTTTGTTTTCTGTTTATTTACCTTTATTGGAGGTTCTGTCAGGGTGCTCCAAATTCTGTCCAAGGATAAATAAAAGGAATGTCACAAATTACTTGTCGAATGGTTTGGATATTTATTTCGAATGCTTCTGTCTTGGGTTTGATCTTGGTCTTATCGTTGGGCCAGAGTTTTGTTATAAACAAGGGGGATAAAAATATCTGCCGGGACATTGCAGCGAATATGAGTCATTTGGCTCATTGTCCATTGTCTTGTGATGCACACCATTCACTTATCATTTTTTTTTATAAGGGAATAATATTTATCGGCTCTGGATTAGTTATAAGAATTTAATAGTGAGTACAATAGCGTTTTCAAGTGTCTACAGCTTCTTGAAATTTCAGCTTTTGACCAAACTGCCGATCAAAGACTGAACCACCGATGCGAGGGACAATCGACTCTGACGTTAAGCACGGACAGCATCAATGGGAAACTGCTTTTCGTGTTTCAAGGTGCCACCCCCACCGTCTGCTTCGAATAGACCGATCTCACAGGACCACAAAGAAGGTAATAAAATTATTGCTGGCACTGATATTTCAGGAGCTAATAAACAATAATTCAACTGACCGTCACTATAATCTTCACTCGTCTAACAATTAATTTATAAGTGACCAGGCATTTTGAACACTTCCCACCATTTGGATTTTATACTCATAATCTAGTTTTAGCGTTAAAAGTCAGTCAGTTAAAGATTACAAATAAGAGATATAACCTTAAAAATGAGGTTTATGTACGTGCCTTGGGATGAGTCCGATTTGACTTTATTTTCTTTCTAGATACGATGGAACTCCGGGGCCCATACTCTTCAAGTTCCTGCTCCCAGACCGGAACCCTGACCACCGTGGAAACCCACGCTAATGGAAATAGGAAGTCTCCGCTGACAGCTCTTGGCACATTTAATAATGTCGGTTCGGACAATTGTGGATCCCTTCCAGTTTCTCAGAACAATCCACGACTATCGAGGGGGTTTTACTCTCGCCTGCCACCTCTCGGTCGCTCGGGGACCAGTTCTACCCTTAACCTCAATGCAGATTCAAAGCAGCAGAGGGAACCCTCCGAGAGCAAGCTTAATGCTCTCTTCGACCTATATAAGGTACAAAGTTTATATACACGATGGATAAGACCAGAAAGTGAAAATGTCAGGACAATTCTAAGATGACCACGAGTCATATGTCAAGGTTTAGGACAGTTCGATCAAATATCGTTAAAAAAAAAAAAGTGTCTTATTCGAATCGACTGATTTGAGGGGGTTACGATTTACCGAGGAAAGAACAAAATTCTCCGTTTCAGGAGCCGCACGAGGACATCATCTTGGCGGACGGGATCGAACGGCTCTGCGAGGACCTGCAGCTCTCGCCGGACGAGTTCAAGGTCCTGGTGCTGGCCTGGAAGCTGAACGCCGAGCAAATGTGCCAATTCACCAGGCAAGAATTCGTGACGGGGCTGCGTTCGATGAAAGTGGACAGCATCCGAGGGATCCAAGCGAGGCTTCCGGAGCTGGTGCAGGAGCTGACGGTAAACGGGGACCTCTTCAAGGACCTCTACCGGTTCACGTTCCGCTTCGGGCTAGATGTCGGGGCCGGCCAGAGGATCCTGCCAGTTGACATGGCAGTCGTCCTCTGGAGGCTGGTCTTCACGATACGCGAACCTCCTCTCCTGGCCCGGTGGCTCAGGTTCCTCGAGTCCCACCATGTCCGCGGCATCCCCAGGGACACCTGGAACATGTTCCTCAACTTTGCGGAGAACATCGGCGACGACCTCGGGGCCTACGACGATGCCGAGGCCTGGCCGAGCCTCTTCGACGACTTCGTCGAACACGAGAATGACCAGATGAATCAGAATGTCACCAAGGACGATCTCATCAAGGACTCCGCGGCCGAGAAAGACTAGGATCACCGGAGGGGGAACTTCGCGTGCATTGATTGTCCCCGACCTGGACTTGGAGACTCCGACCACGGGACATCCACTAATCCCTGGAACACGTTCATCGAGCTCGCAGGGCCTTAGGCGATGTTCATGAACCTGAACATTGTCAAGAAGTCCATTGACAAGGATTAGACTACACATATATCGAAGCTTCGTCCTTCTCTTCTATAACCTCTTACGAAGATAGGCGATTCACCCGAGATGAGGACGATCAATGAAGATCCCTCATCGACTGGTGCACGGACTACAAGAATCACAGAAGCCTTGAAGAGTTCTGCTTCTTCCGCGTCGCGACGTCGATTTCCGAAGACGCTTAAGCACTGCGACTGGACCTATCAAGTAATTCCGAAAGTTCCGTCGTTCTTTTTCTTTTTTTTTTTTTTTTTCTGACAACCTTTAAACGTTTTCACTCCCAATTATTGAGATGTCGAGTCACACTCGACAAAAGAAGGTAATCCCTTTGGGAGATTATGCCACTCAGGAGACGTACTTTTAATTATTTTAACACGGCCTGACAATGAGTACTTTATTCTGTATAAAGTACTCGCGAATTTACGGGCTTCCGTCCTGGAGTTTAATTTAACTGCGATTATAATTGCGATTAGATTGCATTAGGTTGGTGCGTCATTAATGTTACATCACAAGGTAAATAAAAAATTGTGAAGGATAACATTAATTATGCACCTCTCTGACAGTTCTACGATGTCTTTAATAATTCCTTTTAATCGAGTGACACTGGCAGTGAATTTGTTCAAAGCACTTGAGTGTTCATTTTTATAATTGTGACCGCAGTGAAATTATAGTCTGACATCGTCACATCCAACATGGCCATTGTAGTTAAAGAAGAGTTACGTCGACTTTACTCTCGTCTAAATTCGAGCATTTCTCTTATTTTGAATTGAAGACTAATGGATCGTATTGATCTTACGATGCTGCAGTATCGAAGGAGTGTACTCGAAGAGTTCGCTGGAAAGTCTCTTCGAGCTTCCTTGGTGCTGAGATAATTCTCCATCTGTGTCACGATGTGTGGTGAAATTTCTAACTCGACCTAGAAATAATTTCATGGTTAACGGTGTGTTTGGTGATGTTTATCGTAGCATTTTGTCGATAATTGTATATTGAGACTGTTGTGAGGAAATTCTTTAGCGGTGATGGGTCAACAATGTTAGCGAAACTGGATCGGTCAGGAATTCATCATTAAAGCGAATATTCCTTTTCTACGAATGACTGCATTGAATGAAAAAATTAAGTTTGTTCAGTATAATCAATGAAACCAACTCAGGTTGCAGACTTTTGACTTTTAGCGAAACTAAGTAGGGGTTCGACTTGAGTAAAATGTAATATTTATTTAATTTGTGCAATAATTGGTTTTATCTGTGCAAGAAAATCCTCAGAAAATTCTCTTTGCTGCAAAGAGCTGGAAAATATTACAATTATTGGTATGATCGAGTAGCATTTGAAGCAGATCAAATCAATGCGTAGCAACAATAACTCGAAGTAGAAGATTTCATCGCAACAGAGTCTTAATTGAAAACTTAATGGACAATGTTTCAATTAGTACTACGATGAGAATAGTGTTCGAAGCAGTTGAATGTCACTGCGCAGCAACTTTAAATCGAGGCAAAAGTTTCTATGTGCAGCGGAGAGCTTAATGGACATATTTCAATTAGTATTACGATCCGAACCATGTGATACCCATTGGAACACAAGCTAATCAATTAATATCGGGTTCTTCTGTAAATGTAAGACACTGTTCAAGGAAGAATGAATTAAGAATGTCGGTGTGAATGTGCAAGTGTGAAGGAAAGACAGAAATTGCGATAGAACGATGAAATGAGAGAGAGAGTCCTCCTTTATATAAAAATCCAGTGACGCGTGGCATTTTATATACAAAGTCTCACTGGCCAGTTGAATGGTCGCGTTTACACCCGAAATTTATAAAAATCCATGGATCCCGTTCGACCGATCTATTCTTCTCGAAAAATTGAATCGAAAATCTTTTTTGCACATTTTTTGGAAACCCAGATTTCTCGAGTTATAATGTCGACCAATCGCGTGGCGGCTCCAACGGAAAGTGCGCAAAGAGTTTCCCATTCAACTTTTTACAAGGAATGCGATTGGCGAAAGGGAATTCAAATTTATTGGGTGGATTTTTGCATACGCGATTTGGTGGTCTAGCGCGTTTAGAGACATTGTACATTGCGTGTAATTACTTGGCAAGTACGGAGGCGATTTATCAAGCTTTCGAGACCAAAATCCACGTTTCGCGGCGAACTGTTGTTAACACGTTTTTTTTTTAGCTTCGCTTTTCGTTTTCATGAAGTTGGTTCGCACCGACGATTTTGAAAAATAAAATGAAAAGGTTTAGAATTAAGTTTAAAGAAAAAAGCTGCAGTCGAACGTATCTCTTTTTTTATACGCTGTGTTTCGTCGTCAGTCATGACTCTCATCTTGAATTGTGATAATTTGCATAAGCTGCGTAATCGTAGGCAATAAAGAAAGCACTTTTAATTTATACAAGAAAAAGAAGTTTTAAAAAATTTAATTAGGCTATCGAAGGAGTGTTTCGAAGTCCCAAAAAGCTTTCGAATCACTCTTCGATGGCTCTTCGGTGGTACTTGGTGCGGACCATCCTCAACTTCTCCTTTATCGTACACTTAAGAGCGTGCAGTCGATTCTGTCGATTTCGTGGTATTTAACTTAAAGAATCGTATTTATATAAATGTAAGATAAAGATGAAAAAAAAGTTACGGTTTGTAAGTATATATAAATATTTATATACATATTTCCATGAATGTATGCAAAGCGCGGCGGAGGGAGCCAACGTGCAGGGAAGATTTTCAAGTCCTTTTTCTTCTCCTTTTTGGGCTAATCAATTGTAACGAAAGTCACGTTATCGGGCCAGCGAATGAGGAATCTTCCTGAATTTTGGGACCAATGGAGTGTGAAGGAAAAGATACTTTTACGGCTACCGAAACACCTGACGTTGACTTTTATTAAACATTATGTGCGTGGAAGGTACTCCGACCGCGTCACCCGTCTCCTTTTTTTAACTACGGGATTTTAATTATTTCTCATTTATGAACAGGGTTTTTTGCACAATTCTACAAAGCATCTTAAATTTCAAGCATTTAAGTCCGTCTTGGAAATTGGTATCTTTTTTTTTTTTGGTTTTTCAAATAAGGCGCCGTTTTGGGCTCCCTCCGTCATGTTGATCGAAATCGGACACAAAGGAGTCTTGATGCAGATATTACGTATTTCGACATTTTAAAATTCCCAGAGAATGTTAATTGAATGTTCATTAGTCGTGGAATCGCTTGCTTGGATATTTTCACATGTCCATTTTATATACCGTAGTTGGCAACTATTTTGCGAAATGGTGAATATTCTATCTTCCTTTTACAGCCGTAAACATTATAAACGTTTGAAAAGGATGGCTAGTGTTCAATGTTCATAGTCTCTACAGTGGAGAGTATTAATTAGACTCTTTTTAAACAAAACGTGAACCTTTTTGCCCTTTAATTCTATATGTTGCACTTTAAAAAAAAATAGTGCAGTGCCGTCGTTACATTCAAGTGCGAAAAGTACAGGCAACGCGAGCAAACCTATTTCTATACAACATCTACGGATTGAGGGTATTTGAATGGCGGCAGACAATTGCACATCTGTTGGACCCTTTTTATCACCGATGTCACGGATTTCGGCACTTTAATTGCGACAAACGGATGAAAATGTCTAATCTATCTCTACCCCATATTCGGGCGTTGCCTGGGCGACGGCGTCGTTGCGCAAGGGAAGCTTTAAATCTCACAAAAATGGCAACCGCGCCGTTTCCCGACACTTATTTTTGATAAAAATGGGAAATGAGCCTTAGAGTTATCGAGTTGTAAATCCCGGCATAGCTTGCAGCAGTAATTACGATAACGTAGCGACACCTGCCCTTCTACAAAAAAAAAAACAATTCGTGGCCTTCTATCATCACAATTTATAGTGTGTGTGCGACCGGGATGACTTTTAATTAATGTATGTACACGACTGTACTTACGATGGGAAGTGAGTTCGGATGAATGAACGGGGGCTGACTCTAGCACAAATATTACATACGTAGCGTTCTTACGGAAAGTGCCAACGAGTGAGGAGGAAATTTTATCGATAAGCCTACGAAGCAATGTGTGCTTACAACTAATATATTATATGTGTATTTATATATTCTCCAGGCTCTCTTTTATCCCGAATTCCTATCCATTAGTTTGTGCAGAGGTGCAAAACTTTACAATCTCATAAATTTCCAACGTATTTTTAACTGACCTAGAGCCGGCCCGACATTTAACAATAGTTATAAGACCGATGTGAAGCAGGACGTGTGTAAACGTTTTAGTAGCTACAATTGTCATTTACATCCTTAGATCTCAGCGACTCAAACGGTAGAAGCGCGAACTACGAAGGCGCCTCGTTGCTCACTCTAATTGGCTACTAGTCCGCCAATCAGACGTCGCGAATCCGAGGTTAGTCAATCGATCGTCATCCAGTATCGCAATCGTATCTCGAATCGAACTCGCGTCAACTTCAGGGAAGCCTCGTCGATCGGCGATGTTTCCCCGCGTGTAATTGCGTCAAATTGTTCGGCTCTCGTGTGTATCGGAGCCGTCGAGCGCGGTCGGTGATTTCAGTGGTGCGTGTGGCGCGGCCGAATGTGAGGTTAGGGTACCGCGCCTCGAAGACGCTTCGCGAGTCCCGTCACCAGCGACCGGCGGAAGGCGCGTCCTGGACAGTGCGGCTTTGCTCTGTACGTTTTAAACTGTTTTCTTATCAACTGGCAGGGGAGTGCGATCAAAGATCTACCGCGTCTCCTGCCGATTCTCGTTCCCGAGGCGACGCTCGTTTTCCGGTGCTCGATCGAAGCCGATCGAAGGAGCCTTGAAAATGGCTGCTGCCGCTGCCGCCGCTTTGCTTGACGAGCTCATGGGAAGAAATCGGAATGTCCTCCCCAACGAAAAGCCCAAGGAACTTAACTGGGAGGATCCTGAGGTAATCCTTGTTTTATGACTCTACTCTTTATTTGCCGAATCCAACTACGAAGCTTTTGTATTCTTCGATGTGCTCCGATGGTGCATTTCAAAACACTGTGGTGCGGGATCATTTCAAATTATTTAGGATTTTATTTTATATCAATTTTAAATTTCCATCGATGTTAATGATATTTACTTCCACAGTTCTGTAAGCTGTATCTCGTGAAGTTCTGTCCACACGATCTGTTCGTCAACACTCGAGCGGATCTGGGTGCCTGTTCTCGAGTGCACGACGACGAAGCCAGGGAATTGTTTGAGAAGGCTCCTTATTCCTACAGGAAGCAACAGTACGAAGATGAGTTTGTACGCTTTTGTCAGAGTATGCTCAACGAGGTGGAGAGAAAAATCATCAAAGGAAAACAACGACTTGCTTTAATCGGAAGGACAGAAGCGGTAAGTTATTTTTTTTTAAACACTCGATATTACGTGTTTGTTGATATTTTCCTCAAAATTGTATATTTCTCAATTTCATATTAACGTTCCAGCCCACACTTACTCCAGCCCAAACGCAACGTAATGAAGAACAGATTGCATTACTCACTGAGAAAATAAACAAATTGGTGGAGGAAGCCGAACAGAGTGGAATCCAGGGGAATGTAGAACAAGCACAAGGTCTCATGCGACTATGCGATCAATTGAAGGAGGAACGTGAGACGCTTCGTAAATCTAATGACAACAGTCATTACAACCAAGTAAGTACAATTAATGTCTCCTATTTTATCGTGGACTGTTTTCATTTAATTTCCTGCACTTTACACAGACTGCAGAGTTAGCTGCCGCGCAGGAAAAGCAAATGGAAGTGTGCGATGTCTGCGGTGCATTCCTTATTGTTGGAGATGCTCAACAGCGCATCGACGATCATCTCATGGGGAAGCAACATGTCGGATATGCAAGATTAAAAAGTGCATTGCAAGAAATCATGGTACGCATGTGTTTTTAATTGGAAAGATTATACTTTAAGGCAATGTGGATGTGATATCCAAGGGATCTCGTTTATGAAATTTCTAATTAGGTGTTAAATCGTTTTAAATTTTATCACGTCAGTGTGGAGGTCTTGGCAATTAAATATCAATTTTTTAATTTCTTTAAACACAACACTTTTTTTTTTGTATAAAAATGAGATTTTTTCCTTGCAGACTTTTATGATTCTGTTACTCTTTCATAAACCAGACCTCTGCATCGCCACTTTCATGTCGCTTTAATACGTGATCATAATTTATATCGCACTGTGTGATTACAGAGTAAACGTGAAAAAGCAAGAGATGAGAAAGAGCAAAAGAGGGAAGAAGACAGGAAACAAAGGGCGAGGGCGAACGAAGAACTGGAAAGAAGGAGAAGGGAGGGTGAAAGGGACAGAGACAGAGAGAGAGATAAACGTCGTCGTCGTGTCGACGAGGATAAGAATAGGCACGACTCGGCGAGCCACAGGTTAGCGTAAGGATCGACACTTTGACTTCTTAATTTTTATTGAAAAAGGAACGGCGTAAGAGAGTTCCTTGTTCCTCAGGAATTCTGGACATCGAAGTAGAAGTAGATCAAGGGAAAGGCACGATCGCCATAGAGAAGACGAGAGTCATCGACGACACAACAGAGATAAAGGTTAGACGACAATGAGAGTATTCGAAAGAAATTGAGTCGGCGTCAGTAAAATAAAATTCATCCATACCCTTGTTGGTGGTAATGCCATTTTGAGTACTCAAGTTGGCGCGTCGCGTTACCGACATTTATATTTATGTTGAAGTCTGTTACACTATATGCTACCACCCAATTCGGAGAATACTTTCACCAACGATTGGACCTCAGATATATATAGGCTGACTCTTTCATAACACCTAAAATACCGCGACCTTGACAGAATTATCTCCTTGTTCCACAGGAAATCGCGACCACCGGAGTTCTAGCCACCACAACCGTCGACGCCATCGATCCCGAAGCCGAAGTCACAAGTAACAACACTTGATTGGTTAGTGAGTGAGAAGTAAGCCAGGTATGCACTAAACGATAAATCTTTAACGTCTCAATTACTATACAGGTACACTACCAGGTGAGTTGCTCTTAGTCGCACAAATATATAATGATTAACTATCTACGCCTCGCTACTGACTGAACGTTAAATGTCGCGCCGATGTCAGAGAAACTCGGGACCATCCAATTGGGGCTTACGATTACAAGACAGGGGACGTAATCCGAGCGAGTGTCCATTTAGCCGGAGAAGATGCGACTAGCACGAAGTAGTATAAGGAGATCCAACGCCAAGAGTACCCAGAGAGCCTCCTCGATGAAATCTTGCAATTGATAATTATCGGTTGCTAACGGGTCCGCCAGTCTTTATCGCATTCTGTATATCATCCGCGGATTATCGTTTCGCTTTGCGTACCTCAATTGCAAAATTAAAAGCATTTACGTCGATAGAAAATGTTTCGGTCACGAAGGATTGGAGTTCCCTCATTTTCCGCAAATGGCGCTTGCGTCGTTAGGTCAGAGAAAATCTGACATCCTGGGTCCCGAATTCTGGGGCCACTTTCTGTGGAACACCGACCGTTGCGTTATGTCTCCTTATACTATTTCATGGCGACCAGGTCTAACGGTTGACACATTGACAGTCACTTATGAGATTACTCCGAAGGTAATTTCGTTTCGGTAGATTCAACACGGTGCTTCTTTTCTCATTGTATTTGCGGAGCAAGGTGGGAGGAGGTATACCCGCCCTTGCTTCGGTGTCTCTCGGAATATCTTCGTAGGTGTAAATACACGGTGTAAACGGTTTAGTGCGAGCCCAACGGACCGCCGATAGTTCGATCGTTCGAAATGAGAATTAGTGATTTAGTGGAGGGGAACAGAGTGCCTAGACCTGCCACAGTGACAGTGCCCTGCGTGACTGTGAATATACAAACCTAGCTTCTGCCACGCATTGACATGAGGTATTTATGCCCGAATGATAATACCAAACATGACCTTTTTAATTAGGAGAGAGTTACATGTTCTTTCAAGTGGAAGCCCTTTGTTTATTTGAGAAACAGCCTCTCTCTGCCTATCTGTCTCTATCTCTGTCTTTTTTTATTTATATACTTCTCAATCACTGCTACCGCTTAAAGTTAGAGTAACATATCCCCTCCTGTCCTTCCCTCTTCGATCTTTTCCTTTATTCTCGATTTTTATTTTATTTTATTTTATCGTCTGTTATTTTTACCTTGTTTTGAGGTTAGTCTATATTGTTTCGTGGTTTTTAGGAAAGAGGGAACACTGGTTCTAGCGGCTTGGACGGATCCATCTCGTTCTTTGTTTTGACCTTCCTATGTTTGGTTAACCTGAACTCATCATTCGACACTGCGAGTTTCTTGATTTGTAGACAGCCTGTTCGGATAAATGTCATTTTGTGGGAAGTGGCGTAAGGGGATTTTCCATTCCTTGGGGCTTTTTGAAAAAATTCTTACCCTGTGTTTCCTTGGAAAGTTAACCGACGGCGACACTAGCGATCCTTGCGGGAAAAGGGTTGTAACTTCGAATGTCCGATTTGGCGGCGCTTAAGGCGATGTTAAAGGTTGATAAACCGATTCGTCTGAAATTTTAACACGCGATTGTGGAGGTGCTAATTAATCCTTTGCGGACGAGTGTCCGTGATGTTTCGAATTAATCGGAGGCGCGCGATTTCGGAACTTGTGATTTCGAAGTGCCTTAAACCAGTTATCCTCCCGATGAAGTGTGTAATGGTTTTCAGGAGAGACTTTACACGGTAAAGTTTCGAATTTTTAGGGGAAAGCTGTTCCATTTTATCCGACGACGTATAACGTCGACGCCATAAACGATAAAGATTCTGATAGAATACAAGTTGGGAAGCTCGCGAGAGCTTTCGGCACCCACGTCCAACTTTAGACGAGTCACTGTCTCCGCTTGCTAAATAATTAATTGTCTACTTTCAGAGGGAAGAGAAGATTAATCGAAAACGAAGACGTGCGAAGCCGTTGACAGGTGACAGCTGACTGGCAAGCGCACGCTGCTTTGTGTATACTTAAGGTAAAGATTTTGCATAAAACTTACAATTCGAGATTCGACGTGGATTTTGTACAGTGCATCGGATCAATTTATCGGCCGTAACGGCTGGACAAGAATTGTCAACCGCGTAACGAAGAGAGAAAAAAAAATTATAAAATCATATGTGTATACATATATGTATATGCTGACACGCACACACGTGTATATATACATGTATATATGAATTGACGTTTTCTCGAAGACCTCCCGATGTGAAAGAAAGGAAAAAAAAATGGAAAATATGGATGGAGTATTTTCCGCATCTCGCAATTCAATTAATTAACCTTAATGAGACCCTTCCCGGATGGTGTTAATTTAATTGGTCAACGAGTTCTGTATTTATGCCTACCCTAGGACTTTGTTATTTTATAGGTTATAGCCTTACGCGAACAATTTAATTACATGAATTGTCGATCGGTTGCATTGTAATGTTCCAACGATTGTTATCACTCAGACGAATAAAAAGCACAGTGTCGAAAGGATGCGGATTAACGTGCCGCGAAATCGCCGTGTCGAATTTATTTATTGTCTTGCCGATGGTTCTGATTTATCGGGAGATCAGAACACCAAACAATTTCATCAAACACTGATGAAATGTGTATTTATTGCCAAGTTTTCTAGGAGTGTGTAATATTGCTTGTAATGGAGAAGGAAGGAACGACCGGCGAGAGATCGTCGAAGGACCATTACGTACATACACATTTTCATATAATGTAATTAATAAATAGATCTCTAACAGTAACATAATAATACATTTCGAGGCAGTCTAAAGAGGCGTCGATTAGTTGCTTCCAATACTGTACAAAATTGAGCTCTGTTGAAACAGGGCCGATCACTTCAGTCCCATATTTCTCGTGATCTGAAACAGGAAAGATTTCGAGTTTGTTTATTATTAATTTATATACTGGGAAACTTTGTTAAGTGATAATAGCCTTCGCTCTTTGTCAACTCTTTTCTGTAATGTGCATTGATACGTTATCTGTCTTGAAACGCAGTGATTAAAGAATTGACCTATCTAAACAAGAAAAACAAATATTAAGAATTTGTTAAGATAACGAGTGTATCAATGTGTTTCAAAGACAATGACTTTGCTTGTGGCTGTCTGCCAAGGTTTTGAAGTACCTTGTTATTTAAACAAATTGTATAAATAATAAATTGCTACCTCCTCGTAGACAGTCCAAGCCATGGCACTCATCAGCGTTCTTCTGAGCATTCGAGGTACAATTCCTTTGAAGTAACCAAAGAGTCCATATTTCTTGTATACCATGACGAAAGCAGTGGATACCCTTTTAAACTCACTGGGGTATAGTTGCATTTTTGTTTTGACAACATCTGCAGGGTGTGTCACAACCGAAGCGAGAATTCCTGCTAAAATTCCACAACCGAAGTGAGTCGTGGCCGTTCCATTCGAGCGAGGGAAATCTAGAAAGCAAAGCAAAAAGTATAAACTCTTTGTGTTAAACTACAAAGTAATCGCATTTTTACTGTACAGTAAATCTGTGATTAAAGATCTTTTACAATGTGTTATGCCGGGATTTACCTGTAGCTACCGTTCTCTTTAGTCGCGTGTAGAACATGAGATAAAGACCACTGAATGGAGCATCTCGAAGTAAAGTTGGTATGAGCCCACTGGCAAGACCTCGCAGACCTTCGTACTTATAAATCAAGTGAAGAGCTTCTCCTACGCTGTTATATTTGTAGACACCACTCTGAAAATGTTTCATTCTTCCATTTAATAAATAAATAATAAGTAACATTTTTCATAACGACTTTAAAAGAGTGACATGACACGGAGTGAACTCATCGACAGTATTTTAATGTTTACCTCGAATCGTGTCTTCACAACCGTAATTGGAATAAGTAAGACTCCTGACATTGTTCGTGCTGCAAGGCCTAGTGACACAGCTTGGAGAGACGTAAGAGGTTCTTCGAGGTATAATGTATGTTTCAGCCAGTGTAGCGAAGAAAAATAAAGTCCCACGCCAGGTACAACCCTGGTTATGGACTAAAAAGTGGACAATAAATTTGGAGATAAATATTAATGAAACTAGGATAACCATATGTATATTAAACAGTAATATTTTTATAAATGACAAAATAACTGTCGAAGAAAGTATACACACATACCGGTGTCATGCCCCTCCATAGTCCGAAGACTCTTTCGTTTCTCACAATTTGAGCAATAATCGACAGAGTTCCATTCTTGGTCGGTCTGAAATAAAGTAACGTCTTGACTTAGATTACGAAATGAATTATACTTAATTTTTTGTATTGATTAATTTCAAGATTTACCCGATGTGTACATTTACTCTACTCTGAAGTCTTGTCTTTACTAAATCCAAGGGTTGAAATAGTATCGTAGAAAATGTTCCGGAGAATGACCCAGCTAGGAAGGACTTCAAGACGGGGTACTGAAAGATTGCATATTTATTAATAATCATGGCCAATTACATTTCTAAAACATAATCAGTCTAATAGAATACTAATGGGGATTTTATTATCGGTTAAACACAGCTCGGTAAGCATCGATACATATTCTGGCTAATTGAAAGTATGTTACGATTTAAATGAAAAAAAAAGGTTAGTCTATTAAAAAGGGTGAGATACTTTCGTGCAATAGATTGCATAAAATATTTTGATACAGCTATCGAGTTACTTTTAAGATAATTGTGCTTCGGTCTGATTTTAGCATGCTTCGATCCCTGAAAGGAATAACATCTATCCTTTATTTCTGTTGCACTTCGACCCCCTGGAGGGCAGCATAATTAGTGCATCAACGTGTAATCTCTCGCACGAGCTCACTCACGTGAGTCGAAGCAATCTGTATCAAAAGGTCACCGATTATCAAGTGTCGAGTTAATGTTCAGGGGTCATAGGAAATGTACAATCCGTTGAAGTCTCGTGAGAGGTTTTGTAAAAGATTCTTTTCCTCGGGTGGTCGAGTTATCCTGCATTGCTATTGCTAAACTGTGCCGTAACAAATGTCAAGCTGGGAACAAATATTTTCTCAGTCCCGAAATGAACTGTTACGTAAATTATTTTACGCCGCTAAGCACATCTTACTTTGTGATCTATTGAGCAGTGGAAAAGCACCGATATACTGTGAACTGAATTAATTTTATGTCCTGATAATTAAGCGTTTACAGTAGCAGGAAATTAATATCACGCTTTTATCTTAACACACCGAATTCTTAATTCTGCATAGTAATCACAAATAAAATTATAACTTGTAACAGAATTAAAAGTATTAAGAGAATATACATGTGATTAATTTTTAATTATTTACAGCATGTTTACAGTATTTGAATTTTATTAAATTCATTGAATATTAATGCATATATACTCAGTAATGCAATTTAAGCTTTGCTTAGAAATCTTTATTGTCATTAGTCTATTACTTACAATCGTAAAAGTATCCATGAAAAAAGGGATGCAACTGAAATTCTGCCGAACAGCAATTATATTACACGTTTTAACAGCGTAGCTAATAAAAAGTAAAAGCTCAGAATCAAGTTGAATCTCTCCAGACTTCCTTTCTAGTTGGTTGAACACTGAACACATTTAAAGCGACACGATTACTTACATCCCCCCTTATCTTTGTTTCTTGACATTCGAGGTCTGTGGGATGACCCTGCATATCATATCATGATGATATAAAAGGCCTGAGAATATAGAATTAAAACGTGATTAAAACGTGACTTATGAAAACGTGATTTATTCTAGCATTGACAATTATCTCGCATTGTTTCCATTCGATTCCATTTTGACATCACTTTTGACGACTCCCCAACTTTTTAAGTATTATCGATGATGATATCTAGAACTAAACTCGATATTTAATTTTCAGATTCAGTGGATATAGTAGTTGAATGTTACTTAGCATTTATATAACGTACTCTACTGTAATCATATAATGAACTACTGTTTACCTCAACTTCTACACACTCTCGGTATCACAATGGTTATAAATAAGATAAAATCAATTTTCGCAATTCTCTACTCAGCCTCGAGAAAAGGGACAAGAATTGTCTATAAAATATCAAGTTCTGACGTAACCTTGTGTATCGTTTCAGCAATTCACAACAGATATGTTGCAAACCTAACAACAATGTAGCAATAGAAAAACGATCGGAAGTGCGTAACGCAACGTCACTGTTCAACGCACCGAACGAACGATATCGCTGATTGTATTATCATTTATCAGTGACCTTGATTATGCATTCGGTACCTCGTGACGTAACCTAGAAACGTCCAATTGACAGAGAGCATAATTTTCTTCTCGTACGTACATTGTACATGTGCAGGTTCGAATTATCGTTAGGTTTTTTGTTTCTAAGTTTCACAGGTTATTTATGTATTTTCAACAACTTTATCACGAATTGTTTTGATTGTTGCGATATGGAGAATTTGAAGTTATCGGTAAAGTGAATTGTTGATATAGTTCGGATGGCGCTGCCAGGTGACGCCATAGTTCCAAAATTCTCGGTTAAATTAAATCGGAGATTTAACGTAAAGAAAATGATCGCGGTATACCAATAGAACAAGAACTTATCAAAGCGAAGTCAAAACGGTTACATTTTCGTCGTATTTATAAAATTGGAATTTATTTTGTAAAGACCCAATAACGCCGATTTCAGAACTCAAGTTAACCTACGTTTAACTGGTTTATATGCGGTTTAAACCTCTTGTAAACCATTTAACTCCTATGAACTAGCTCTGGATAGCGCGCATATATGTACAGTTCTAAGATTCGTACAAACCGTGATTCTAGCGGAATGGCAATTGCTAGGAGAGGTTATGTTTTGCTGAAAACTGCTAATAAATCCTGCAAATCGTTATGACCTGACAAACAAGACACGTAGACCCGAGATAAGCCCACATAAGCGACCGAAAGCTGGAGAATAGGTGAGAGCGATTACCAAATACATCGGCAGGTTTGGTGGGATACATGTCGCAGGTGTTAATAAAAGATCCGCGCAAGGAGACAATGGTGTCTTTACACGAGTGGAGGCGAGCACTGCACACTCCCCACATCTACCGGGTGGGTAACAGTGCATTACGTATCCAGAGTCCGTATCGGATGTTCTTCTTCGTCGCTGTGATCTTGACGATCCTGTACTGGACGCATCCATGGCTGCGGAATACCCTGTGCAGTGGCAGTATCAGCAGCAGCGTGAGGTCCTTGGCACCATGCCACTACCGATACTACACTTACAATAAGACTTATCCATTGACTCCTCCAATTCGCACCAGCACCAGGGTTTCTTACAGAATAGCCATTGTAAGCGATTTGGACCATGATTCAAAGAGTACGGAAAACAAGAATATGTGGTTTAGTATGCTTAAGAAGGGTTGGCTAGTCTGGAATTTTAAGAACGAGATTTCGGTTTCTTGGGATGAAGATACTACAAAACTGATGTCTACCCTGGGCATGAAAGGAAGAGGAATGGAACTCTCGGAGCTGGTAACTTTCGATGGACGATTAATTACGGTTGAAGATCGCACGGGGTTGGTGTATTTCCTTGAGAACGATAAGATTTATCCTTGGGTTATTCTTATGGATGGTGATGGAAAGAATACTAAAGGTAAAGTTCCATTTAAGAACTGTTAAATATATGTGAATTATTAAGCCATTGTTTATGTGGGACTAGTTTAAAAGCTGTTAAATGTATTAATTATTATACAATAGGAATGAACCTCTCAAAAATGTATGCGAGCCATGTCTTTACTTTATTTCTCTCATTGCCAGGCTTTAAATCCGAGTGGGCGACCGTGAAGAACGAGCAGCTTTATATTGGAAGCATGGGAAAGGAGTGGACAACGAGTTCGGGGGTGTTTGAAAATCACAATCCACAGTGGGTGAAGGTAGTGTCACCTCTTGGGGAAACGCACTCCCTAAATTGGATTTCTAACTACAAGCGCTTGAGGCAGACGATTGACATAGAATTTCCTGGTACAGAATTAATGAGTCGATAGACATTTGGCATTCAACGCATCCACTGGAAGCAATAACAATGGTGAACCTTGAAAATTGTATCGTTACAAAGTCACGTGTTAATAAGATCGGACAGCTAACGTGATAAACATTGGAAGCGATGAGTGCTGAAACTTGCAAATGTTTTTATCTTGAATCACGTATTAATTACCGTCGGGTAATGTAGAGTGATATGCATAGGCTACATGATACACGAGTCTGCGGCCTGGAGTGATGTACACAACTGCTGGTTCTTTCTACCTCGGAGATGTTCCAAGGAAAGATACAACGAAACCTTGGATGAGCTCCTTGGCTGCAACGTACTACTGATTGCTGATGAAAATTTTGTCAATGTTGAGGTACTTTCCTACGTGTAACATTTCTGATGTAAATGTATTTATTAATTAATTAATCCAATCTAATTAATAGATGCAATTTGTTTCAGGCAAAACGAGTGGGCACCTTAATTCCTACAAGAGGATACTCAAGTTTCAAGTTCCTGCCTGGATCGAAAGATTCAATAATAGTAGCATTGAAGAGCGAAGAAAATCAAGGCCAAATGGCAACCTACATAACTGCATTTACCATAGACGGAGTAATTCTGATGCTGGATAGTAAAATAATAGATAAAAAATTCGAAGGCCTAGAATTTATATGACATTCCTGCTAAGTCAATAGATCGGCTGCTAAACCGTTCCATTTTTGTAAATAGTTATACATACGAGTGTTACCTAAGAAAAGAATATAGCGGACAATCCTAACGATCGAGTTTTATCGATCAAATGGGTAGTGAAATTTAACCGGAAGTGTTTTGTGGAAGATAATGCTGTGCATATCTTTTCTCAGCTTACCTTTTTCGTACTGCACAAAGATTTCATGAATTCCCCGTCGAAGATGATGGGAAAGATTTTCATTGTTTATATGTGAAGTGGACTAAATTTAACTTTCTCCATGTGTCCAATTATTCCAAACTCTTTCCTGTACCTAATCCATTATTCAAACTACGCTTTACATTTCAGTCTCGAAATAATCTCAAAGGGAGTCGAGACAATGCGGGATTCTCCGGACTCTGCGCTTTGGATGGCGAAGAAATTCAAAGGAATTCGAGAAATTGGCCAGAGAGATTTCGTTCTCGCCGAGTCGGCGCATCCGAGTGTTTCACTTCGCGGGACAACGTGTCCCACTCAGGGTCACAGTATATTTCCAGACCAAAATCAATATGTACTGTGCCAACGTGCGAAAGGGAGCGGCACTGCACCACTTTAAGAGGGTTAGTCAACTCAGTCTGCTGGATTTAAGAGCCGGTCGAGTCAAGAAGGCGTCAACTTCTAAGGCCTGGAAAAGGTTCGCAAGAAGGCAGCGAGGGAACATCAAACATGGGAAGATCTCTGCTCCACATCGAGATAACACGGTATTTCCATTAGATGCTTTCACGATTTATTTAACCTAACAGGGAATAACCTGCATTTTAGGAATTCTAGCAATTATATGCAGATGATCGGGATCATCATTGTTATTTAAAAATCATCATTGTTATTTAAAATCATCATTGTTATTTAAAAATTACTGTGTGTGTCTTAGGGGTGTGGCCTGATAAAGAGAGTCAGATAAGAGGTGAATTTATTTCAAACCGATTAACTGCTTAAATATTTGAGAATCTTTTGTACAGTTCATCGGCTGGTTTTATCTTTTATGATTCACAACAATTATATATGAATAACACTATTTATAAATAAATAAGAAATAAATAAATTTAGTGACACTGCACTCGCACAGGTTGAGGGGTCAAGAGTATTCGCTGGAGTCAGCGTGAGATCTGTCGAAGTCCGAGGCAAGGATGGCTACGCAAGAGGAGGACTGGCGAATCGCTCGTAGAGGAATTTCTTTACTCCTCAACAATAAGACCGAGGAAGCCGAGGCCCTCTTCACGAAGCATCCCCACAGCTTTCACATAAAGGCTGGGAAATGCTTCGTCCTTTTCATGGTAAGTCAATTCTAGACAAATTACGGTTCAGTGAAACCCCCCTCAAACCAGTTGATTTAAATAAGATATATTTTTTTTTAAGGGTATTGCACTGAATTTTCTCAATTGGTTTGAGGGGTGTTTCACTTAACTTTAAAAATTCCTCAAAGATAGACTGTCTTAAATGTTGTATATGTAATAATTACACTTTTATCACAGAATGCTCTTATGACATTCGAGGAGGACAAGCTGCAGCATGCTGTTCAGGTCCTCAGGGACACGGAGAAAGAATGCGCCGGAGATATTGGATGGCTCAAGTCTGTCAGAAGTAAAGTCTTTGGGTCCGAAACCGAAGAGGTAGGTTAAGCACCTTAATATCACACTGTAACAATTTTCTCATAACAAAAGTGATACGACTACTGGAATTCTAATTATTTTCTTCGCAGGATGACTATTCAAAGAGGCTGGAACGGCAGATCGTGTTGGCAGACTCCCAAGTGTGTGCAGCGATGCTGGTCCTTTTGCAGCAAGAGTTGGGGGGCTATGTAAGGGGTGGCTGGATGCTGCGTAAAGCCTGGAGGGTTTATCAGCACACGTATTTGCAGATCTCTCAGATGTATCGTCGAACTTTCGGTCGCAGTCCATCAGGTGAGTGCCATATTGAATTCTATTGGGTATTGTACTACATGGCATCCTCCATATATTCTGTTCGTACAATAGTTATTTTCACTTCACCTTAACTAACTCATCTCTTCATTCTGATCAGGTTTCGGACTAGGCCGGAATGAGCCCATCAACGGCGCTTCCGCGCTTCAAAGTCCAATAAGTCCATCCTCGGAGTGGTCGATTCCATCGTGCAACGGCTCGACAAGTGGCCCGACTTCCAGTGCCTCTCCGTCAGGTCTGCGAAGCTCTCTATCAATGTTCTTCTCGCTCACTGGCATCACAACTGAACAACAGACACCGTAATTGTTTCTTCTTACAAACCTTCGGTCCGTCGAGGCTCGTTGCAGCTGTTTCGATATGTGTCCAAAGCCCTTTCATAGTCTGAAAACGTAATTATGACACATCCTCGGGCCTTTTAGGACCTCGCACTCGTACTCTCGTACTCCGACTGCTACTCTTGCATTCGCAGCTTTCGGTCTCTTTAGTCGACTTTATGTCGCCGTTTATTTTTCAGATTCGTGGAACCAGCGGAGGTGGCCCGGTTGATGTCTGCAGTGAGCTTTGGCTATGGAGTCTTCCAACTGTGTGTCAGCCTTTTGCCACCGTCACTGCTTAAACTTGTCCACCTTTTGGGGTTTGAGGGTGATCGACAAGCCGGAGTAGCAGCACTCCTTTATGCCAGACGCAGTGAAGACATGCGAGCACCTCTTGCTACGTTAGTTTGCATTTTGAAACAGGAATGAGTAGATATTAAGGTGGTGTGAAAGTGGCATCTAAAATTCGGGACACTTAGTTCGGAAAAATATTTCATAAACGAGACCCTTCAGACGTCGACGTCGACTTTCGTATCACCTTAACTATTAGATTCATTGAGCTGTTTTCAATTTAAGTAGAGATGTTCATTTCAATTAATAGTATTTGTCTTTCTCTGACAGGCTGTCGCTTCTGTGGTATCACACCATCGTTAGGCCATTCTTCGCTTTGGATGGCTCGAACGTTAAGGCTGGAGTCGAGACAGCAGAACAACTGATCTTGGAATGTCAGTCGGAGTTCCGAGACTCTGCACTCTTTCTCTTCTTCACCGGTCGCGTAGAACGACTGAAGGTTGGTATTAATTATTAAGGTGATATGAAAGGTAATGAACATGTAATATTATATTATTATATTATTGTAACCGCGTTTGGTGGGTATTATCTGTTCACAGTCCACTGTAGACGCAGCTTTAGTTGCTTATGGAAGAGCAGTCGAAGCCTCTACGCAGAGGGAAGTAAAGTTACTCTGTTTACACGAAGTGGCCTGGTGTCATCTCATCAGGTTGGACTTCACGGAAGCGCATCAGTCTCTTGCTCAGCTTCAGAGACAGTCAAGATGGTCCAAGAGTTTTTATGCCTACTTGGCTGCAGTCTGTTCCGGAGCCGACGGAAATATCGCCGATCTCCTGGCTACCTACCATCAGTTGATTAAACTCATCTCTGGATTCCCTAGAGACACGCAACTCGGCGCATTCATTTTGAGGAGAGTGCCAAAACTCGTCGATGAGCTCACTGACAAAACTCACGAAGCGATCTACTACCGATTATTAGTTTACGAGTTGTTGTACCTTTGGAACGCGATGCCATCCTGTTCCATGGGGTCATTAAATATGATCCTCGCAGGTTAGTGTCGTTTGGCCGTCTAAACTTCCAGTTAATTATTCTCTGAAAATGTAAAATAATTAATTAACCACATTTGCAGATTGCGAACAGGCGAGGAATAGAGAACCGATGGTAGGCCTCGCAGACCTTCTTTCTGGAGCAGCCTATTCTTATATCGGCCAGTTGGATGTTGCTGCTGAGAGCTACCGCAGGTGCCTGAAACGACGTTCTCCACAAACCAGGTCGGATGCTGAGGAAGATCGACATGTCGGAGCTTATGCCTTGTACGAGCTAGGAAGCACCCTGTGTAGCCTCAACGTAAGAGCAAATACTAATGTATACTTCTTCAAAACAGAAATGATGTTTTTTGTTAATTACTTGTTAAATTGAAACTTGAAAAATTATTTGTTAATTTACAGGCGATCGAGGATGGGAGGAATGCTTTGGTGAAAGCGCAGTCGCAGTACAGGGATTATGATTTCGAGAGTCGACTGAACGTGAGGATACACTCGGCCTTGAAAAGTTTGCATTGAGATTAGAGGATAAACAAATTCTGAGTTATTGGAAATCTGCTGAGGGAGCTGTCAGTGCTGCGTATGAAAACTTGTCATCTGCGTCAGCTGATCACTTACTTCGAATGGAAGTCACATCGGAGTTACTTGACGTCTCTTTACATCTCCAATCTCTCGACTGGATGCAGAAGCAATTTATATTAGACTACGGTTAGTAGTAACAGCAATAGTAGTGCCTTCGGAGTTCAAATACTTCGCACTGTTTAAATTAAAAAAGACTAATATTAAAAAAAATGCACTTGTTTAATATTAAAGGATTAAATAAGGCTGTTTTGTGGAAACAGCCATAGTAGCATAGAATAATTTCTAAATGTTATTTTCGTAATATTAAAAAAATACTTATATTAAAATGAAAGGATATGTTTTGTATATCTGTAAGAAAGATATTACAAAAACACGTAGAGCTAATACTATACAAATGTTATGTTGTTGCAGTTCAGAGACCAGAAAAATTCTAGCGACGAAGTGGAAGAAATACGTATTTTTTACCAAAGTACAGGTTTACGATTAACACACTGCAGTGTTATGTACCTAAGGGGTAACAATCGATCCATTAGAAAAAAAATTAGTCGATAGTAATTATCGAGAGCGTGGAACGAACGTAAGGAGACGAATGTCCGAGCTGAATTTTGTTTTTCAGCGGCCTACAATAGACCTGCTTTTTTTTTACAAACAAGAAGCGACGCAGTAGATTAAAATAGACATTCCTATTGTATCATTCCCACGTGTACATTGGTTGATTTATATAAAGTTTTCATTGTAAAGGAACAAGTAGATTATCACTAAAAGCTTTCGTTCCACTATTTTACCAGACTGTGGGTGATTCCTTAAAAAATCATAACCATCTTGAATTCAAAATACACGTATACAATTCTCCAACAAATGTCAAACTAATTTGTGGGAACAGTCTCAAGCACATTAAATATTTAAGTAATTTAATTTTATTATTAAAACAATTAGGTCTCCCTAATTATTAAAACTAAAACGGTACTATTATATTTAAATCCTGGAGAAAGTCGCGCGCCGTCTCGTCGATCCAACATGGCGGCGGTATCGATATATCTCGAAGTCGGCGCCCGGCGGCGGCGCCATCTTGCGCTCGTTGCGCACAACCTCGGTAAAAGTCGCGTTTTTTGTCGGGACTGCCCTTCGGGACGGCCGTTCCGGTGTGGGGCTGCGGTTAAACAGTTTTATTTACCAGCGGGAGAGTGCCGAATGGTCGGTGGGACGCGTTAAATGTGCGGCGAACATGTCGAATCCGGGCGGTAGCAGGAGGAACGGGGCCACGAAGATCAGGCTTACGAGTGAGTCGCCGCGGCTGAGGTCGCCGCTCCGTATCGCAATTAAAAGCGAGTCTCGACGAGTTGCGACGAGTCGAGGACTCCGCGACACGAATTAGGCCCCCTCGAGAGTGCTGCGTTTTGTGCGATTTCCGGACCCGTGCACGGACGAGGCTCCAAGGAGTTGACGGAATGCTCGACGTTGCTCGAGGCGGCTCAACATGGCTCCCCGCGTTGGCCTCGCGTCCGCTCGGCGGACTTGGCCAAGCGAGACGTCAGAGGCCCCCGAGAGAGGCTACGCCGTCGCGGGCCCCACCGACCGCTCCCCGGGAGGTCCACTCCGTTCTGTGTACTCCCTCGATAATAACGGCCACGGATTGTGTGCAATTGTGTGGTTGGACAGATACACGCGTTTGTACAGGCTAGGCTAACTGTCAGGAGTGGTTATGGTCTCTAAAGGGCCGTCGCATTTTTATTCAATTCTGTTTCCCTTTGTCGTAGTTTTATTTAATTTTATGTTATCTCTTGATCAATTAACGACATATCAATAGTTTCATTTTATTCTAATCTATGCTAAGCAAAATATCAAAAGTGGGGTTAATTTCTTGAAGTTCCGTTTCGTCTTGTATTTTCCTTGTTATAATATTTTTTTAACAATGTATTGTAAAGTTTTGTAATATGTATTCGTGTCTGTTGTATGGCCTAGCTGAGATATCAGTTGTTATAATTTAATGACAGTCCCTACGAGTCCTGTTTTATGTCAATTGGTGTCAGTAATAACCACGAATTAAGCTTCGGTGGGGTCCGTTAACTGCTCCCAGAGGGGCCCGATGCGTTCTGCATATTTTTCTCATATTGCTGATTGCTCGCATACCAACAAAAATTATATCTCTATATTTTAAAGTTTTTTCAAAGAATTTTGATAAAAGGTACTCTTCTTAAATAGCAGAGTACTGTTTGTTATTAAATTTTAATCGCTAAGGAATGTCTTGCTTTAAACTTACATGTAGTCTGCAAGTGCATGGCAATTAATTATACTTTATAATTTCAGTCTTATGTGCCCGCAATCTTGCCAGGAAAGATTTGTTTCGTGAGTATAGAACTTTTTGCTATGTCACTTGAATGATGCTGAGATCGGAGATTTACATGTTAAATGACTATTCGCAGGCTTTCCTGATCCATTTGCGAAGATAACGGTGGATGGCTCTGGGCAGTGTCACAGCACTGACACTTGCAAAGCGACGCTGCACCCTAAGTGGAATCAGCACTATGACTTGTATGTTAGATTACTCTTAATCCGATACTTTGTAATTGTACTAATCTAACGGTAAACTTCAACACATTCCACGCCAGTCGGTTGGATCACTCACATAATCCAATGCTTTATAATTGTATCGATACAGCTGCATTTAATATTTATACTTCCCACAGGTACATTGGGAAGAACGATGGCATCACGATATCAGTTTGGAACCACAGAAAGATTCACAAGAAACAAGGAGGTGGATTCCTCGGATGCGTTCGGCTGCTCTCCAATGCGATTCAAAGGCTTAAAGATACTGGATGTAATTATCACCTTATAATTCCTTCTATTAATATATTCATTATTTCTTTTATTAATTCCTTCTATTATTATATTCATTCTTACATTTAAAAAATTTTTGTTTATTTCTTTGACAGTAGACCAATTTCAACTATGATTTAACTTATTAAATCTTGCAGATCAACGACTGGACCTTTGCAAAGCTCGTTCCGACGACCCTGATGTCGTCAAAGGGCAGATAGTGGTTTCTCTGTTATCTCGCGATGGCCACAATGGTGCTGTCAGCAACACGGTTGGACATAACGCAGTTGTCGACGTTCTGGGAGATTTAAGCTGCCCTACGGACCTCCCCGATGGCTGGGAGGAAAGAAGAACGCAGAGTGGGCGCTTGTATTACGTCAATCATTACACCAGAACTACGCAGTGGATCCGTCCAAACGCTCGGTTTGTTTTTGTACCCTTTTCTTTCTTCCATATTTCTTAACATTTACTACATCATATTTGCAAGTAGTGCTCGGGTCATTAGATCAGTAAAAATCTGAGATCCTGGGTCCCGATTCTCGGGCCACTTTCTGTGGAACCGACAATTGGCTTGTGTAGAGGAAACTAAAAGGTTCTTGTGCTTATTTCAGGCCTAGTAACGCGATAATACCAACTACTCCAGAGCCACCCCCAGCACCCTCTTCGGAGCCTGCGTCACCAAGCTCTCCGGGTGTTAGTAGCCCTTCATCAAATGTCAGGAACGACAGTCCTCTTAGAGCGACACCTGACAGGAATGGGGAATCGACACCAAGCAGAACTCCCAGCAGAGACAGCTCTGTCCAGGAGACTCCGAGGAGTACCCCTACGCAGCAGCAAAACCAAAATTCCACTCCGACTCAGGGTCAGCAGAGTCAGGCGAACCAACAGAATGCTAGGAACACGCCACCTCCTTCTGCAGTTAGGGAACGCAGAACTCCTAGGAGCCCGGAGGAGCAGAACGGTAACCAGAATGCGAGTCAAAATGCGAACGCGAACCAAAATTCGAGGCCCGATAGGGCCTCGAATGGAAATCAAATACGACGACCCAGTCGACCAGGCAGGAACAGAAGCGGCCCTCCTGCTTCTGGGGAGAGGAGAAGCGACGTGCAGCCTCCGGATTTACCGCGTGGATACGGTACGAATTTTTGATAACGTGTAAATGTACGTCTTGATAATTCTTAATTAACGATAATGATCCCCCTTCTTTCTTTTTGGAACGTTTGGTCTTGTGACAATAAATATCTGATTTAATCTTACGTATGTCTTTTGTTTTTTAGAAATGAGGAAGACCCAGCAAGGTCAGGTGTACTTTTATCACGTACCAACTGGCGCCTCTACGTGGCACGATCCTAGAATCCCCCGAGATTTGCCGGCTAATGAATTAGCCAACGAATTAGGACCTCTGCCCAGTGGCTGGGAGATGCGCCAAACTCAGAGCGGTCGAGTTTACTTCGTGGACCACAACAATCGGACTACGCAATTTACCGATCCCAGGCTGTCCAGTCAAATCATCGACAATTTATTAAAGTAAGTCTTTGAAACAACACTACTGTTTACATTGAGGTAATGTGAAAGTGGCATGACAAAGCTTTTTAAAAAAAGATTAACTTCAGAGATTGAGATGGTGATCGAAGAGGAGTAAAATTATTTTCTTATTCTTGGTGAATCTTTTTTTATCTTGAATTTCGCGAGCACTTAGATGAACATATTTCTTTCCAGAAGGCAGACAAACAATGCCAGCAATAACACGAGTCCCCCTGCAGCCAGCAATACGAGTAACTCCACTCCGACAAGAACAGAACAGTCTGTCCCTGCGGAGGCTACCTCACCTGTGAGTCCATCGAACCCAAGCCAGCGAAGGGCCAGGTCTGAGGGTGCGAACAACAATAACTCCATGACGCGTAAGTCGATCATGTATAAAGTCTATCAAGTCAATCGGGCCAAGCTTTCACATTCCCTTCGTAACATTAAATACTTTTTTTCGCAGAAGAAACTGTGCCTGTTGAAAACCCCCAAACAGTATCGGACCTACCAAAGGAACTTATGGAGAGCGAATTGCTGCCTAAGTACAAGAGGGACCTAGTCGCGAAACTAAAGTGTCTCAGGGCTGAGTTGAACGTTCTTCAGCCACAGAGCGGCCACTGCAGGTTGGAGGTCTCGAGGAACGAGATATTCGAGGTAAATGCCTGTAGCATAAAAGCACATAAGACACTTTTTTGTGCCGTTTATACGCAATCAATTAATTTATCTCCAGGAGTCGTATCGACTGATCATGAAGATGCGGCCTAAGGACATGAGGAAGAGATTGATGGTGAAGTTCCGAGGAGAAGAGGGCCTTGACTACGGCGGGGTCGCCAGGGAATGGCTTTATCTCTTATCACACGAAATGCTGAACCCTCAGTACGGCCTCTTCCAGTATTCCAGGGACGACAATTACACCCTGCAGATCAATCCCGATTCCGGAATCAATCCGGAGCACCTCTCTTATTTCCACTTTGCTGGGAGGATCATCGGCATCGCCGTTTTTCACGGCCATCATATCGACGGAGGCTTTACCACTCCTTTTTACAAAATGCTGTTGAATAAGGCGATCACTCTCAGCGACATCGAAGGAGTCGATCCGGAACTCCACAGGAGCCTCACGTGGATGCTGTGAGTGAACACCCTTGACTTTCCTTTCTATTTTTAGTTAACACCCAAAAGGGTACAGATGAATTTTAATTAATCGACCTGGATTAAGTTTCTCTGCGCCTTTCGTATCATCTTAGTATCCTGTATCGATCCTGATTGCCTGTAATTTTTTATTTCCAGGGAAAACAGCATCGACGGCGTCTTGGAGGCGACCTTCTCCGTCGAGCACAGCAGCTTCGGGGTCTTGAAGAATCACGAGCTGAAACCTGGAGGAAAGGACATCGCCGTTACCGAGGAGAACAAGCGCGAATACGTTCGACTTTACGTCAATTATCGGTTCATGCGAGGTATCGAGCAACAGTTTTTGGCCCTGCAGAAGGGATTCCACGAACTGATACCGCCGCAATTGTTGAGGCCCTTCGACGAGCGGGAACTGGAGCTCGTGATCGGCGGCCTGGGCACGATCGACATCAACGACTGGAAGATGCACACCAGGTTAAAACACTGCACCCCGGACACGCCGGTCGTCAAGTGGTTCTGGCAGATCGTCGAGTCCTACGGCGAGGAGATGAAAGCGAGGCTCTTGCAGTTCGTCACGGGAAGCTCTAGGGTGCCTCTTCAGGGGTTCAAGGCTCTTCAAGGTGAAGCAACGAATTATTTTTATCTGATGGATATATTTACTGATTGTATCAAGGGGATGTGAATATGGCATCGGAGAGGTCAATCCTCGTTTCAATTTTTCCTCCACATTCACGTTGTAGAGTTTGATTCGGTACACTCGGTTTGGAGGTTCGATGGGGGTTCTCTTAAGTTCTAGACGGGTTTCTCATCACCTTAATAACTAATTGTTGAATTTTTAGGCTCGACGGGGGCGGCGGGTCCGCGTCTCTTCACGATCCACGCAGTGGACGCGCCTAGCGAGAACCTGCCGAAGGCCCACACGTGCTTCAACCGAATCGACATACCCCAGAGCTACCCGAGCTACAGGAAGATGCTCGATAAGCTGACCCAAGCCGTCGAGGAGACCTGCGGATTCGCCGTGGAATGAGCTCGAAGCTCTCGCCGAGGGCGAGATTGAAACGAATCGTTCGAGAGGGTCGCGAAACTCCCTCGGGAGGAAATGGTGCAAGGGATGAGCTGATACTCGACAGCCTTTGCCTTTCCCTGAGATAAGGGACAAGCGAAAACGCCCAAGGCTCGTTTTCCGACACTCCGACCTCGGAATTAACCCTTTATTTCGCGTTTAAGATGGCCTGAATTAGGAATTTCGAGGGCGAGGGGGAGCTCAGTCGATTATAGGCTAAGCTACGATGTCTGCGGTTAGGATAGTTAGTCTTCAGAGCCTAGATTATGGTTTCTGTTAACTCTTTGGATGCTGCCAGGCTGAGGACTTCGATGGTTCGAACCTGGGGGAAATTTAATCGACTGTTATCGGAGGGATTTTTGAACACTGGTTGGATTTGGAGGCGACTCGTGAATGGTGCCGGCGTCTGCAGGGGTTTTTAATGCGAGGCCTGGCATTATTTACGGTCGCCTTAATACTGTAGAGACCTTAAGGTCGAGGTTGAGAATTATCTTGAAGGTTTCTCGACCCTTAATGGGAGGGAAGGGGTCGAGTGGTTGTTGTGCCTGAACTATTCGCGTTGAAGAGTATTGTACATGTACTGAGATTTTTAAGGGCGTGCCGGCCGGCACCTCGATATCGATTTACCACGTAATGATATATAATATATTGATAAATTTAATATAACGAAGCGAGACAAATAATTAATCGTGTAGGAATTAATGCGCGATCGTTTTGCGGAGCAGCTCGGGGCCGTCCTAGGAGAGCGGAAGTGCCTTTCGGAAAACGAGCCTTCGGTCGGGTTTAGGCTTCCGTTTCCGTTTCCGGCGATTCTCCGGAAGCTTAGGTCCCAGGGCGAGGGACGGGATTTCTCTGGAAATGCTCGAAACTCGATACGCTATCATGGAAGGCGCTAATTTCGCGGTCTGAACATCTCTTTAGATACTACGTCGAGATTTTCTGTTAAACTCGTTTTGTTAGAATTATTCGAGCCTAGTCGAAAAACCATAACACCTCATTATGAATATTAATGACATCTTGCCATTATTTTTATTTTTAATTTTTTTTTTGGTACAAGGAAGAAACCATTTTTATTCATTAATTCACTTAATCGTCGAAAGTAGACAGAGTTTCACTCCGAATATGTTAAACAACGTTCAGGTGTTATTTACTAGACTTTGCAATATAATTCAAGGAGTTTTGCAGAAAATCTCGGCAAAGTTCGAGACCGTAGTCCCGCTTGCGGTTTCCCTCTCTGGGAATGTAAATAGTTTAGCGAAGCTTAATGTAAAATGGGGAAAAAAAAAAAGAAGGAAAGTAGAAGGGAAACTCGTTAAACGACGTGCCTGTTTCGGGTATCTCTTTAACGAGCATGTATATCGGTATAAGGCGACGCGCAAATTTAGCTTTAATATAAAGATCGCAGATATTTAAGGAGAGAGAATCCATCGACGATCTGATCTTGATCGAAATCATGCCGACCGTTCGGGCCCAAATCAGGATAAAAAATAGTATCTCTTCGGCAACGCCCAAAAATCAAAATTGCGCACATTCGATAATATGTCCCTTGGCATAAGAAATGGAGTCCATGACCATATCTCTGTAATTACAAGTATTTTTAAATCAAATTTCAATCACTCCTTCTCTTGTGCTAAACGACATATGTCAGTATCCGATTTTTGCGTGATTTTTAATTTTTAGGTGTGTGATCTTTTTGGCGAGCAGAGTCTTTTGTCTTAATCCAGAAATAAATATTTATCGAATCGATGTGCCGAATTTTGGCGTTAAGTATTCGGTGTCGTTCGCGCAGACTTTTAAATGTACTTGGCGCGAAACTCGGTAGAGTACCCTGATTATTTTACTCGAATGGTCGAGCAAGTTTTGGAGTTATTGTTTTCGGATAGTATTGCCGTTTATTTGTTTCCAGTTTCCTCGCGAGTTCGCAAATCATGTCGGAAATTGTTCTCTCTCGTTAATCCAAGCGAATGCGAATTTCACACATCGCGAGTGGAGGGAATGGCGTTTTTTATTCCGCTCCGATCGAGTTTAATTTTATTTAGCGACTAACGCATATGCGAAAACGCACCTTCGTCCTTGCTTTAACGGAGTAGGGAGGCACGGATTTTTTTTAATTCTCTATTTATAATACCGCGCATTCGTTACTCTTGTTTTTTTTTTTCTTTTACGGCGGTGCGAAGGATTTCTCGCTGTGATCGATTTATACGTAATCGGATATTTTACCGATAAGGATTTAGAATTGATTTTATTGCAAGATGTAGAGCGTTTGTGATCTTTTGTTTTAGATAATTTTATTAATTTTGTTTGTTAACTAGGTAATGCTCTCTTTGAATTTAATATATTCTCACCGCCGATTGTCGAAGATAAGAGATATAGTTATTGTTTAAAATTATCAGATTGCAGGGAGGATATAAAAGTTTTTGGAAAGAATTTTTTTAATTTACGTTATCGGGAATCCAATTGCTGCGTTAATTAAGAGACATTTTTCGCACCGCTGTTCTTATACTGTAATTAATGTTCGCACGGTCTACCGTTTTTTTTTATATATATATACATATATACACACGCATATATATATTAATTCAACTAATTACTGTCATCGTCGTCATCGTCACTCTCGCGTCATCCTGATTATCGAGCGTAATTATGCGGTACCATCCCTGTAGAGCGTTTAATTACTTAAGGAAGTATTTTTCGTCTTCACTGGTGATATCGGGAAATACTTCCTACAGTTGGTGTTATCAGTCTACCGGGAATGTAATAGATGTCAGATCGTCACCGTGGCTCTTAGCTGTGATTAATCGTCATATCGAAAGGAGAGTCGAGGAATCGAAAAGTTGTAGCCTTTATCAATTGACGTTTGTCGCTGATGACAGTTTAAAATCACGACATGTATAACCGAGTCCGAGAACAAGCCAATAGATTCCTCGGTTCCAGGAGAAAGTTCCACTTTCCCCTGGTCCGAAGGAATTATAGACTTACTGGAAACCAATGGATATTCCGTATTTACTGCACAATTCGCTGTTTAGTGGTTGTTTAAAACTAGCCAAACGGATTTTTTCTTCTCCATCGAGGAAGAAACGTAATTGGTTAACTGAGATCAGCGTCCACGGCTTAAGTAGATTTAAAGACAGGAAGTATAGCGCCGTCTAGCGAGCCTCTCTGGCTGCGGCGTGATGACGTCACGTGGAATCCAGCCAATGAGAGCGCTCGCTTTCCGTTGGGTCGAATCGACCGACGCCGTAGTAACCGCCTCTCCTCGTCTTTATACTCTTCGTTCCATCCCCTCGAAATATTAGTGGAACTAGGAACGCCCGATCGCCGGTCGCGTTACCGGAATCTCTAGTACAAAGAAGACGAACGATCGAGAGTCGCGCCCAACGTCCGACATTTTCCAAAAGTGCCTTGGACGAGTCGGCGGCGATTGGCAGGGCGTCTAGGCGCAAAATTCAAAGGCGACCCTATTAACCGCGCGAGTTCACGTTGCATTTGCTTCGAGGTAATGTATCCGAAATTTCACGAATGTGAGAGTACTTTCCAATTGTTAGATTACATCTCGTGTAGCCTAACAAGAGGAGAAGTGAGAAAATCTAGGTTTCGTTAGATATTGGTTGTAAATTAATTGTTTGCCGCGCTGGGCACGCGCGAGGAGAGCTCTTCTCTCATTGGCCAGTCAGCGTCACGTGACGCGGCCTTGGGCGCCATTTTGAAATCCTGGATACTATCTCGCGTTAGCGCTTTTAAAAAGACGCCGCGGAATTCCCTCGACGCCCTCCGTGCACCCGTGAACATATCCGAGAGATTTGTTAAAGTTGTCCAGAAGGCGGCCAATAGGAATCGTTGGCTCTCTTCTCTTGTCTCTCTTTTTTTTTCTCCCTCTCCCCTCGCGCCGTGGCACGCCGAAGAGTAATCACGAAACTGTTATCTCTATTATCAGTTAGGGGCTGTCCACGGTAGTCACCAGTATAAATTGTAAAGTATACAAATCTTAAGTCATACGACTTGGTAGACGTAAGTTTATGAACAAAGGGTTAACATGAGCTGGATAATGTTCTCAAATTTCGGGTTTCTCGGCTGTCTTTTTTCCTTTTCCAAATTTCACTTCAAAACTACTTTATGGTGTTTCAATCCAATTTTCAATTCAACATTGTACGTTACAGCGTGGATTATTTATTTACAGAAAATTTCTCCGGTTTCCAATTTTACTCTTTAACAAGATCGGTGACTTGTGGACGGCAATGTCTTCAGGCCACGTTAACTCGTTACACATATATAATATATATATTATATATGCACAATATATGTTGTATATATAATATACAAACACACGTAAACACGATATCATCGCGCGGAACGCTCGAGCAACGACAATTATTGTACATAGACCCTTTCCTTTTGTATTTTGGATGAAATGTATATTTTAATAAAATATCCAAAACCACGAGGTAGATGGAAAGTGACATCGTTGCACAGGGTTTGAAGCTTTTGTGAGGAGTCCATGTCTTTTTCGATTCGATCACAAAAATACGGATCTTCAATTTTTCGTAAATTTATCTCGAACGTGCATCGAATCAAAAAAGACATGGACCCCTCACAAAAGCTTCATATCACCCTTAAAATTATCATTAACAATAAGGATAAAAAGAGGAAGGGATCAATTCCGCCTCTCGCCCTAGTCAAAACGCGGGCTGGTCACATTTAACATAACACCAGTGTATATTGTGTCACAACTGGGATACATAATATTACAATGGTGCATAATAAAGTTCTATACATATTTTTTTGTTCTATCTAAAACTAAAATCATAGTTGAAATTTTTATCGTTATTGTTATTTATTATTTATTTTTTTTCATCCATCACCCAACGCATTTCTCCGCGAGTCCTCTGGTCCTCCGCTCTCTTTCTAAATGAAAAAAGATACGAAAAGAAAAAGAAATAAAAAATAATGAACAAGAAAATCTATCCCTCTCAACATTTTAAAAATCTCTCCCCTCGCATTCTCTCCTTTCCCCTCTTTCTTTCATCCGTACTCGCGGAGAAAGCTTTTTTTTTTCCCCCATCGGATTTGATTTCTTCGCCTTCGCACCTTCGCACCCCCTTTCGATTAATAATTAATTAATTCCTCGGTTTAAACAAGCACGAAAAAACTAAAGGACCTCCTTTAAAAAGCAGAAACGAACTCTTAATTTTTACCTCCCCTCTCTCTCTCTCTCTCTCTCTCTCTCTCTCTCTCTCTCTCTCTNTATTTATCCGCGGAAGGAATTATCCGTAGAAAAGCGCCTGGCGGCCGAGCGATTATCTTTCTTTTTTTTTCTCTCCGTAATCTGGCCTTAGTACATACAACGGGGTCTATATACACATAATGTATATAAAGGCTTTCGCTCTATATAAATTATACATATATATGGGCTTCTCGTAGCCACCGACGCGGATGCACCTATATATAACAGCGTGTACCTCCTCCGATGACGTTCTCTCTTTCTTCTCCCAAATTAATTTTTTCCTTAACTCTTCCTTTCTTTAGTTTCTCATTCCGGGATCTTAAACCGTGCGTTACGTTTCTTTTTTTTCTTGGGTTCTCGGTTTTTCACCTGCCGAGATTGCGGAAAGGGTCTCGCTGGTTCAGGATTTGGTGCTTGACCTAGGACAATGGCTTGGTGACCTAGGGATTTGTATGGTCGAAAGCAACAATACTTTTTAGCTAGAGAAGGGTATGCACGGGCAAAAATAACAATATTTGTGATCTGAAGGAAGGATTAACATTACCTATAGCAACTGCACTTTTGACCTAGGGCAACACCTTATCACCACCAGCGATTCCCTTAACCTAACATAACGAATACCTTAACCTAGGATAACAATTCCCTTGACCTAGGGCAACAACCCGCGCGATATTGAGATAGGTCGTGTTTTGGACATGAAGGGTTTCCGGAATGAACCACTTATGTATGAACATTTTTTTTTTACGTAAAGTACAAAAGAAAAATTAACAAAACACCCTACGCTTGATTTTCATACGTTTACTTCCGAACGTAACAGCAAAGGGAAAAAAAAATAACGTCACTTTGGTATCATTCATTAAAACCGTGAGCGAATGAAATTCGAAGAATCGAAAAATCAAGAGTCCTCCGATTATCCGACAATTTTTCGATAAACAAGTATAGTCAAAGCAGACCGCATTCCCGCGGGATGTCATCCCGAACTTTAACGCTCTTTATCCCGTGAACCGTTGAGCCTAGAAAAAATTGGCCTATACACTTTCTGTAGAGCGAACCCTCTTCTACAATTTCGGTTATTATCAGTTCCACCATAACTCCGGTCCTTGTCCCGGAAAATCGAGAAAACGAACACTCCTTACGCCATTACTGGCCAAATAAAATGCTCAAAAATAAAGACAAATTTATAAAAACCCAAAAATCTCTCTCAAAAAAAAATCATAGACTCATGGCGTCTAAAACACCATTCACAGGACGAACTTACTATCCAAGAACATCGCGTACATAAGTCCATATCTTGAAAATTGACCGTCCAAAACTGACCACCTCGAGATCGAGGGTTTAACAAATGACTTAGGTCAACCGAGCTCGCCCAAAAACGCTAAAAAAAAATCTGCTCTCTTTCAAAGTACTTCCAAAAAACCGTCCCGGAGTACTGAGTACACCAACCGCCTCGACTATGCTTAGTAATTATTCACCGTAATATATTATATGATTCTAAATTCCTACGGGGTGTCGAACGTCGAAGTCGCGCGTGCGCGCGCATGGCGCGCCTCTCCTATATTCTGTTTTTACCTATTTATATATTTATATATATAATAAAACTCGCACGCACACAAACAGAGAGATATCCCCCAGGCACACCGATTCGCAGCAGATATTCCCATCCCTAGCCGATAAGTATCAATAGTATCATACACGTGTTATATTAGAGGAGCGAGGCGCCCCCTTAAACGCTAGATACGAAATACATGGCCTTAACGACGATACCCCAAGAAGTTCTAGTGCTCTGCCTTAAATCCGCATCCCCGGACTGAAGTAAAGCTCGAGGTGTTAGTCGTCGATCGAGAGAAGTCCCGAAAAAAATAAAATAAAATTAAGGCATTGCGTAGCACTTGTAAAACGAAAATATAACGTTGTTCGGTACTAAAAGGATTAAAGACTTCCATGGAAACTCGGATTCGAGGAGCTGTTAATTGGGGAATTGGTGAAAACACTGCCCTTGATTTCATATGATAAACGGCATTGTGATTCGGTAATAACTAACGATAGGCCTTAAGGTGATCTGAAAGTGGCGTTAAAGAGGTCTCGTTTATGAATCTTTTCTCCGAACTGGGTGCACCGAGTCGTTTCAAACTTTACGACGTGAATATGAAGGTTATGCGAAAGGTCCTGGCACCCATGAAATATAAATTTATCAAAAACTTGTTTATAGTAATTTTTTTAGTGATAAAAATTTTATATAAAAATGAAATTTCACTGCATACAATGTGCTATGCATGTGTACGGAAGTGCACGTGTATTTGTCGCGAAACTCTACCGAATGTCCAGATGACGTTTATCTCAGCCCACCCGGACTTCTCTCGTCGACGCAAGAACAAGTCAGTGGTCAAAAACGGGGACTAAAGAAAGAAAACGAAAAAAAAAAAAAATACACGTCAACGACGAAAAGTGTCCACCGTCCTTCTGGCGAGCGATGTCGTATTGCACTCGGATTTAAGAGCCTTAGGACTATCGAGAGGGGGCCGAATCGATCGCTAATCGATCGAGATGGGCCCCCCCTAAGTATCTACACCAGCTATCGATAACGCCTAATCGACTTGGCGTCCCCAGGAATTCCTCCCTAGGGACTGTACAAAATGTCCTCGAGTGAAAAAAGCGTTCCTCTGAGTGGTCCTTGGTGTGTACACTCTGAAAATAAATGTCGCACTTATCGAGTCTATTAACAGGTCGTCGGGTTGGTAGTCGTGGTAGGCGTGAGCTCGTCTCCCTCTTCAAGATGTCTTCCTGGTCGATGCGATTTTCCGGGTCGTTCCGGAAGCTCCCTGATGTTCTCGTCTAGGGACTTCCTCTATACGGTCTGTACGTCGCAGTGGGAAAGGATGTTTCGGAAGTCCCTAGGATCTAGGGACTGGTTCGCGCACATTGGCTGAGACTTCAAAGTCCCTCAGTTGGTAAGCGTAGGTCTTCGGATGACTCCTGATGTTGGTCTTCAACTGGCAGGCGTGTCTTCGGTATTCCCATCTTCACTTGTCGAAACGATTCTCAATGTCTCATGTTCTCATAATTTCCACTAAGCGAGTGTATCTCGGTTGGTGTTATCATTTGGTGACTCGCACATATCTTGCGATTCTCGTATAAGAAAGATATCCTGGGACATTAAGGAGTGTCGTGGTATCACTGATTACAGGCGACGCATCAGGCTGTACAACTGCTCAGGCACTATTGGGTTAAAACGTCCACCAAAAGATTGACGGGTACTTTTGTATGCACCACGTTACCAACTCACGAAACCATCCTCCGTAACGGTGTTTAATCATTCTAGTGTTTTTATACTCTTTCTGTTTCCAGTGGGATATCCTATCGAACCACGTGTGGTGTTTCTGAAGCAATTCACAAGTTGTCCATCCCAAGCACTTCCATGGGCACCACCAGTCCACCAAATTATACCTCACACAGCTCACGTTGATGTAAATCCAGTTTCGAAGCAAGTGACAGCCTCCCAGACGTCGAGGTCGTCTTCAACATCGGTACTAGAGTCTCTAGCGGCGATTTCCGTAACTTCCCAGTTGTAGCGTATCAAAGCACCCCTCTCTTCGCTTTTAGTACGACGTGAGGACCCCAGGTGGCGTGGGTACCACGACGGTGTGTTGCGGCACGACAGGAGGCGCAGGTGGTGCCAGGGGATGTCCCACCAGGACCGCCGCCGCGGTGGGTATAGGCAGCACCCCGGGCTGCGGTATCGCCGAGGGGGTGCTCACCTGGGTGGGTGGACCCTCGGCGGCGTGCTTCCTCAGGTGTCGGAGCATGTTGCCCTTCTCGACGAAGGTCTTGCCGCAGTCCGGGCAACTGTGGGGCCGCTCGTCCGAGTGGGAGCGCCGGTGCGAGACCAGGTGACCCTTGCAGATGAAGTCTTTGGAGCAGAGGTCGCAGCGGAACGGTCTCTCGGCGTTGCTGCCTTTGTTGTGCGACCGCATGTGGAAAAGGAGGTTGCCCTTGAGCGGGAAGCTCTTGCCGCACTCGGTGCACACGAAGGGACGTTCACCGGTATGGCATCTCATGTGATTTACGAGATGCTCCTAGAAACAGAGATAGAAGTCGTTGTTAATATACACACACATATTTCAATTTTAAACGCATTAAGCCACTCTTTGCAGTTCCCAGGTACGGGAGGCATGGAACGAGATATTCAAAGCGAGGCTAAACCGTTCTAGTGGATTTTCAGGGACGACTCACCTTCCTCGTGAATGGCTTGGAGCAGACGTTGCAGCAGTGCGAGGAGTCGCCGGTGTGTTGGCGCAGGTGGTTATTCAGGTGTTCTTTCCTGGTGAACGTCCTCTGGCAGAACTCGCACCGGTGGGGCGATTCGCCCGTGTGGATTCTCACGTGATTCGTCAAGTGCTCCTTACGCGTAAACGACTTGGAGCAGAAGTGGCATCGATGTGGCGACTCGCCTGTGTGTTGACGCACGTGATTGGTCAAATGTTCCTTCCGCGTGAACGATTTGGTGCAATACTGGCACTTGTGCGGTGACTCACCCGTGTGCTGCCTGACGTGGTTCACCAGATGGTCCTTCCGCGTAAACGCTTTCGGACAGTACTGGCAGCGGAAGGGCGTCTCCCCTGCGAGATTTCGCAAACACACAACGGTTTTCGCCGGCTGTCCAGGAAGACCCCGACCGCGGGTCGTCCTGGAGGGCCGGCCGCCCGCCGAGGGGCCTTCCCGGGGGACGCGGGGCTGCGCCGTCCTAACTCCCTCTTGGGGTTAAGTTACGTCAAGGGGATGCGAAAGTGGCGTCAAAGAGGTCTCCTTTATGAAACGTCTCAAACCTGACAACGTCGATATGGAGGGTGTAGGGAAGCTCCTGAACCCATGAAATTTCAATTGTTTAAAAATTTATTTATAGGTACAGTCTTTATTAAAAATCAAATTTCATGGGTGTTAGGACCTACCTTATGGTCTCCATATTCACGTTGTAAAATTTCATACGATTCGACACACCCAGTCTGGAGAAAAGTTTCATAAACGAGACCTCTTTGACGCCACTTTCGCATCACCTTAAGGCCTTTTCAGTTTTGGACGTTGATTTACAAAAGTATCGGACGATCTCTCGCACCGACCATGAAAAATGAATAGAAATTAAGACGTCGGTAATAAATAAATTAATTCCTCTTTTCAACTTTCGCCAATTAATGGACATCAAGTGGCAAAAAAAAAACGTCTCCCCGAAAATCGGGTTTTAACCCCCCATAAGCGTGACGTTTAATTTTCATTAATTTTCCCGCATTTAAAAGGGAACCATTTCTTCATCAATCAACCGTTTCATTTTTCAGGCGATGTCCTTAAGATTGTGATTTTTTGGGAAGTAATAATAAACGGTCGCAGCATCGCACCCCTCGGGAAACCCGCCATCGCGTATTTGGGAATAAAATTCACTCGCGCACTTTCCCGGAAAAATCTTCCTTCGGAACAACCTCGAGCCTTTACGAGCTCTATTTCGCAATTTCTTTCCACCTTTTAAAAAACAACTTACCACACAGTCTGACTCTAAGGTCAGTTTAAAAAACGCGCCGTGTTCAAAAATCATGAACGACCACGATCACTGAGAAAATAGTGTCATTGAGCCAAAGAAACATTCTGTTAATTTAAAGAATAATTAGTTACCTCAAACTCGAATAAATTGGATGCAACATTTACTCGGAATTCCGACGATTAATTTGGGCGAAATAATTATTCTTTGAATTAACAGAATATTTCTTTGGCATATTTCTTTGAAATAATTCGACCGGCATGAAAATGTCGCTGGCTGCGAAAGCAATTTTTTTTTTCTCTCTCGATATCAGAAATTCAATCTCTTATCGGGATTAAATGTCCCATTGGGACTGTCGAAAGGAATATCGATTTGTGAGAATCTCATTCTCGGTGTGTCCTGACACTTTAACGTAGAGAATGAAAAACTTTCATATCCCCCTCAAGGTAATAATTGAAATCGCGGACTGAATTACCCGAGATCCCTTACACGTACAAATTCTAGGAGATAATAACTGCAATTATTTATATAAAATTGAGATTTTAAAAGGCGAGCTCACGGATATACTGTTTCCCGACTGAACAAAACTGAACCTAACAAAATGACCCGGTTGGTTCGCAATCCATTTTGGCTATCCGTATATTTTTTATTTTACCGCATGCAATTTTGCAGCAAAAAAGCAAGGGAAAATGTAACTTTACTATCAAAACTAAGCCCTTTAAGAACAACAGATGAAAGACGTATTTTATCCATGTACTAACCGCAGTTAAAAGACGTCATGTCTAACCCCAAAAAATGAGATATAAATCCGGCCTAAATTATCTTTACAAAAAAAAAAAAATACTAATCAACAAAAAACCCTCTTCTCATGCATCGAAGTTCCTCGTCACCGGGGAGTTCCACGATCGGGGGCCAAGGCCGACCTCGGCGGCGGTTCCGGTACCCGCTCGGGTTCCACAATTCCACCCGCCGACCCGGGGGGGGCTTTCACACACATTTCGGCGACACACGCGCGTACGCACAGCGACAGACGGGTTTTTCATTCTTTTCTTTTTCTTCAAATAGACGGCCGACAATTATACAAATACATATATATGTATATATATATATATTAATCTATATAGATATATCCCGTGAAGCGAACATCTGCCAACCGCTCTCACCTGTGTGTTGGCGGATGTGGTTAACAAGGTGTTCCTTTCTGGTGAACGATTTGGAGCAGAAGCCGCATCGGTGTGGAGACTCACCCGTGTGCTGGCGAACGTGGTTCAGGAGATGCTCCTTTCGCGTGAACGTCTTCGAGCAGAAATCGCAGCGGTGCGGCGTCTCACCGGTATGCCACATTATGTGGTTCGTGAAGTGCTCCTTCCTCGTGAACGACTTACCTGCGCGGCGGGGCGACACAGAGAAACAGAGAAACATAAGGATAAAATAGGGGTAATTAGGTTGAACAAGATGGCGGCGAGCCCGACTTTCCGGGGACGATTCCAAGACCCGTTAAGACGCTACGAAACGGCGCCGAGAGATTTCATCCAGGTCGATAAATTAAAATCCATCTACACCCTTTTCGGGGGGGAGTAACGTCATTTTGAATACTCAAGTGGGAACCCGAGAGTTCGTCACTAAATTTCCAGGTCCAGACGACAACACCGGCGAGTCATAATAAATTGAATAAAATCATATACCATGGATAAACAAACACCCGACCAGAAGAAAGAAAAGATGACCCCGGTCGTTCCTACGGTGCACCCCATCCCCGTATGAAGGAACCCCCATGGAACCCCCCGCGTCCCCGCGAGACCTCTTATGGCGACCCTTCACTCCACACCCCCCCCCCCGGAGGATACTAACCGCTCAGGTTTACGAAATAGCAAGTCATGCCATCCCAGTTATCCCGGTCAGAGTTGGGTGTTGGACTGTCCTCGGAGGGTGGCCATGGGGTGAGCGCGCGGCGGCGGAGCGAGAGGGAGAGGGAGGAAGAGAGACCGCGCCGCCGAATCCTAAGGTCGTCGCGCGGCTCGCGGTCTCGCTCCGCGAAGGAATGCGCGCGACCCCCGTGGGAGGGAGGAGTGGGGGAGGGGCCGCGCGCGATGCGCGATCAATTCCCCGGAATTTTATTTCCCCGACGCCGACACGCCCGCCGGCTTAGGGTAGGTTCCGCCTAACTCCGCGCGGACACCCACTCGGTCCGCGGCGACGCGGGGGAGAGGCGCTCGATGCCGTCTGGCCCGCCTTTTATACCCCGCCGGCTGGCACCCCCGGTCACGTGACTTGGCAAACGCGCAGGTTTGAACCGGCGCGGGAAACCAAATTCACTTTTCCCCGAGATCCCATTTCATTAACGTTACATGAAAGATGCTGAGAAATTTAATCGATGTCGATAAAAAAAAAAGAGTATTAATTAATGAAGAGATTTCACGGGATTAATTGTAACCTGTGGAAGAAAGGACAACAAACCCTAATTGTATATGAAAAAGACTTGGAATCGTCCCAGCGAACCTCGAGCGATGGAATAGTCAGTTTAACGCTTTCGTTGCGTCCAACTTATTCCTAACACTTGTTAATTAATTAATGGAATAACAGTTTAAATTATGAGTTCCATTATGACGTTCGTGTTTTGAGATCTTGCGGTTACAGGGCAATTCCATTATAACGCGGTTGTTCACAACACGTTCCCTACATTTAATACAATTAATATTCAATTTATCATTCTACGAAAATAAATTATTTATTATAAATTCATTTGTTAATCTCTCGTGAAATAACGGAATTTCCCTGCAACCTGCGTGTCTCCTGGCATTCTCCTCCGGCAGATACGTACATGTATCTACAGGGTCCATCGACAATCGATCTGCCCTGAAGCTGGAATTGATAAAAGTATCCGCGGAGGACTTATCGTGTATCTCGGGCCGACTTACCGCATATCTCGCAGCGGAAGGGCGTATCGTTAGTGTGTGATCGCATATGATTGGCCAGATGCTCTTTTCGCGTGTACTTTTTGCCGCAGACCTGACAGTGGTGAGGGGTCTCGCCGGTGTGCCACATTACGTGGTTCATGAAGTGCTCCTTGCGGGTGAAGCTCTTCTTGCAAATGTCACACCGATGGGGCGTCTCGCCGGTGTGCTTGCGCACGTGGTTCACCATGTGTTCCTTGCGGGTGAACGTCTTCGCGCAGTACTGACACCTGTAATACGCAAGAAGAGACGAAGAGTGACGAGGGGGCCAAAGACAACAGTCCCAGAATTCATTCCCCGCTTCTCCATCTACCTGTAGGGCGTCTCTCCGGTGTGGCACCGGGTATGATTATCCAGGTGCTCCTTCCTGGCGAAGCTCTTCCCGCAGACGGTGCAGTTGTAGGGCTTGTCGGTCGCGTGTCGTTTCATGTGCCGTTCGAGCGAGGGTCCGTTCGCGAACACGTGGAAGCAAACCGCGCAGGTGAACATGGAGCCGCCCAGGTGGCACTTCCCGTGGCGGGTGAGGTCGTTGGCGTTGGAGAAGGCCTTGCCGCACACCTGGAAGAGGGCATCGGGAGACCTTTATCGATAGCGAGCGCCCCGGTGACTTGGGACCGCCACGAGGCTGTTTACCTGGCAGGTGAAGGGTTTCCGTTCCGTGTGATAGCGCCGGTGGACGATCAGCTGATAACGAAACTGGAAGATCTTCCCGCAGACCTCGCACGCGTGGCTGCCCACCGAGACCGGGGACGCGCTAGGACCTGGGGTCGCCTCCCCGTCGCTCGACTTGATGTCAAACTTGTTCAGCTGCACCTGCTGGACTATCGGGGTCCCATTTTGGATCGTGGTCACGGTCTGGGTAGGAACCGTCCCCCCGACCAGGGTCGTCCCCGCCGCGATCTCGCTCTGCAGCTTCCCGAAGACCTCGTGGTACGCCAGCAGCTGATTGATGTCCTCGACGTTCACCTGGGGAAAGTTCGGAAAAAGGTTTCATAAACGAGACCTCCGTGTCGCATTTTCACATTACCTTAAATAACGAATAACGGAACAATTAAAATGAATGAAGAATTATAGATAGCTCAAAACCTACCTTGTACATGTTCTGGACCATTTCGACTCCCAGGGTCTTTGCGAGGTCCTGCTCGTTTCCGGCGCTTATTTTAACCACCGAACCATCCGCCGTCCTGACGTCCATCATGTGACCGCCTGGCTTCAGATCGGGTAGTTGAAATCTGCAAGAGTGAAGATTACAACGTCAATAGCCATCAAAGAGATCATGCCAAGACCATCATCGCATTTTTTTTTCCTTCCTAAAACCCCATAAACATGACATACTGTGCCATGTTGAGCTGCCTCATCTCTTTCTCCTTCTCAGGCTTTTCCGAGTTGTTCTGATTGGCGTTCTCGCTGGTCGAGCTACCGCTGATGTTGACCCCGATCTGCTGCTGTTGTTGCTGCTGTTGCTGCTGCTGCATCAGGCTCTGCTGGAGATCCTGAGGCGGTTGCAGCTGCAGGTCGCATTGCACCTGACAGTGCACCTGATTGTCGCTGCATCTCTCGGTGGTGCAGCTGCCCCCTTCGTCCTTGACTTTGTTCTCATCTCGCTGAGCACTTTGGGTTTGCGAGCTGGGTCCGCTGTTTTGCGCATTCTGATGGCTTTGTTGCATCTGATGATGCGCCTGTTGTTGGGGCTGCTGCTGCTGCTGCTGCTGTTGGGGCTGCTGCTGCTGGTGCAATTGCTGTTGCTGTTGTTGTTGCTGTTGCTGTTGCTGCTGCGACTGCATTTGCTGTTGCATCTGCGCGTGAGCAGCCTGCAAGTGGCCGACACTTGCGGGAATATGCGTCCCGCCTAAGCTGAGGCCAGGTAACGAAACTGGGATCTGCGAAATGTTATTAATTAATTGGTTGCGCATAAATCGAGACAAGAAGTTAATTGCGTTAAGGCGATATGTAAGAGTCACCCTATATATATGTATATCTGAGTGGTCGAACCTGAGCACTCGATTGTAGGGAGTTGTGGTGGCTACCGGTGCTAACCGAGGGCTGGTGATGATGATGCGAGGACGTCGTCCGGTGATGGGAATTCGAGGCCAGCGCCATCTCCTGGGACAACGTGGAGGCCGACTCTTTGGAGGGCGTATCGCCACTTCCGCTACTCCTATGCGAGGAGTTGTGGTGGGAATGGTGGTACACCGAGACCTGGGGTAGCGGTCCGGGAAAGAGATTGGTCAGCACCCAATACTTAGCTACCGAGGAGGCTAACGCTACGGCTGTACCTACACGGAGGTCTGCGGAGGAATGAGGGGTACTCCCTACATTCCCAAGACTCGTCGCGGTAGCCAAACCACCGGGGTACGAAGGGCGACCACTTTGATCCGCGTTTACCTCCTACCGATACACATTCAGACATTTTTACGACATCGATCAGGCATGCAGCGGCATGCGGCTGACTTACAACTACCAATCGACAAATGCGCCAGATATCACATTCGCACTTACTAGAAACAGAAAGCTGCCGAATAAGCAACCGAGAGCCCTCTCGGACCGACGAGAGATTACGGAAAGATACGTGAACGCTGGCTGTTCAAGACTTAAGGCGAAGGGAAACCCTTGTTCAAAACAGTAGATTCTAATGAGACACTTTTCCAGAGTTTTCCAACTGGCTGAAACACTTTAGCACACCGATACAAATTTTTATGAACGTCAGTAACTTAGGTAGAAAAATCGTTTTTTGCCGATGTCGATTAAATTTCTCAATAGGTTTCACTTCGCTTTAACTTTAAACTTTATTATTGACTTTAACCCTCAAAATGTAGCCAAGAGATAAGAAACAAAGATACAGACCTACTCGAAAAACAACTCATAAATATCAATTGATATACAAAAGTAAAAACTGGTAATACCATGTTTACCTCTCGATGCTACATAACCACAAAGTATAGTTTTGTCTATTCTCTATTCATTGTTACTTCTTTATATTTTATATATTCATCACGATGCAAAACAAAAATGTAAGAGCCTACGTTTGAGGGTTAAAAAGCAAAGCCACATTTTACCCATCCAATTCATGTTGTCACGCATTTGTAGTTTGGCAGGCAGCCTTTTATGGATGAAAGCTCTCCTCACCTCTTGCTGTGCCTGCGTGGTCGCTGGCAGCGCATGCTGCTCGCTATTCATCTTCGTTCAATGAAGACGGCCGATCAACGTCTTTCCGTTGTCTTCATTGTCCTCCCTGCGAACACGAGTGCACAGGATCATTCCTCAATTACATGTTACATCCCACTGGCATGCCATTACCAACACCGAGACCTGGACGTAAAGCTCTAATCTCAAAAGTTAAAATTAATCTAGGAAATACAAATCACAATTGAATTCTGTCCATACATAAGAGCCGTTGCTCATTTGTAAATAGAACATGTACAGAAATTTACATGAATATTAACACATTTACTGAATAACTTAAATGTTACTCATCATCAGATTGACGTACTCAAATTAAATTGCGACAGTATCAATTGAATGGACTTGGCGAAAGGTTATTGACCATCTCCTTCAACTGTTACGTCATTTTTGGAAGTTCGATGATCTATCAGAGTTTCATTTACACCCGTGCATACCAATTGCCATGTAAGTATTTTTGGTTTAAAAATCTAAACACTTGTTTTAGGCCTATTTATCCAAGACTGAATACATTTATAAAAATTGGGAAATACCGGTGCAATTGAATGGGCGTTCTAGAAGATATTTAACAGGATAAAACTTTCACATGACAAAGTCCACATGTACACTGCAGATAGTCTTTTAATATCTCCATTTCACGGTAAATTCTTAGTAGATGATGCAAGGACCGGCATAACTCACGATAATGACTAATTATGCCTGCCGAAATGAATGCCCAAGATGTAGACATATAATTGGCACAATCGAAATATACTTTGTACTTTCGTTATTCATCCCAATATATAAAAGAATGCATTATCAAAACCGTAAATTACTGCGAGCAATTACCTTAAACCTCTAACCTCGACACACATCTCTTTCGCAAATACACCAAATCTTCAAAAACCATAGTTCTCTTCAAAGCAATTATCCCCTTTAAAATCTGTAAAATTTTTTAGAAATGTATAAAAATCTTCAAAAATCGTCCCAACGAAAACAGAAAATTCCTTTCCCCCCAACCTCCACGTTCTCGGACTTAACCTCAAATCCACGACCACGGTATCTCGAGTCGGAGATAACCTCAAAGCAACCGCTCGGCGGTCTCTGCGGCCGGCCGAGGAGGCGGGAAAGGGTGAGTCATCGGCCGTGCCAGGCTCTTTGTCGGGGCCAGGGTGCGCGCGCGCGCGCGCACGAGCCTCGGAGGATTGAGGTTATGTCCGGGGACGAGGGGGGCCGACGGAGGGTGTCCGTCGGCGCGGTTCAGGTCGCGCATCGGGCGCGCGCGGGGCGGCCGTAAACGGGGACACGGGGACGAGGGGCCGCGTTGGCGGTGGCGGCGGCGGAGGCGAAAACAAGATGGACGCCGTGCGGGCGCGCTCGAGCGCCAGGAAGATCGCGAGGCCTGGGGCGGGCCCGGGGCGAGCGCGGCACTCACGTGGTGGTCCGGGTCGTCGGCGGGCGCGACATCTTCGCCGGCGGCGGCCGACGGCCTCGTCTCGATCTCCAGGCGCGTGCTGGCTCGCTCCCAAGGCAGGGGGGGACGCCTGGCTGGGCCTCCTCTCTCGACGTCTCACCTCGCCACGGGCACCCACAAGCAAATCACCGATAGCGGCCCCGCGCCCTCGCCGCGGCCCTCCAAGGTATCGCCGATCGGCCGAGCCGCTCCTCCGGGTGTCCGCCGCCCTGGTTTCGCCTCGCCGCGACGCCCGGGGACCCCGGAATTCCGACGCCTACGCGGGAAGACACTTCACGCGAGCGGTTTACGGAAAATACGACGACTGTCATGGCGGCCGGTGCCCGCCCCGCGTCCGCCCGGTCGAGATGTCGACCAGAAGGTTACTTCCGACCTCGTCAAACTCCGAGGCACGAGTCGGGAACGCGTTTCCGAGCCCGACCTGGCCATTTCTCACGGTTTCGGGGCCTCACTCGGGATTCTTTTTAAAGGCTTTCATATTACGCCTAGCTTTGTCCGAGGCTCCACGGTGCGCGCGCAGCCGGATGGAGCTGCGTGCGCAACGCCACGCGCCATCTTTGAACGCGAGCTTGGACTATGTCTAGCGCACATTTTTACGAGTTTTGGGACTTGAGAGAATAGATCCAAGATTATTACTGTGATTAGGGTTACGTTATTGAGGGAAGAATGATTGTTAAAAAAATGGTAGCTGTGAGGGCCTATTTATGTACTTTTAGGGAGTTTTTGAAAATCATACCATCCACTTGATGGGTTAGATAACTCTCCGTTTGAAGGTCACTTCCGTTAAGAGCGAGATGAATAAGAAAGTAAAATTCGCTAGATTCGAGAATGTGTCTTACCCATTCTTAAACAGTTTTCCAGTAATTTTCAAATTCTATTGCCATGTTTTGCGTAGATTAACGTTGCGTGTAACTTTACCCAGTTTTATATGTGACCCACGTCTGCGCGCGCATTCGAATGGAGCCCTGCGCGTGTAACCAAAATGTGGCGCGTAAATCAAATAATTAGATATCAGGAACCAGGATAAGTTTAGGGAGGTTTTGCATTGTACGTATATTAATAAATTGGACCAAAGGTGTACTCTTTTTACAGAGTCGTATGCATATATTATTATATCCGATAGTCGCTGCCACTTGCATTAAAGTATTAACCATTATTTACAATGAATTTGTACAAGTATGACCGTAGGTCATGGAGGTACGTTAGTACTCATACCATTGGTACTCTAAATGGTACTCATCGTACTCAGGACTGGGTAAAGTATTACTTAAATTAGCACTTTATCCTTTCATTTACACTGAACAAAATACTATTTATATAATTATTTTACTCAGCTCTGATCGCAACTTGTCAAGGATGTAGTCCGATCGCTTTGAGGATCAAAGAAATTATACCTAATTAACACTAACGAAACTTGTTTGTATTCCTTTCCAGAGACGGACGAATTTTATAGTCAACATTTGTCAAGAAGCCATGGCACGTGAAATCAGTTGAACTTTCATTGAACTGTTCGAACAATAGTGGGAAAGAATAATCCTTTCCTCGTTAACAATCGGACGCGCCTTGACTAGTGCGCTAAAATATACAATAATACAATCGTCGGGATAATTAAATAAGAACCAATATTTATACAACGTTTCTACAGGCATTTGGTATCCTTTTAAATTCATCCTATTCTCCTCATCCGCGAGAGAGAAATCTCGAAAGGGTCTTTGACAATGGGGTCGCCTTTATATTATTTATAATAACAATCGACACCTTTTTACGGCTTTTGGGGAAATTAAAAAAGTACCACGAGTACTTGCCACAAGGATTCGTCCTTAAAGTCATGATCGGAATGACTTGTACACATTTTTGTTTCAATATTTTGTACAGTACACTCAGGATTACGTAAAATGTTGATACTTCAAAAGAAATAATTTTTTAATTTACTCAGGTATTCCGAAATGATGATTGGCAGTGGAAGTTAAATTTTGATGTTTTTGTATATTAAGATAAATCCAGTTACTGGATGAAATAGATTGTTAATAAATGTTTACAGTGTTAAAAAGGCAAGAGTGTCTTTTTCTTACAAATTGGGAATGCAAACTTAAGTCTTCTAAGGATCGAGTCGAGCTGATAGTTAATGATATGCTTAATGTTTTATGATTAATGGCCCCGCTCAAATCTCTTGATTGTTAATGATATGCTTAATGATTTATGATTAATGACCCAACTCTAATCTCTTGAAAAACTTATTTCGGAACTTGAGCCTTTGCAAATCCTGCTTCCATGCGTATGACACGCGCGTCTAATTCCATTCAATCGCGGCGACTTATCGTGAGTCTTGGTAAATATAATTAATAATACAAGAATTATTTATATCATCCCCCGAGATTCCATAAGAATACGATTTCTCTTTGTACTATTATCAATCCACGTCCTCGCGAGGCTTCGATCGTGAGATTGCAAAGTTAATTTAATTATACCAAATTAAACAAATTTTCTTCAATAAATTAGTTTATGGAGAGCCAAAGAGTACCAGTTTGATTGTAAAAAGATCTGACGACATAAATAATAACAATTGTAAACGTTCAGTCCTTTTCCAGTAGACCTGTCAACTTTACGTGACATAATTATGAGCTTTGAGTATGGTTTGAAAAAGCTCATCGTAAACTTTTTAGTTCCGTTGTGTGTTACGATAGTATATTAACTATATTTCAATGGCTCGGCAATAGTTCAAATCGAGTATTTGCATGTAACATACTTCTGTAGTTTCTATATGACCCACTAATTTTTTGCACCTCACAGATACCACGTTATTAAGTCATCATAACCCCAATCGAGTCGAATCACAGGTCACGGTTTAACTTTCACTACACTTCTTCCTAAATATCATTTATAATTACACTAAAAATTCTGACTGACAGATCAATCGAACAGCAAGTCATCTCTACACTGTGCCACTTTTTACATCGATCATCAATTACTCCGACCATGTGATTCGAGCTTTCAAGTTACGAACAAATCTCGCTGCGTTCATAAATTATGTAGGTATTTATTGCAGATCATAATGAAAGATTCCCATCTGAATCAACTTGATGTCATTTCAGGAAATGCAGATATTTATGAGATAGTCTTGATGACCAGATGATCAACCGATGCGTTGATACAATGGGCAATTTTCATCGATAACTGGGAAACCTCATTATGAGAACGCTTGGTACAATTCCTGGTGAACTGTGATACTTCAAGTACCTTTGTACGGTCCGATTTCGAGTCTGACCATTGACATTTAAAGCCAACAACTCAAGCCACCCAACTTTAAATCCAGGACATCACAACTCCGTGGTGATCTCATCCTGCGGCCTGAGTCCCAGGATCGTAAAGTCGTCTATGAGGTAGTCTCGACCTGGCGACCAGTCGGACAGAATCGTATAGTTAGCGGCTTCCATGGTGGTCTGAAACTCCCATTGCGGGTTCAGATCTCTGACGAGGCCGTTGGGCTCCACCACGTCTTCAGGGTTTTCGAGGTCGCTCCTCGGCAGCGGCGATCCCTCGGCGTAGCTCCTCTTGAAGGCGGACACCGCCAGTTCCTGGAGGTGCGAGCCGACGTGATGGGACCTCTTCTGGTTCCCATAGACCAGGGGGGTCGTCTGCCCCACCGTCGAGCCATTTGGACTCAACTTCTCGTTGTACACGATGGAGCTATTCTGGCCTAAACTCGAACCTACCGGGCTGTCCTTCGTGTAGCCCAGGCTGGAGCTCGAAGGGCTGATGCTGGATTTGTCGCTCGCCTGAAAAGTGACACGTGGGTTTAATTTTCTCGAATAGAAGAGCTTTGAAAAAAGGAAGTAAAGCTTAAAGATCCCCTGAGTAACGCCATCCTGGATGGATTTTAAAATTTAAGGACGACACTGTTCACAGTTATTATAATAGACGGTGACGTTCGCTTAACACATTTTGCGCCGCATTTTCCCACCTACGAAACTCGCTTAACCACCGGCGACATGAAAGGCGTACATTAATGTCACCGGCGATAACGCGAAAAAGACGCGAAAAATATGAAATGATAATATAGACAGACGGGAAGATGCGCAGCCTCTCGAGGAGGGTTTAGGAGATGAAAGAAGATTAAGGGAGGCGAAGACTTGTTCATGTAGACTGCAGCCTCTCAAACTTACTTGGAAAGTCGTCAAGGGCGCGTTCGCTTGGAAAGTTGTTAAATTAGTAGGAGTGGATCTAGGCTCGTAGGTCTGCCCCGGTCGCTGGACCGCGATCGGCTGCGCCGGAGGCTGGGCCGAAGATGACGCCGGCTGCTGCAGGAACGTCACCAGCTGGGCCACCTTGTAGGGATACTTCCGTTAGTTTATTTGGAAACGCCGCTACTTTTAAGCCTAACATCCTGAGAACATGCAGCTCAAGAAATGTACATCGGAATCATGTAAAAGTGACATCTGAGTTTCTCGTTATTTTAATGAAATTAGTGCAAAGAATTTTTGTTCGTCGTTCTCGTGTCGCCGAATAATTTCAGGAATTTTATAAACTCGAGGAACTTGCATCGATCGCGTCGAGGAGAAACAGGGTGATAAATTATACAAAATTCTCGGTTGATGAATGATCCTTCCAGCCAGACACGAGAGCGTAAAAGTTACAGGCCATTACTTTCGCTAATTTTTCAAAAACACTAAACAGTCTAAAATGCCGGCAAACTCGCACCGTAAAGCGTGACTTTCTAACCCTCTCTCAATAATTTATACAAAAGCGTACAAAGCCTCGCATTCCCGGCGGACAATACAATTTTCCCAGCTAGTAAATCCTAATCTAAACGCGCAAGCGTCAAAGTTTCACCGCGTAACTTTCACTAACTTTCAAAAACGACGAGAAGCTAAAATACCGATAAACTCTCCACATAAAAAGTCACTCTCTACCCTTTTTAATCTACACCACGGATCTATAAATCTCGCGCTGGACGTCCGCACAAAGTCCTGAATTTTTTTACCCAATTAGACAATTATCTCGGCACTTCTTCCAATCCTAACATTTATGCGTGAAATTTCTCGCGCCACTTTCCAGTATTAGTGGAAACTTAGAACTTGGATAATTAAAAAAAAAAAAACACCCGAAAAAGTTTCCACGACGAAGAGTCACTTTCCAATCCCTTACGAACCTCGATCGACATAAAAAAAAAAAAACACAAGTTATCTCTCCACAAAATCGTCTTATTTTTTTTTTTTCCTATCTAAACAACTTTTGCAATTTCAAGGAACGCAGAGGATAGGTCCAGGCGTGCCAGAGGGAATAAAAAGCATCCAACGGGAACCCCTAGAGCTCTCCCGGGTAATCGCAGGTCGTTAATCTCAGCTTACGGTGCGGCCGACTCACCGAGACTCTGCCTCAGCGACTGGCGTGCAAAAGGTACAACAAACACGGCATTAAATCACAGAACCAGGGAAAAATTTCATCGAGTACCGATCGAACTTGGCTAGCGAATTCCAGCATGCAAATCTCAGCGAATCTCAGGGCGTCCTCTAAATCCCAGGGGAAAAGGATTCGTCCTTACTTCCGGCGAGCTGTGCCTCTTGTATCTCCTGAGAAGTCTCTCCGCCCAGGCGAGGAGTCTCTGCCAATCCTCTGGGGGAACAGCTATCTCCTCGTCCCTTCTGTTCACGAGGACCAAGATCCTGGCGAGATCCCTCAGCACGGGCCTGAAAGCAGGAAAATAATTCAACTCTGATCCTCCACGCCCTGAGAAAGAAATTGCACTCAACCAGAGAGATTTTACGAGGGAAATGAAATGCTACCGGCAGAACTGCGGTAACTGTAACAGCAATTGTGAATAAATACAAGAGTAGCAGTTTTGCCGAGTTACGGTTACTTCTGCAGAAGCGTCGAGTACATAGCCGAGTGAAAAGTAGAAAGCATGCGAATGGCCGCTATTTCGACGTCACGACTCTGTGACGTTTACAATGGGCAAGAGCAGGAAATTGTTTAGACTTTTCATATGTATAACAGTAACTTATAAGCACCACTATGTGCCTCCGTAAATATAACAATATAATGTGTTTACACCCTACTCGTAAGAAAATGCAACTTAAACTTAAAGGAATCAAAGATACGTGTATATAAAATCGTCGATATAAATAAGAAGGTCGGTAACGTAATTATTAAGACAGCAGTCCTGAAATGTTTTGCAGGATCATTGGAGGTGTCGTTAGACGGTGAAACAAACCTGTAAGCTTGAATGCCAACGGCTCCATCGCCATTGCTGCCGGAGTAGTAGAGTTCCCTGACCTGCCTTCTGGTGTCATTCAGCATGGCCAGGAAAGTGTTCCCCTCTCCCCTGAGGGTAGCCAGATGTTTAAGGAATTCCCTCCTTTCGGCGCTGGAACAAGCAACATCGTAAACACCATTATCCACGTGGCAAGGAGGAGAGGAAAAAAAAAGAAGAAAATCATCCCAGGCGAGAAAACGGTCTCGCCTCGAACAGGATACAGCCGCGCCTCGTGAACGTTTCTTTGTCGCGTTTGCTTTCTACCAGCTGGAAAAGGCTCCTTCCCCTTTTCTTTGTCAAAATGGACCTGCCCGGGAAAACGGACCACATTGGCAAAGGCAGGTGGAAAAGACCTGACGAGACTACTTCGCCAGAGTTTCAGAATCCCCAAGATCGCCGTTCGAAAGTCCTAACCTGTCTTCGAAGCGCTGCATCGTCTTGGCGGCCTTTCGCTTCCTCCTGTGTACGACGACGACCCCGCAGAGGATGATGAAGATGCATATCGTGGCCCCGGAAGCGACCACCACGAGGACGGCGACCTGACTGCCGGTCAAGCCAAAGGCGTACTCGGTCTCTCTGCATATCCGGCCCATGTATTCGTCCCGAGTCGACCAATCGGCCGTGTGTCCGGCCGGACACGCGTCCACGCATGCGCCCCGGTGCAACAAGATGGCGCACCGGGCGCACGAGCCGCCCCTGCAGCGGACGCACCCCCCGGGCTCCTCCACGCACGCTGTAATCACAAAAGAAAGCACGGATATCAAAAATCACTCCTCCACATCCCCGAGTCACTCCGTGGACGGGTAAATCTTACTTCCGGACGCTTTTTCAAGGGTTAAATTGGGATTAATCGAAGCGATGTTCTGCCCTATGGCGGCCATCTTGGAAGTGACTCCCTTAGATACGGTATTTAAGATTTAAGATTTATATCGATCACAGAAACGGTATAGTACATCATCACAGATCCCGGAAATCATTCCTCCACGTCTAAGTCACGCGGTTCTTATTTAAAGAAAATTCAAGAGAATTTATAAGACGACGAGCGGAAAGCACTTTTAGGCGGTCGTTATCTCAATACTGCACGGCATTGTTCGCCGCCATCTTGGAAGAGTGACGGAATCTTCTTTCCCGAACATCACGACTACGTCAGCCCATTGTGAGCAAAATGTCAAACTTAATACCACGGGTGAGGTGCTTAATCACCGACGCGAGGTTTTTCGATAATTTCCGAGATAATGTGCACTCGTGACATTTCAAGGCTCACGAAGTGTTAAAGGGTCACTCGAGCATCGCGCGCGGTCGTCCGCGGCCATCTTGTTTTAACAAAGCGAAGGGGATGGTCATTAATGCACTGTTTCGCGTTTCTTTTATTGTTCTTCTCAGAAAGCGGCCTGAGAGGCACGTAACAATGACTGATACGAGGGTTTCAAGCAGAAGGACGGTCAGTGGGCCAAGTCGTGCATACCGCTGGTGGTTTTCTCGCGCGAGAATCGACCTTCTTGGGAAAGGAGGTAAACGGGCCAGTTCAAGAGGCACCCCTTTGCCATCGGACTCGAGAGGACCGCCTCATTGAAATCCCCGAAGGACATACCGCTATAGCTTTAAGAATCATGCACAATTGTCATCGAAGTGACACTCCAATAACAATGGTAAGCGTAAATTGGCATATCAAGGTGAAAGGAATGTGGCCTTTAAAGCGGTACATTTCTTAAAGAGTCCTTCACCGACCAGACTCTGTATCGAGGCGTCACTTCTATGTACACGAATTTAATGTTTCATTTGAAATGAAAGCGTATCGAAAAGTGAAACTTTCATTCGTGAAACGAGAGTCTGACAAAGTGTGAGTTGAAAGAAGGTATGGTAAATTAACGACCCGCGGACCGTACGAGGTGAAAGATGTGCATAATTAGGGAGACAAATTATTCTCGGGAGTAAAGGGAGTACTCGCAAGCGGTCAGTGGGCCAGTCGCCCGTGACTCTCGGATGCCGTTGGACCTCGCGCAAAAATCGGCCCTCCTGGAAAAGGAGGTGAACGGATCGCGGCCCCTCCACCTTGCACGCTCTATTAGCATGCAAGCGCGAGGAATGCGGCTGCCGGGTTTCTTCTCGATTATGTGGGTCTGCCCGGACCCCGGGACATTCTCCGAGTTGAGAACACCCTGTTCCCGAGCCGAGCACGGATTGAACTCCGACTGAACTCGAATCGAACCGAGTAGAACCGAGTAAAGCCGAATTACCGAATTAATTAAAATTCATTAGAATTCATTAGAATTTAATAGAAAAATAGTACAGAATGGTACGGAATAAAGTCGAAGAAAATCGAGTTGGGTCGATCTCCGGGAAATTCATCCGCACACTCGAAATCCAGTCGAACGCAATCCGACTCGAACTCTCCCGAACTTAGCCGATCTCGGCCGAGCCCGGACTCGGGCGTCCTCTTGGCTCGAGAAGGGAAGGTCGCTTGCACTCGTGCACCTGCGGTGCTCCTTGCCACGTGTGCGCGAGCAAGTGCACGAGCAGGGGTTACGTTCTGTTATGTACGGGCAGTGGTTACAGTTAAGCTTGACGCAACGGCCCCGGTGCCGACGACCCGCGAGGCTTTGTTTCCAAGTACCACAAGATGATGGATGACGCGACTCCATTTTTCTTTCCTTTTTTTTTTTTTTATTATCTTTCGACCCGCCGTGGGAAAAGTAGCGAGGCTTTGTCTCGAAGCGCCATAAAATGACGAATGAACCGTCGCGGTTTTTATGTGCTTCTCTCTCTCGCCTTTTTATCGTCCTTTGTATGCGACAAATGGCGGGCCTTTGTTCCGAAGTGCCACGAAATGATCGGTGACATGCGTCGCGTTTATTTATTTTTCCACCCTTTATCTCTATCTTTATGGTTCTTTGTAATGCATGAAATGTGCAGGCCGGTTTGCTGACTTTTTTTTTTCTTTCCCCCCTTTTTATCAACTTTAGGGTAGGGTTACATTTGACGTAATCGGCACCGCGATATCTGTTCTTGGAATGGCATTGTATGCTTATCGTCGAGATTCATGGCATGGTTTCGTTTTAACAACTTTTTCTGTCAACCTTCGTGGAGTTGGCAAGTTCCCCGCGAGATGCAAAGTAGCTATCCGTAGAACACAGTGGAGAGTTTCCTTTGGTCTCCTTTGTGTTTCTTACCCCACGTCGAGTGGTTTAAAAAAAAAAAAAAAACAACTTGCCCCATTAAATAATTGATTATTGTCGAAGACAAGAACGAATTTGAAACCACGAAATCGTGACTCGATTACGTGCAATCGAAAGTACTCCGTTATACTCCACGTAACGACCGGGTTGCATCTCGGAGTTCGTCGGATCCCACGCCGGGGAACGGGACTTCCTTCGGTTTTTCTCCTTCTTTCTCCGTAAGAAAGACGGAAGGAGAACCGAGAGGAGTCCTATTGAATTGTCCCCGACCGATTTCTAACCGCCTAAAACCGGTGACAATTAACTCTTTAGAGGGCCGAGTAAACGAGGAGAATTGGACGAGAGAGCAGCGGGCCGAGAAGAACGGCGCTCGTTCCCTGAGAAAAAGAAATATTTACACCCCTCCTTCAATGTACCCTTACACTTTTTTTTTCTTACGCGAGTCTCTTATTTCACGCGGTAAAGGGTAACGCAATTTGCACGGTCCCGAGACGTCATTATTTAGCGTTTTATCAAGCTACTTGAAATAAATACGTATTTCTACAACTTACACGTACCGGCTTTCATTTTCAATATTTTTTCATTTTTACCGACAGACGAAGTTGGAACTGATACTTTTATTAACGAGTAAAAAGGAAGTGCAAAATACGTTCTATTTCTATAAGCTCTGTGGTGAGATGACGCGTGCCTCCCCACGTCCTTCCACGTGGGACCCGGTGACACTTCCGGGCGTGGGGACGCCTGGGAAATCGATGGGATCGAGTCAGAAGCATGTTGGGATAGGTCGGATCAGAGGGGATTCGTATTGAGATGGGATGAATCGGAGGGGATCAACGCCGAGATGGATCAGACAGTGGGATCGGTATTGAGGCAGGTCGCGTCGGGTGGGAGTCCGTATTCGGAGGTACCAGACGGAAGGGGTCGATGTTGAGGTAGGTCGGATTGGATGGGCTCGAATTTGAGACGGATCAGACGTCAGGGAATGATTTTGGGGTACCTTGCAGCGGATGGAATCCGCGTTCAGAGGTATCGGACGGAAAGAGTCGATATTGAGGTAGGTCGCAATAGGTAGGATTCGCGTTCAGAGGTGTCAGACGGAAGGGGCTGATTTTGAGCTAAAACGTAATGTCACCGGAAGATATCTACGTTCAAATATGTCGACTTGAAAGGGGCCAATTGGGACATTCTGGATTGCACGAAATCAATAATGAGGCGGATCGGAATACCCTGAATCGACGTCAATAATAAATCCTACTAGAAGGAATCGAACTTGCCATCGTCCAATTTAAGGGCTTTTAAAAATCTTCAAAACGCGTTTAAATGGTGAATAAGTCGCGAAATAGACAAAAGAGACTCCAGGGAAATGGTCGTTACCAATTCCTGCAATTTCCGCAATTTCGGCAATTTCTGCAACGAGTTACCATTAAGTCCGGCATACGATCGGCGATTTATATTACGGCCTCTTGGAAATGCGAAATCGATACGGTATTATTTATATTATATTAGTGCACGGTTATTAAATGCAATTTCCTGGATGTAATTATACTTTGTCAAGTACGGTACGGTTATTTTCACGGGATACGTATTGCATACAGAGTGGATCATCTCGGATGAGTTGATAAGACTGGTCTTGGACGAGGAAGACCATGAGAAATCATCCTTGACCGGAAATGGTCATCGTAATCGCCTCGACCGACTCGACCTCCCGACGATCTCCCCGTCCATCCAGTATACAGTAACCTGTAATTTACAGTCGAGTCTTTAAAGAACTCGACCTGCACCATGCTTTCCAATAATCCTCGATGGAATCGCTCCTCTCCTCCTTCTATTCCAAGCATGCCCCATTACAGTAAGTCATGTAAAACGAGTTTCGAATTCTTCTATCGTTAACAGTTCCATTCAGAAAATCTACGAATTCGAGTACCACGTCCGAGGGATTTCGAGTTCCCAATTGAAATTCCACCGAATTAAAAAAAAATGACAAGCGGCAAGTTTATTAAACCGGTAACTGGCGTAAACAAGAAAACGGGTTTTCATGCTTATTTTTCTGGTATAACCGAGAAGTCTGTAAAAATCCTATCAGGCCCCTTTTGAAATTTATTGCGAATCGCGGGAAAACGAGAAAAAAAAATATTCGAAAGTCGTGCGTGGTTACCAACGGAAGGATAAGAATTACGTAAATCGAGAAAAACCTCCCTGGGTCGAGCCCCCCAAATCAGGGAATTTAAATTTTCGCTTTTAAAGTTCCCTTCCTTTATAATTGATCTTATTCTCCCCCAGGGTTTAACGAAATAATCCGCGAAATCGGCCTCCTCGTTGTAAGAGCGGGTTCGACCTCGTGAAAGCAAGGCAGAAGCCGATACGGACTTTCAATGAGTGCGAGCGAGAACGCGCTATACGGAATACTGCAAGCGAGAGAGAGAGGCAACTACCCTCGCTCGACCGACGATCGGCGTCTTACGTGGGCCCCTAATGAGTGCGAGTGCGACCGCGCTATGCGGAACCACGTGAGTGCGAGGGAGAGCAAGACACGTTCTCGCGGAAGAAACGATCTCTC